TGGTCGGCAGACGCTCGGTGAATACATGTAAAATAACTTTAAATAGATGATAAGCTATCTTAGGACCCTAATAACCTTATTATTTTTTACTAATTAAGCCTTCTAGCCTTCTTGTTTGCATATGACAACAAGTAGAGTCAACCCAAATATCGTAGCGCCACCACAAGCCTCCCCCGCGCATACAACGACGAACCGACGCGATACACCATCTTTTGGTTTTAGGATATAATGAAATAACAGTCTGTGAAATGAGGTTTGCGGTAAATAGGGTTAGTAAAGAAGGCTCCAAGAACGTAAATATAACGTTACAAAAGACGGCATCAGCTGTGGAGACTCTAATTTTGCAAAAAATTAATTTTTGGACTACAAAAAATTTACTGGTATATTTTTATGTATATATATAAATATTTTTTGGCCAAATTTCAGAAATTAATGTCAACTCTCCCACAAGAAGACTAATCTTGTTTCCCCGCTCTTCTAACATTCGAAATACCCCTAAAACCTCGATCCATCAATGTTCGCCGGAGGGAAATTTCATTTGGCCCATCCATTAAACAAAACAAAGACCCCTTGCCTCATAATCGAGAGGCGAAAAAAAAACTTTTGGGACAATTGGCCCAAACCCACCGAACATATCCATCAATCAGCTGGCGGGTATTTGTCATATCTCTTTGCGAACAACGCGAACATGAGTTTGCCTTTCTGTTTTTGACGAGGCCAAGATCATCCTTGTGGACAGAACAACATTTGAAAATAAACAGGGGAAAAATAAAGGCATTTTTTGATGGAATTTAGCATAAATTAGAAATGGAATTTTTTATGTAATTTCTGGAATTTTTTGACTGTGTTATGCGGAAAAAACAGAAAATTCGAAGACATTAAAAATTTAAATATTTATTTTTTCAATTTTTTGTAACCGCGTTGTGCAGAAACATCAGTAAGATTAAATCAAAAAGTAAAAAAAACAAAAAAAAATCGTTTTTAATTGCCAAAATCAACACTAAATTTGAAAAAGCGAAAAATGGTTCGCATTATGCAGAAATAATCGTAACTTTTGGCCTAGAAATTGCCAAAAAAATATTTTTTCAACAATTTAATACAAGCTAGAAATTTTAAAAATACTTGTATTTGAAAAGGCATTTGAAGAAAATTTAAGAAGACCATTTTTTGGAGAGAGCAAGAAGCTCCGGGAGTTGCAATTTCTCTTTTTTTCGGGCCAACAATCTGTATTATGATTTATGGCGGGCAAAATGGGATGGGTTAGGCGAAAAAAACAAGATTTTTCGGTGGTCAAAGAGCACAGCATTTTGGAGCCATAAAAGTTTAAAAGTGGTCAAAAATTCTGATTCAGTCTGGACTGGAATTGTTGACCTAAAGGTCCAGAAATTTTTTCAGAAATATTTCATCGTATAAAATGTCGCCCAGGAGGACAAACCATCCTAGTATACTCGGACAGACTTTGACCTCTTTTTTATTTTTCTTCTTCATTTTTCTTATAATCCACCCCCAAAAAATCCCCTAGCAACTTGAAAAACAATTACGTAAAAAATCTCGAAATGTCCGACAACCAAAAAACATTTGAAACAAAAAAGTGAGGGATTACTATGGGTATGTAAATCGGGTCGTCAAAAACAAGAATAAATTTTAATGGGCTTAACAACAATAAAAACGAAAGCAAACGAAGAAAACCCTGACTTTTGTCCCAGGAGTTTCAAATCCCCATAAAAAAAGAAAAGAGTCTATTTGCCTTTTGTGGAGACAAATTTTGAAACGAATTAGTGCGACAAAGAATAAAAAAAAAGGGGGAAACAAAAGAATATCAGGTTAAAGTACGAGGAAGATGACAAATGAGAGTTCACTTGAAATTTAGGGCAATTTTTAGTAGATTACAGGGAAATTATTGAGGAGAATTGCTCCGTACTCCAGTAGAATAAATAAAAAAAATCAAATTTGATATCAAAAAGTATCATGGAGGCACGAAAAGATCGTCTCGCCTTTTCAGAAGACAGAATGAAAATTGGATAACTTTTGATACCTTTTTTTAGTATCAAACTAGATTTTGGATACTCCAAATTTCCTTCATATCAAAGTAAAATGTCTGATTATTCCTCTGCAACACTTTTTTTATCAAATTTGTAGTGATTTGGATACTTTTCCTTGGTTTTTCACAATTTGATAACTAAAACCGGCCGAGTTTGCTATTGCTGTAAAATTAGGCCTGGTCTTCAAAATATCTGCCTTGTGGATTTAACACCGGTTGAGAGAAGCCTTTTGGCATAAAAATCCCAAAAACCCTTCTTTCGCTCAACGGCACCAACAGCTCACATGGTCACTGAAGTTCATGCGTTCTGTAACTCAATTTCCGCCTTCCTCGCTTCCGGAAGAGCAATCTCATACGGCTTGATAAACAAAATGTCCAAAAAATTTTTGTTATTAAACCTCGAGGGGTGATTTTTCGAAATTTTCTTGTGCTTTGGAATTTGTTGGCTTTGTTATTAGTAAAACATGACAAAAAACTTCTTTGACACCTCTTCCAAGCCGTAGAAAGGGTTATTAGGCAATTGGTAAGTAAAACACGATATAAAAGCTTCCACAAACAACATTCTAAACACAAAAACACTCGCCCTCAAAAAAACTGCTCGTTTCGACCGCCGAAAACGACATTCTCCTCCACTGGCCGGCCATGTTGTTGGCACCTGTTTTGTGGGGATGTTAAAGGAGCCGAGAGAAAAAAGATCTGCCCCATTCATTGCATGCAAATGGCGTCCATCCCTTCCAAATTTTGTCAGTCCCTTGTACTCCGTCTAGAGGGCCCGAGGGCAAGAAGAAGAGCGGAGAGAGGCGTTGGATCAGGGCCGAGCCGAGAGTTTACGTTCTTCTCGGCCGCTGATCGAAAGGCACAAGATTAAACTTGATGTGATTTGCGAAAAAACAGGAAAAAAAGCCGTTAAACAAGCGTTAATTGGCAGTCAAGAGGGCGTTGGAAACGGATCTTTTCGCGGAAAAATGGTGAAGCTGTCAGAACAAACTTTTATTGGTTAACATTTATTAGTAGAACGCTTCACATCAAAGACCCTGTAAAAATAAATTCCTCTTGTGGGCCAGATGTTTTTCATTATATTCGCATAATCCCTCTATTTACTATCCATTACTGCTTAGCTCAGCATAGGCAACTTGCTCAAATTTTATTTCATAAAGTTCGAAAAATTGCAGAGACTGTGTCAACCGTTTTTTTACTGCCTGCGTAAGAAAAGCGATTACAATTTTTTTGAGATAGTTTTTTGTTACCATCACCAACAGTGGTGGTGGGATGTCTCAGAAAGCGAAAAGTTTGAAGCTTTTCCCTTCAATAAAAAGTGAAGTTTATTTTCGAAAATAAGCACATTAAAAGTTGACGACTCTTACACGAGTCAATGTGTCGCTGAATTTTCAACCATTAGATGTCTTAAAAGATCTTCACATTGTCTGGTCCAACAGTAGTCCCAGTGACTCCACCTTCCTCACCGCTGCCTTCTTCAGTGGTCGATTGAGTGGAGTATTCTTCAGTGGTCGACTGAACGGGGTATTCTTCAGTGGTCGACTGAACAGAGTATTCTTCAGTGGTCGACTGAACAGAAGCCGTAGTAGATTCCAAAGGCAAGACACAAAGAGAATCTTCGCAAGTGGTGCCATCAGGGCACTTGGAACAGATATCGCCGGAAGTGTAGACAGGCCAGGAAATGTAATTTCCGCGGTCTTCATAGTTGCAAACGGCGAAATATCCATTGTCAAAGCCCGAAGAAAGGTTCTCGATAGAAGAACAATGGGCGATAGCACAGCCAAGACGGTAGGACTTGCCCCAGATGACCTGAAAAACAATAAAATAATGACAATAAAGGGGAGAACTGACTTGAGTGAAATGTCCAGTAACCACATTTGGATCAACTTCAAAGTCGGCTACATTGCTGACGTTGAATCCCTTGACCTCGCTGAACCAACTGTCAACAGAGGAAATTGCAATGGCAGTTACGTTGTCCTCTCCAGAAACCGCGTAAATATTCTCTCCACCGTGGTCGGATGAATGTTTCCAGACACAGTTACTGGCCCATTCGAAGGCCAAGTCCTCAATGCTGACGTCATATTCATAAGCTCTCATGTCAGCAGCTGTTGGAAGTTTGCCGTCACGGGCTTCTTGTTGTCCATTGGCCACCTTTCTCTTGTACATGTTGTGTTGGTTCAAGATGGCAGCTCTTTCTTCAGCGGTTAGACGGCGCTGAGTGAAGGCAGAGATGGCCAGGACAAGGCAAGAGAAGAAGAAAATGATTCTCATGGTTAGAAGTGGAAAACAAACTGTTTGATATGATTAGAGCTCGTAACATAGGCTTATATACCACGGTTTGCAGGGTGAATATCAGTAACATGTTTGATGAACGTTCAATTCGAGCGTGGGCTTCGTTCGATCACATACCGCAGCTCTGCGAAAAATTACAATGCTAATCTCTGAATTCTTGGAAAGTAGAATGCATGGGGTGCTCTCTAAAAGTTATTTTGTGAGCTGCATTCTGGCGATGATCCTGGAAGTTCCAAGAAATTTTAAAATGCAAATCTTCCGTTTTCTGTGGGAAATGACATTCTAGGCTTGCTGTGCGCATCACGCTGATAGCAAGGCCCTTTTTGGTCATTTAGAGAATCAAAATTGCTCCTACGGAGGGACAAAATTCCATGCCATAAATGAGCATAATTTTAATCAAAAATCAAGCTCTAGAAAGCCTGTTGATTTCTGCTTCGATCTTCAGAGACCATAAGGATTCACAGACCACAAAAATTCAGCTCTTTCCGTGAACTTCAGGATTACCATTCTAATTTTTCACAGAACGAAATCGACAGGAAACCCCCGCTCCACAATCGAATCGAACGCTAGAGTTCATCAATTTCAAAGTTGACTGTGTAAACTGTGGTATAAAAGCCCATGTTACGAGCTGCTTTAATCATATCAAAGAGTTTGTTTTCCACTTCTAACCATGAGAATCATTTTCTTCTTCTCTTGCCTTGTCCTGGCCATCTCTGCCTACACTCAGCGCCGTCTAACCGCTGAAGAAAGAGCTGCCATCTTGAACCAACACAACATGTACAAGAGAAAGGTGGCCAATGGACAACAAGAAGCCCGTGACGGCAAACTTCCAACAGCTGCTGACATGAGAGCTTATGAATATGACGTCAGCATTGAGGACTTGGCCTTCGAATGGGCCAGTAACTGTGTCTGGAAACATTCATCCGACCACGGTGGAGAGAATATTTACGCGGTTTCTGGAGAGGATAACGTAACTGCCATTGCAATTTCCTCTGTTGACAGTTGGTTCAGCGAGGTCAAGGGATTCAACGTCAGCAATGTAGCCGACTTTGAAGTTGATCCAAATGTGGTTACTGGACATTTCACTCAAGTCAGTTCTCCCCTTTATTGTCATTTTTTTTATTGTTTTTCAGGTTATCTGGGGCAAGTCCTACCGTCTTGGCTGTGCTATCGCCCATTGTTCTTCAATCGAGAACCTTTCTTCGGGCTTTGACAATGGATATTTCGCCGTTTGCAACTATGAAGACCGCGGAAATTACATTTCCTGGCCTGTCTACACTTCCGGTGATATCTGTTCCAAGTGCCCTGAAGGCACCACTTGCGAAGATTCTCTGTGTGTCTTGCCTTTGGAATCTACCACGGCCTCCGTTCAGTCGACCACTGAAGAGTACTCCGTTGGATCGACAACTGAAGAATCCTCCGTTCAGTCGACCACTGAAGAATACTCCACTCAATCGACCACTGAAGAAGGCTCTAGCAGCGGTGAGGAAGGTGTATCCACTACTCTTGGACCGGACAGCGTTCAGATTTTTTAAGGTGCCAATGATTTGGAAATCAGCGGCACATTGACTCCTACCAGAGTCATTTATTTCAGTTTTGTGACATAAACAATTTTTTCGAAAATAAAGTTGCAATGAGTTTTTGATGAAGAAAATCGAAGCTTTCGAAGTGACTCTTGATGCTCCTTCCAAGATTTGGAAGATGTCATTGTTTCGAGGACAAGACGGGCCCATAAAACTCATCATAACGTTGGACGAAGAAAGAAGACGACGTAAAAATTTGTAGGAATTATTATTGCATTTATTTATTACAAAAATACAAAATATTATAAATACTGTAGGAACACAACAAAACGTCTTTGTAACAAATATAGTTTTGGTTCCCAATATGCGGTGTGTATGATGCTACACTGGAGGAAAAGACAGTCTGACAAACGACGAGAGACGGCTTCCCGCACTGAAGAGATCGACGAATGATGGGGTTTCTCTCATGCGAACGACCAACTTTCTGTGCTCCTTGATCCAAACGCGAAGAGTGTAGGATGACATGATGATTAGAATGGCTGAGAGCAAAAATAGATTCGAGGCGTAACCTGAAATATGATTACTTACAAAGGGTATCAAGTGCAAGTTCAAATCTTTCATTAATTTTTCACACATGTTGGGAATAGACCACACACTCGTCAAAGCATTAGCTCAAGCTGCGCAGACAAAGCCGTGATATTCGACGATTTTTACGGCAGAAAGAGTACGCGAGGTTCGTGGAGCGGACAGAGAGAAAAACACATCTTGCATTAGTCATATCTTTGTCAGTTTGGGGTGGAAAGAATTGTTTTTGGAAAAATTACCCATCCTAGACATGAAACTTGTCATTGTCATGCCGGGAGACTATGGAACATTATTGGAAAAGATCAGAAAAATAGTTGTTCTTTTTGAGAGTAGGTGTGTCACTTTTTTGAACGTGGAAGTTACATTAAAATCCTCTATGATTGTATTCTTTCGAACACGCTATTGTAAAATTAATTTTTTGAAGAAGTTCGATCTGAAGATGGTTTCTATTATACAAAGCGCGAGCTAAAATTTTAGCACAAATTACAAGACCGTATTTTACAAAAATTTTATATAGTAAAGGGGCTTTAAATTTGATGACGTTTTCTGCAATCTCAAAACTCAACTTACTAAAGTCCACATCTCTTTTTCCAAAAAGTCTTGTGACATTTCTCTTCAACGGCTCTCCAAGGATCAGCAAACTTCCCATCGTCAATAAACACATCACTTCCAGGGCAACACTCACTCCAAACAAGATAATCTAAAAAATAATTACTAGGAATTTGCTTATATCAAGAATAAACGGAATATTTTAAATCTCACCATGATGACTTTGATAGTTTTTGCGGGTTGAGGTCTCATTTCCACCGCAACCAAGATTCTTCCAAAAAAGTGGGTAAAAGTTATTGAAGCTGCCATAATAACAAAAAATGCCAAGTTATATTCTTGCAAGATGATCAACGCTATTTCACATAATGTTATCAGTGCTGTGAAGATGATAATGGGCTAAAATACGGGAAATTTATTCAACGTAAAAATAGAAATTTTTCGTAGTGTGGAGGAATTTTAATCGTTCAAAACATTAGGTTCTTTTTACAGTGTTTGCCAAATAATCAACTATTTTCGCAGTCGAGAGAGTGCGGAAAATGAAGAGAGACAGCCAGAGAGGCCGTTTTTCGGCCAGATCTCCAAGGAGTTTGTCCGGAGAAGCCCAATTTTTAGTAAAAATATTATATAATACTTGACTCTTACAAAGGAATTTCAAATTTCATTTTGAAAATCTCAAAAAATATTGGATTTTTGAAACTTCTTGGTCGAAAATCCCAATTGTTCCTGTAAAGCGCAAACTAAAAATCAAGAAAATGTCTCGGATAATTGTGGATGTAATATTATTGTGCCAAATGTAATCAAAATCCAAGCAATTTTATTTTAAAATTTTTGGGATGTTTTGAAAAAAATGAAAAATCGGATTTTTTAGATTATTTTTGAAAACCATACAAATTGCAAAATAAAATATATGGGTTACTGAACATCTTACTTTGATTCCATAGAGATCCAGATACTTTTCCCACATCAACTGAAACCATTTTCGATCCGCTGCAACCATCAGTTTTCTCAACGCAAAAACCGCCAAGTCAACTTCGTCAATCGTCCTGACACCTTTTCGTAGCTTTACAAATAAACCTGGAGGCACTTTACTCAAAATTTCGAATCAAAATTTTCAGCTGTAGTAAAATTAAAGGACGAAAAATGATGTTTCTTCTCCCATTTGATCCGGAATCCCATGTCTTTCGATAGAATTCGATGCGATTTTGATCTCTCAGACAGTGTCGTGGGGAAATCAGTTTTGGCCACTTTTTTTAAGAGCCGTTCGGGTTCCTTTTCGACTCTTTCTGGAAAAAATAGAAAAATTTTTTTTTCACCATTTTTTTAAGTGATGGAGTCGATTTATTACCTAAAAAGAGTTGAAATATAGTCTTTCTAGCTCTTATTCTTCGAAGAATCGAATATTCTTCCTTTTCTCACCATTGCTAAAGTATTCTTTTCAAAATTCCCACGGTCTTGGCTGTTCAAAAATTTTCGTGGCATTCCGTTTCAAGCCCCGTTTTTCCTTCTTCTCGTGTGAGTTTGCCTCGGAAACCCTTCTTATTTTGTAATTTTTGTATCAGTAGAATAGACGTAGTCCGTAATGGCTCCAACGCACGTAATCTAGTAAGTTTTCTCTCAGACTTGACACCTCGATCAAGTACAACATAACTCTTTAGGTGTTCTTTGAGGTTTTCTGCGAAAATTGCTTTTGCGAGATATTTTTTGATAAAAAATAGGAATGGTAAACATGTTTAGGGTAATAATATAAATGGTTTGAGGCGACCACGAGGAAAAATTATGGTTTTCTCTATTTTTTTTAATTTCAGTGAGTTCGATCTAAATACAGTTGAAAAACTATTTCTGGGTAAGCCATGGTGGTGCCCACTGTCAGAGCGGAGACTAATCGACAAACTATCGCAGTTTCAGCCCTTTGGTAAGGCTTGTTTTATTATTTTTTAAATATTTTAGGCCTGTCTAGTATGATATTCGAGTAATCGCTCCTAACTCGCAGAAAGTATAGTATTTATCGCCGTTTTACTGCTTGATATAAATCTCACGACATTTTTAGGTGTTAAAAAACATTTGGAGCTGCTAAATCTTGTCCATGCAATGCATTATGTTGCTGAAGATGAGGAGAATGTAAATTTCGAAGAGCTAATAAGTAAAGAAGATTATCAGCTATATCTGAAGCGACAGAAAGAAGGGGCTCGTGATGATGTTGTGGTCTTCAATCCTAAATACAAGTTCCGACCGAATGGCGAAGAGGTTAGTCTGTTTTATTTGATTTTATATTCTTAGGGTGCGACTGCCGACGGATTTTGAATTTGCGGACGAATTTCATGAGAACATGAAAGGAATGATGGAGTTTTTTTTTTGTAAATTACACATCGGAAGGTGTCCAAAACGCTGCTGACATTTTCATTATGACTAAGCGATTCCTCGTCCTAGTCCTTTCATTTCGATTATTCCTCCATCTGATTTTGATTTCTTTAGATCCTCGAGAAAGTCAATGAATTTTTTGATCTCGACGCGATGGATAAAGAAGACCGACAAGTCCGCCAGTTTCCCGAAGAATCCTACGAACTCCCGCCCCACATCGAGTCTCTCTACGAGCAATACACGGAGGGCTCGGAGCCGCCACAATAATTTCTAATTATTTTAACGATCTCAAATAAATTCCCAGCATTTCGCAGACATGTTTCACTGTTTACCCTCCATTGGCTTCGTTTCCAGTGCATTGTACTGTCGCTGTGGTTGATTTTATTTGTTGACGTGACCTTTTCTGTGCGTAGTTTATTTATGCTTGATTTGGTTTTTATTTTTTTTTTGTTTTTTTATTTTGTTTTAGCTATGTGTAAGGTAAAGTGAAAATTTTACCGGTTATTAATGTGGATCTGAGGAACAGATGTGGTTGATTATGTTGTCTTTAGGCATGTTATTTGTGTTTAGAATAGTGGTTTGCTACTTTCTAAGGGCGCAGCTTGCCATATTCAAAATTTGCGGAATTTTGGGTTATAAAATGTTGTAAAGTCCTAATCAAGGGCTAGAAATGCTGCAGAGATTACGTCAGTGGTACTTATAGACCTTTTCACATTTTACTAAACCGCAGACTGCGCCCGAGCAAAATTTAATATGCGTATTTTAGCCTAAAATACGCGTTGAAATGACAGTGCATTTAAAATAGAGTGATGGAAATAAAAACAACGCTGTTTTTCTCTTGGTGACTATTCAGAAATAAGAAGAACTTGGAGAGTTTCTCGAAAAAAAGGCTTATTTTCTCAGCACTTCCTCTCCGGATCAAAAGCTGGACGGAACGAGAGATCCGCCTTCGAAAACAGCATTAAGGTCAAGGAATGCGCTTCTTCTTTTTTTCTAACTTAATTTAAAGCCGCGCACACAAGGGGTGAAGCGAACCCCCGGCGAAATTCGAACACACGTCAGGGGAAAGCGGCGCGGAAATAAAGGAGAAGAATGCGATGCGTAGGTGACAACCCTGAAATTTACCCCTTTTTTGGGAGAATTAAAGTTGGAAGATGAGCGGGGAGAAATTTTGTGGGAGTTGAGTGGGGAGTTTACTCTAATTTAGAGGTTTAAATTTGAGAAAGGGAGATTTATGGTCCGATAAAGGTCAAAATTGCTTTTCCTTTGAAAACAACTGTTTTTTTGTGTGTTTGCGATACTTTTGGATGTCAATTTGGTCTGTTTGGGCTTAATTTTCGCGTTTTGTAGCTGGATCCGAAAGAGATAAATTTCTAAATCTTATACTGCTGAAGCAAGGTTGACTTAACTTCTGAATTTTATTCCCCCGAGGTCAAGGGACACTCTCCCCCGAAGTCCTTTTTATTGTTATTAAATACTTTACACTTGACAAAAATTTTTCCCCTGAAGGTCGGAATCTTTTTTGATTTCTTTCCTTCGACGGTTTTCATAGTCTTCGTAACCCTGTTTGGAGGGTGTAGCAATTCTTAACTAAGCAGTAATAATAGGAGTTGCCCATTTGGGAAAGGTTTAGCTTGGAATTTTTATTTATTTGAGATTGTGTCGTCAATTGGGGAAAGGCAATTGGGGAAACTGAAAAGTATTATTCTTCTTCGATGTAAGTGTTGAAATTAGGATAACCGATGGCGCTGATTTTGAAATTGACATTCATTTTGCGATCGTTTCTATTTTCAAGTAGTATTGAAAAAATTCAAAAAGTAGTCATTTTTTGAATTTTTTTTCATAAATACTCGATTTGGTTTTCAATGGTGCTGATTTCGAAAAAGTAACGATCAAAAATAATGAATGTCATTTTCAAAGTCAGCGCCATCGGTTATCCTAATTTCGACACTTAAATAGAAGAAAAATAATACTTTTCAGCTTCCCCAATTGCCTTTCCCCAATTGACGACACAATCTCAAATCAATAAAAATTCCAAGCTAAACCTTTCCCAAATGGGCAACTCCTATTATTACTGCTCAGTTGAGAATTGCTACACCCTCCAAACAGGGCTGTGAAGACTATGAAAGCCGTCGAGGATTGTTTTTTTTTCCCAATGGCCTTTTTCCCAAGTGTCGCTCCCCATTTTCCGAAGTTTTTTGAAATTTGTCTAGGATCGGTCAAAATATTTGGGGGAAAAGTGCAAAATAGTTGTTGGAAGGTAGTTTTCACTGATCAAAGTTCGTTTTGATAGTGGATTTTTTCGATTTTACTCGAGTCTTGTGCCTCATGATGCAATTGCTGAGTTTTTCATTTATTAACATTTTTTTGAATGAAACATTCAGCTGAACACTTTTATCAATTTATTTTTTTTTCAAATTTTGCTTGAGGCTGTGGAAATTCTAAAATAAAGCTAAAAATTTTTCTTCTTCTAAATTTTTCTTATCTTGCTCACAATAAAATTTTTTTTACGAACTCGATAACTTTTGTCCTTCTCTGTTTGCCTTGTTGCCGGTAAATAGTAAAACGGCGACACGTTGCGAATTCAAGTTGCGATTTGAAGATAACGATTTGGGGTAAATGTGAGTGTTTACCGAAATTTTGGGTGATCATAAAAATATTATAGCGTCCGATATAATTTCGGAAATTTGACAACTGTTCATGAGTCGAAAAAAGTTCAAAATAACCCTTAATTTGGCATCAAAAAGTGTCCAGTACACTTTGGTGTCAAATTCGGGCTCATTTTGATCTTTTCTTGGCTTTTGTGTCGGCCTCAACCGACACAGTTCGGTAGAAACTTTCACGAAATGTGCAAATCAAGACTTCATTGTCAGTAATTCGAGTATTTCGAATACATTTTGCATAAGCAATCTGTGGGGTTTCAAAAATAAAGGAATTGCGTCTTTGTCCATCACATTGCCGAAATTTTTTTGGGCTCTGGAAAAGCTTGTAGGTTGGGATGATTTTCTGAAAATTTTTCTTGATTTTTGCGAGTTTTCCATATTTTCAAAATCAAATCCGTTACGTGAATAACTGATCTGTCCCGCGTTAATCTTGTACCACCCCACTCAGAATAAACTCTGCACTTTCAGGGATTTTAATGTGAATCGAGCGGAAGAACAAGGTCCGAGTGAGCCGGTATGTTTTACGCACAATGGAGAAAGGTCAGTGATTTCTAGGGCGATTTTTTGAAAAAACAATGTATTTTAATTTGGGCTTTTGGAAATTTTGAGATAAAGTAAGATGATATAGATGGGAAAATTTATTTTCTAGCAAAATTTTTTTAATAAAATCGATGATTGGTTATGGAAAATTTATTTTGGGCGATTTGACTTGTTCAGGCCACGTGCCAAGAGTCACCCACTATGTTTTGTTTGTTTTTCCGACTCTCGACGTCTTATCTTATTATCTACCCCAGCCCAGCACCCCCCTCCCATGTTCGGTTGACCCGATTCCCCCCTCCCTTTTTTTGGTTATCAGAGCCTCCATTTCCCGGGTTCATCTTCCCCATTGCCCCCCTTCAACACACGCGCCGTTACATCCGATTTCCCAACGGGCCGCGAAATGTTTCTGTGGCCCCGCGAAATAAAAGAACGGAAAGATTTGGGAGCGGAGAGCCCGTTCTCTTTTTTTATCGAACACAAAACTTGGTCCAAGAGATTTTGGAGGGTTTGTTGTGGTCGATTTGGTGGAATTTCGGATTTTGTTTTGGATTGGAGGTTTTCGTGGTGGGATCAAGAATTGGTTTTTTTTCATTTTTACCGGTTTTATAGATTTTTACAGATTTTTTGAGTAACATTTGATACTGTAGACAATTAGAAGAATAATGTTTGAAAATTTTGAATCGAAAAAATCCGATTTTTTGTAGACATTTTTTTAAACCTCAAAATTTTATGACAACTATGAGTTTTGCTATTTTTGGATTTCCGATTTTTTTAAGGATCATTATTTTTTCTTTATCGTTATTTATCTTTAATTTTATTTTGATGGCAATTTCTAAATTTACACCTTATAACCGCTCAAAGTCCCGTAAATGTTCATTTCTACACTTTTCTTCTCTTTCTTTTCCAAAGATCCCCTTGTCGGCGGCATTTTTATAAAACCGACAAAAAGTTTTTTGGATGTCCTACATTAGTTTGATGAAAATTCTTTCCTGTTGCATGTTGGGAGAAAAGCGAAAACGTTGGACGTGTTTTCCTCAAAAAAGAAAAGGGTTTTATTGTGTGGAAAAATTGAATTCACCAAAAAAAGAGTTTATGCCAAGAATTAGCGAGAGAAATTTATTGTGAAACTTTTTTTGGAGTGTTGGCTTTAATAAATTGTTGGCCTTACCATTAAAATGAAGGTTTTTATTGCGTATTTTACCGCAAATTTTTAAAATTCTCGTTTTTAATGATCTTTTTCAACGTAAACAAAGCTTTCCCATTGGAAATTAATTTTAATTCCTCGAGGAAATTGTTTGTCAAAAGCGTAGGAGAACCTAATAAAAAGGTTCAATAAAATCGAGGGGGGGGGAAAAGGTTTTCGTGCATAACTCAGAAGGTTCTCCCATGCCAAGTTGATGTCAAAAAAAGGAAACGCTCGTCATAATAATTCGATTCCAATTTTGGCTCTTCGAATATAGTGGTTTTGGAGGGAGGATGTTTGAAAAAAGTAGCGGGAAACTGGCTATTTTATTTTGAGTAGGGATATTTGGGGTATTGTAATTGGGATAACTTCTTCATCAAGTCCAGTCGGTAAAAAGGTCGACAACGGCGAAAATAAACGGAAATTTAGTGTCAAAAAGTATTGCATAGCCATAAAAAGACTGATGGGTTTTAAAAGACAGTTGTTGAATTTTTACTTCGTATCTTTTCCGATTTGAAGAAAATTTCACGAAATCGCAGAAATCCGTCGAAAATGAAAATCTACCCGAATTTGATATCAAAAAGTATCGCAAAGACATAAAAAGACTGTTGTTTTCGAAGAGAAAGGTGTTTATTTGCAGAGAAGGGTGTTGAACATGTATCGAGGCGCTTTTACGAATCGAAAAAATTTCGAGAGGAACCTTATTACTCGAAAACGAGGATTTCTGCGATTTTGTGAAATGTTCTTCAAAAGGGTACGAAGTAAAAGTTGAATTGCTATCTCTTAAAACTCGGCAGTCTTTTTATGCTATGCAATATTTTTTGACACCAAATTCCCATTTATTTTCGTCGTTGTCGAGCTTTCTACCGATCGGAATTGATGCAGAAGTTATCCCAATTACAACGCCCCAAAAATCTCAACTCGAAGTAAAATAGCCACTTTTCCGTTGCTTTTTCAAACATTCTCCCTCCAAAAACCACACTATTAGAAGAACCACAAATGAAGCCAAATTAGTGCATTTGAAATCCTTTTATTTCTTTATACATCTTGCTGCCACCAATCTTTCTCACTATCAAATTTCCGGCTTATTACAAGAAAGGCAAGAGTTTATCCAAACATCTGAGCTCTCTGCTCGTGACCGTCTCCACTAACGATACTAATTTTATCTTTTCTCTCCATTATTTATTCAGCAGCTTCGCAGCACAGAGAGGGAAAGATTAGGCCGAATGTTTTTCGAAAGCGGCACGAAAACAACACTGCAATTGCATGTAAATGTAATGATAATTGGGGTGTTGGCTGGAGTTTGTCAAACCCAAAATTTTGGAGTAATATCGATATTTTTTGTGCAGACCTCTTGCAACTGCTTATTTGTAGTGGCTTGTATTGTCAAAGCAAAACGGAAACAAAGAATTTTTTGACAATGAAGGGAATGTATTCAGATGAGAAAATTTGCACTTGTGATATGTTTCCTTTTCAGTTAGTGCCCTTTATTTATGAGATATGGGCGCATAACTGTTGTAATTGCAACAATTAACGGTATTCGGGGACTGGGGGAAAAGAGATCGGTTCCAGTCGATAAAAAGATCATAAATGGATCAGATTGGTCCAAATTTGATAGCATAGCATATTCCAGAGACGAAAGGTTTTTTTCTGGCTCTATAATACGTTTTGATGCCAAATTATGACTGGTTTTTTACTTTATTTTTTTACAGTTGATTAAAACCGACATAATGCGGTCATATTTCCACAAGTACGTGACACTTTGAACGTGCGTTCGTTCGAAGGATTTTCAGTTTCTTCTGGCCATTCCGGGTTGAAAGGTTCAATTTTCAATCCCGCTGTATTTGACCTTATTTTGTCGAGAACAGGCTTAGTTTTCCGGTTTGAATTCTCTTCCTCCCCTACTGTACACTCTGTTCCTCCAAGGGTTTCCAATTATAAATTCCTCTTGTTCTTTCTGCACTCTTCATCTCCACAGAAATTCCCTCAATTCCGTTAAATTCCCGAACTTCCGCAGCAAAAAATTAGGGCAAACCCTGAGGCCAGAACTGCGTAATCCTCGTATTTTTAGTGCGCCGAATCCCGGAATTTCCTGGACTTTTTTTCCCGAGGAAGTGTTCGAAGGCGAATTGAAGCGTCAATCAAGTTATAGTCTGTCCGAAAATCTTCTGATTTGGTTTTTCAATTAAGTCCCCAAACCGAAGCGGGTGGAATTTGATAGCGGGGCGTTTAATTGGGACCCCCAGGAAAGGACAAGCCGTTCCATTTTTCGTTGTCTTCATTGCTGTCCGACATATTTGCCCGTGGGTTGGTCTGTGATTACTTCAGAAGCTTTGTGAATCCACCGCCTCCTTCCAGTTGCACTCTACATCATTTCGTGATAAACAAAAATATGCAGACAGGTGGAAAGTTCTTCAAAGAGGATTTTTGAACATTTTTCATGGGTCGTTGCTTAAAGGAAGAATACGCCTAAATTTTGATGAATTGTATGGAGTATGTCGTGCTACTTGCTTGTTTTTCTTTATTTCGGATTCAACCTTTCCAAATTTTCTTACTTTTGTTTTTTACCAGTTTAAAAAGAGGTTTCATTGCCCTTTATCTGCAAAAGAGAGGAAAATGTCAGAAATAACTCAACCATGGCTTCCCCTAGACCTTTGTTGACATAATAATATGGGTCTCCATGCACTGGAATTCCTTACGAGATTGTTTTATAAGAATTGGAACACGGCCGGTAATCGGTGCATTGAGGTCATGTGTGGGTGCTTGATGGGTTTATCGAACGCTGCGTATGATATCATATATCATTGGTTTGACTAGAGACGGCTTATTGTGGTAAATGATAGAATTCTTAGAGGTTGGGAAGTTTTATTAAGGTTCATAGAAACTACATGGAGAATAGGTATTAAGGTTGTGAAAATTTGGGTTTTTCTTTCTTTATGATACCTTTTGACACCAAATTTGTGCTTTTTCCTCTCCTTTTCTACCCTTTTGTTGACTGAAACCGGGCCAGGGCTCTGCTAAAATGAAGGATTCGAAATTCAGCAAGACTCTATCCTTAGACTTCAAAAATCCCTAATTTGAATTTTTGACCTATTCGTTGCGATTTCGTTGCGTTTCACATAAATCCGCTGGCCGTTCCGGTCGCCCTTCTCCAACTCGCGGCCGCAAATCCGCCTGGGGAATTTGGAAAAGCCATTTTTATTGTGTTTTGTTTGGCGTTTGAAGCGCGGAATGAATTGTGTAGGAGTGAGAAACTATTTTCTCTTATTTTGGAAATTTCTGTGCCAACAACGACTTTTGATGTCATTTCGGATTTTGTATGGCCGAACATGATAGAACATTCAGCATCCTATTTCTTTGCCTGATGCTTTGGAAGGACTTTTTGTGTTTTGTGGCACGGGGTAGAGTTCAAAATTTGGTTAGGAATTTGATTATTTTGTCAGTAAAGGGGGTTTCAAAGCGATAAAATACGAAGATGTTGACTTTTTGGTCTATTCCAAACCATACATACCTTGTGTTCTGAATCGGACTGATCCATGAGCTCTTGAGCGTGGAATGTGCACCACCTTCGGGCTGAATTTGCAATTCCTCACCATGGAAACACTGTCAGAAACTTGGGTGGAGCACCATTGTTATAGACACGCATAAATCGTTAATAATTTATTCCACACATGACCCGTATCTATTGTCTACTGGAATTTCGAACATTTAGCGGGTCATTTCCGCACTTTCAACGAGGTTTCACGTCAAACTTCCTGTTTTTTTGACCATCCTTTGAATTTCGCATAGTTTAATGTATGGTATCCCAATGCACTTTTTCCACAAATCAAGAGTGGTCCCTTTGAGTTGTGGGGCTTCCTATTTTTACATGAAACATGCGCTCAAAACGCACTTGAGGATTAACATAAAATTTCTGAAATTTTACGCTAATCTCCTGACTTGAAAAGCCCTATTTAGCTGACGTTTTCGCGGATTTTCCGACTGTATAGTCAAGTGGGACCTTTAAAAGTTGTGGAATAGTATTTCTCGAAAGAATATTTGAACTCTAAAGTTTTCGTGCTGGGATTAAGAAGGCTGTTCGCGGAGGGGAAAGGGCTTGGATTTGGATGAGAGTTGTTGGAAGTTTATGCTTTTGCAGTCCAATGGCGACTATCTGCGGATTCGCAACTTTCGTTAGACAAAGAATGGGACGGTCTGGCTTTACAGAGGCGGACCTGATCCAGTGGTTAAAAATGTACCATTTTTCATCCGTGAAGTGTCGAAAACGCAGCAAAATACCTCCCTCCCCAACTTAAAAAATTCCGAGTCTTTTCGCTTGAACGAGGGGAGGTATTTTGCTGCATTTTTGATACTTCCTGAATGCTAAATGGTATGTTTTTTGCCACCGGAACAGGTCCGCGACTGTTAAAATACAGTGAAGGACCCGATCCAGTGGCAAAAAGCGTACCATTTTGCATCCGAGGAGCATAAAAAATATGGCAAAATGCTTCCATCTCCAAGTGAAAAAACTTCGTTTTGAAGGGCGCGCCCTTTCCCTCATAAAAAGAGTGGGCGCGCTTTTGAAATCAGCGGTTTTTCACTTGGAGGGGGAAGCTTTTTGCCACCTTTTTTGATACTTCCCGGATGCAAAGTGGTACGTTTTTTGCCACTGGATAAGACCCGCGCTGTATGCCACTGTAAAAATAGTGTTTGTTGAAGAGTAGATTACATTTAGACCATTTGGTGCAAAATTTTGTTAGTTTATTCAATTTCTGACGCAAATATCGAATTCTTCATGCCACACACGACTTGAAACTTCCCGATTTTATTTACTACGTGGTTCTACAAGACTCACTAATTTAGTTTCCTTTATGATCGTCTCATCCCAAATGGCCTTCCAAATTCAATTTTCAAAATGCTTTTAAAAGTTTTGTGACGTTCGCCAGTAGTATTGGAAGTAAATTTTGAGAGGAAAAAGTCTTTACAGAAGATATGGAATAATTTGTTTGCTAGCCAGTAGTTGTATTTGCACTTGAATTTGCGAATTTCAGCTGTTCAAAACACGTGTTTTTCGACAAGTTTTCAAAAGTCACAACAGTTTTTCTGGCCTTTTGTTTATAAACGCTGGTCTTGAGGTTAAAAAAGAACCGTAAAAACGTAGTGTGGCGTGAGTCTTGGAGGTGGACTTGGCAAGTGGCTCAAAATGGATACTTTAATATTGGATTTTTTAGTTTTTTTGCAAGAAGAAGGCATAAAGTTTGCACCAAAAGGTGATTGTTGACTGACAAGAAGCAAAATAAATGACAGGAAGATTTGTTAATTGAGTTTGAGTTATAAAATATTTCCATTTTGAAAATTTCATTTTTATTCATGCTAGGGCAAAAAAACTGTTGGGATATAAGATTGTAACTTTTTGTTTCTTCCCTTGCTTGTAATCCGTGCTTGTTACACACTCACAATGTCAGGACACTCTTTTTTGGGCAGAATAACCTTGTTTTCATTGCCGTTTTTATTGAAGAAGGGAATTATTGGCGTTCGAGAGAAAAGCGAGGATAAACAGCTCTTTCTGGAAGCCAAGAGTAAAAATCGGGCCCTCCGCAGTTCTTTTGTGCATTGTTTACTTTCTGGCCAAAAAATAGAAAAAAAGATTACTCGGGAATTCGGTTTGAAATATTTACAGTGTTTTCCCCGGGGCTTTTGGATTTGGAATAATAATTTGACAAAGACTGAATATGAGATTTTTTATTTTGGAGTACGTTGATGTGGACAAAATTTGAATCGTCGACGGACATGAACATTCAGCCGTAAGAGTGCAATCAGAACCCGTTAAAATTAGGTTTGTTTGTTGTAGATCAATCTGGAAAATGCGGGAGGTGCTGCTCCTTGAACTGTAGTCGAAAATCGAGTTTTTAAAGTTGCATTAGGATCCAAAATTTTTTGGTACAGTGGGGGGCCTGATCCAGTGGCAAAAAACGTACCATTTTGTATCGCGCCATTTCTCTCTGAAAAAGAGCGGGCGCGCTTTTGAAATCGGAGTTTTTTCACTTGGACAGGGAAGCATTTTGCCACCTTTTTGATACTTCCCGGATGCAAAATGGTACGTTTTTTGCCACTGGATAAGGTCCCCTGTATGTAAATGTCTGGTGTCTACTATGACGTCAGCATGTAATAAAATTCCAGCGATGTTCATCAAGGATTTTAGGACAAATTCTGCTGATTGCTGTCATTTTTTGATTTTTCCACCAAAAAATTCAAGTTGAACTCTTGATCCTCATCAAAAACCATAAAGTCCAAATTCAGCAGATCTCTGACATCGAGCAAGGGCTCTCCCCCATTTCCCAAATTGATCCACGACAAACAAACCCAATGTAGACGGGCTCCGATTGTACCCTTGCTGGTTCATGTTCACCCGCAGGTGAATAATGTTTGTCCTTTCGCGTATGCTATGTAGGCGGCAAACCCGTCTCCCATCTGACTGGATTTACCTGCGCGCGATTAGGTTAACATTTCAAAACCGAAACGTTTGTTTTGCGCAATTATACACGAGAGCTAGTGTGTGTTTCAAATGTTATTTGACGATTGCCCCGAAACACTCTTTTTATTCGCTTGCTCCAACTATTGTAAAATGTACGCCTCGAAGAGTATGGATTCGATTTTAACGGTAATGCGGAGGACTTTGAGGGATTTGAGTCGTAAAGCAGGGTAAAATACGAGGATTTCGGGAAAAAATTAAAAAAGATTTCAGAATTGTAATGGGTAAAAAGTTAGAAATTTCTAGCTTTTGGAGCTTGGTAAAAATATTCGGTCAGATTTTACAGGAAAATCGATTGAAAATTTTGAAGACACAATATCATATCAGTTACGGTCAATATAACGGCAAAATTGTCTATAATTTGACATCAAAAAGAATTGCGGAGATACAAAACACTTTTTATAAAGAGAGGATTGTAGCCAGCAGTTTCGAGATTTTTCAAGGCTCATAAAAAGTGCAACTCCTCTGTCTTCAAGTCCTATTAAAGGTTTTATGTGTCTGCGATTCTTTTCGATTCCAAATTTGAGATTGTTTTGCCCTCTGTTTCAACCCTTTGTCGACGGAAGGGTTTGATTTTGTATCATCTCAATCTTCCCTTAATTTTTGGAAGCCAGAAAAAAAAGCCAAAAACGCATCAGTGTTCAATCAGAGGCATAAAATGTTTGAAAAAATCAAAAAATGTGCGGTTGTTTGATAAAAAATTACAATTATTGACTTTTAAACTTTTTATCGGGATGCAGTTACAACCTTCGCCATTCAATTTGAATCTCATCTTCTTTCAGATGAATTATGTGGTCAGGGATACCGACACGCTGGAAGGAATCGCTGCCGCACACGACTGCACAGTTGGTGAACTGGTCAAACTCAATAGGATGCCCTCAAGAATGGTGAGTTCAACACGATTTTTATACCTTTCCGAAAACGATTCCATCAATTTTTTTACAAACCAAATCAAACATTACACATGTGGGAATACCCCAAGGGTCCTTACGGATTTACATTGATTATGAAAAATAGGAACACCGTAGATTATGTTTATCGTGACGAAATGGGTTGATGTTTGGAACAAATAAAACATGAGGAAGATCCTCATGTTTTGTCATTCCACATATTTTTTCTACGATTCCCAATTCGGATTAACCGTTGTCGAGTAGATTTCGTTAGATGTGTGTCACAATGGTGGTGAACCCGGTGTGGTTTCTGACGGGGGTAAGTGGAAGGGATCTTTGAACTGGGAAAAAAATTTTTCGTCTGGCTGGATCTCCGCGTTTTCCATGGTATCTTAGCTGCAGAGATCGTTGAATATAACGGCTGCTCATGCAAAACATGACACAAAATTTTTTGGGGTTAAAATTAACTTATTTGGAGGGTGCGTGCGAGATTTTGAGGGAGTTGTACAGTGGGGGACATGATCCAGTGGCAAAAAACGTACATTTTGCATCCGGGAAGTATCAAAAATGTGGCAAAATGCTTCCCTCTCCAAGGGAAAAAACCCCGATTTCAAAAGCGCGCCCGCTCTTTTTGTGAGGGAAATGGCGCGGCCTTCAAACCGAAGTTTTTTCACTTGGAAGCATTTTGCGACGTCTTTGATCCTTCCCGGATGCAAAATGGTACGTTTTTTGCCACTGGATGAGGTCCCCCACTGTACCAAAAAAGCTTGAAATCTCAAAAATCGCGATTCTGGACTACAATTCAATGAGCAGCACCTCCCGCATTTTCCAGATTGTAGCTTTGAACTTCCATCAGTTCAAGTCTCAGTTAAATTATCGGTAAATTTTTTTTAACATGAGGTTTCATACAATAGTTTAAGGCTGACGAGAATTATTTTTTACCATAACATCTATTCTAACTTGGTTGGGAGCAAATTTTAACCCATTTGAGCTTTGAGCCCCCGAAATTCCGATAGTACACGAGACATCTGACATTGGTAAACAATTTTTTTGCTGTTTTCTTAGTTTTTCTACACTTTTGGCCCAATAAATTCCCGGTTAAGCCCTCACTTGGCCAAAACAACGATAAACCACTCTTCTCACCGTCCTCAAGCGCCCTTTAACCCCCTTCTGACTTCCATTTCCCTCCACAAACATTCAAAAATCGATGCCCTAAAGCCGCAATTTATAACAAAAAATGAGTGCTTGTCCCCATTGTTTTTGCGTCCACTTTCTATTCTCATTGTTAGTTTTATTGCGGAGATCCGGAAGAAAATTATTCATTAGAATTGAAATTTTTTTCAATTTTGTTTGATGGATGGTACTAGGAATATAATTAGGTTAGCAAATGTAGCAGAAGGGGAAATGGACGGTAAAATTGTAGAGGATCTTTTCAAAGAGAGTATGAGATTGTAGGACACCTACAATTTTGGAATCCAAGATGTTTTTGAGAAAGGTTTTAGAAAAGGTGGTCAAGTGTAAGGTAAATTTTTGCTGGTTATGAAGAATTTTCGGTTGCAAAATGTCTTTGGCTGCAACGCAAACGAGGTAAAGGTTATTTTACGTATTTTTTTTGTTGCTGGTTCCGAATTTGGCACGATTAATATCAAATGCGCAGTATAATATAAAATTGATGTTATTTTTTAGCGAATGGCCTCTAGGACGTATTATAAAATGTAACTTGATTAGCTAGCGCGCTGAAAGCCTCAAAATTCAGTTCAAAGTTTGCAAACCCTAATATTTGAAAAATCTTTCATCGTATAAAATGTCGCCTTTTCTAAAAATCCCTCGTATTTTTCGCGAAATGACCACCTCGTGGCCATACTTTGGCCTTTTTCGGCCACTGCGCCTTTGGCTTCGCCAAAATTCCCCACAAAAAACGTTTTTTTCGTCCCCAGCTGGGCCAATTTTCCCAAGGATAATATAATTTCCTCCAAAATTTGTGGGAATTAGCGGAATTTAGGTAATATTTTTGTTGTTGTTGGAGGAAGAAGACCGAAAAGAAACGATTTTGTCTTGGATTTCAATTTCAAAACGGGAGTATCGGAGGCTGTAGATCTTTCTTTTGTTTTCGGACCTTTTTTTTTTGTATTTCACACAATATTTTCTCCATGGGGAACGATCCCGTTTTCTAGAGTTTGCGAGGCACACTCCTCTTTCTCTCGCATCTTTCATTTCGATCGGAGTGAAATAGAAGGCTTTTTTTGTGAATCTACATCCAAAATAGGGTCACAGGACCGATAATCAGACAATTTCGAACAAATGGGCTAGCCCTAATGGGGGCTTTTGTTTCCGTTTCATACCTAGAATCACTCTTGTTGATAAAATAAAGTTTCCATTGGGAGTTGAGTCGCTTCGAAAGGTTTTTGTTTATTTTAGTGAAAGCTTTGAGTAGTATTATTTAATTTGTCTAATTTTAGGTATTCCCCGGTCAGAAGATTGTAGTCCCCGCCACTGCCGACGAGGTCTTCGCCCAGGCTGCGATTCAAAGTGCGCAGCCACAACCAGAACCCGACATGAAACCTCAACTTCGATCGTTTTCGATGAATGAGACTTGTTCAGGTAGGTTAATTTAATTTTTGTGCCTTCTTGAATTTAGGTGTGGATGTGAGAGGAATATGTTTAAAGTGAGGTTGAAAGAGACTTTGTTGAGGTCGTGTGAGTCGGAGAGATGAAACTTTGAGGGTTGTGAGGTAAACTGCGGGAACCTCTTGCACCAGTACTCTGTCAAACAAAGAATTTTGTTTTTAAACCTGCTCCTGATAGTTATTGGTTAGACTTTTGTCTATAATAGAAACTACAGGGTCTGGAAACGTTAAATTTACGATTAGACAGAGGTTAACATCGGACATAGTTGACAAACACATGAATTATGTTATCTATGAGGTCTTTGGAGAAACGTAATTTTTCTGTCTTTTCTGAAAATTTAGACGAATCACTGGTGCTTTTTTTGAGCTGACTTGCCGTTATTTTCAACTACACTTACCTCCAGACTTGCCGATTATTTTATCCATTAGGTGGAGCTCTGGATGTTGGTCTTTGAACGCCTGCGATAACTCGGAAGCAGCTCATATACGTACGAACTTTGGCGATTTCGTTAGAACTTGCTAAATAGAGTAGTTTTGAATGTAAACGACATCATCAAAACACGGCCTATTAACGTAATGCACAGATAAGGACCAAGCTCAGAGTTCAGCTGTCATAAAATCCGAAATTATTTCGGGGACCGTGGCCTGAATGCAAGCTTAATTTTCCGCCGCGAAGATCTTGTTTATTCAGACGTCAATCGCGACGAAAAATAATAATCATGGTAATTTACTAAGAGTCCTTTCTCACGTTCGCGTGTCACCGTCTCTTTAGGTAATGAAAATGAATATATTCTCGCCGAAAATGGATGGTATTTATAACTGGAAAAGCCCACTTTGGCAGCACTTATGACTGGAAAAAGGAGTTTTTCTAGAATTTGGGCCTGAAATCGGACTTGTTTGAGCATTTTGGCTTGGAAATCTAACTTAATCCCTGAAAACTGTCTAGGAATTTCAATATCGTATAGTGGGAAGAATGCTGAGACAAGATTAGAGCCGTCTGCTGCTGGTAATACCTGAAAGTCGGCGGATTTGGGCCGAGCGTTAGTTTTACGTCAACAAATTTCGGTTGCGTTTTTGGAGAGAGTAATTGACTTTGTTAGTGGAATATTGATTGTAGGCTGTGTTTACTGCTGTGGTAGTGCACATAGTTTCAGCGTGATAAATCCAAAACGATATTTCGCTTGACGCTTTTTAGTAGAATTTATTTAGGTACTTTTTTGGGTATTATATCTTTAACAGTATTAAAGAACATCAGGCTTTATGCTGAAGATAATTTAGGGAAATAAATTTTAAAAAAATTATATTGGTATTGGCATTTTTTGCCCAAAATTTTACCTTTTTGGCTTTTATAATCGCACATGTTGAGATTAAGGTGAAACAAGATGGATTTATTTTTACGGATTAACTTAAATTGGGCCGGATTTACTGCAAGAAACAGTGTTTTCAAAAAATGATAGGTCCAAATTTTCGCTTCTGTAATTAAAAGATTTTTACTGCACAAAGTATGTAATCAGTCTCTCCGAAATTTGTTTTCTTACTCGGAGTATGTGACGCAAAGATAAAAAAACTGAGTGCTTGCATTGGACCTCAGGCATTCTGCCCCTAATCCCCGAGAAAGATTGGAATTTTTAATGTCGTTTTTCTCCAAAAACTTGCTCCCAGAAGGTCGTATGATTGTATAAACATTGTAAATGCATGTTTTGATCCCTATAACGTGACTACTTCCGCGATTTTTTGATACTGAAAAAAAAATTCCAGTGTTTTTGGAGAAGTCAGTCTGATCCGTAAAATGCGTCGCTAAAGCCGGCGATTAAACGTGGAAATTGAAAAAAACGAGATTGATTGGAAAGTCTGATAATCGATCGGAAGCTAAGTGGTGTCATGGAGATTCCAAGAATCGAAGTCAACGCTCACGAATGTAAGATTTGAGGGTTTTGATGAATCTTGTCGGCCGGAGAGGGAATATTTGCGATTTTAAGTGTTTTGTTTCTAAAGGAGTCTCAAATTTGGTTGATTCTTATTGGCAGGATGCCTATGACCATCTCGAATGGCTAAAAAGATCGAACGGAGATCTAAAGGATTTAATAGGAATGGTATCAGAGTGACAGAAAGGATTGTTGGAGTTGAAGGAATTGAAAACGGGGGATGTTTTCTATTCTTAATTCAAATATACAGTGGCGGATCTAATCCAATGACAAAAAACGTACCATTTTGCTTCCGGGAAGTATCAAAAAATGTAGCAAAATACCTCCCTCTCCAAGTGAAAAAAACGGGAAAAAGGCACACCCTTCAAAACGGAGTTTTTTCAGTTGGAGAGGGAGGAATTTTTGCTACATTTTTTGATACTTCCCAGATGCAAAATGGTTCGTTTTTTGCTGCTGGATCAGCTCCGCCGCAAAATTTCTCGCTAATTCTATTGAACTCAAAATCGGAGTCTATTGAATCTCTCTTCCGACAGTTTTGTCGACTGGATCTTGTTGTATTCTAACAGTCTTGAAATGATAAAGTCCTCAAACGGATAGCTCAAATTGGGGAAATTGCGGTTCAAGTCTTGAAAATTTAATGAAGCTTCTGGAAATTTCCCTAAAATTGCGGATGTGCTCCTTTCAAACTTGAGAATTTGCTGATGATTGCTATAAAACGGTCTGAATCATTCATTTAAGTGCACTGATACAATGTTTGATTCAAAACCTCTGCTCTTATTTGGGCCTCAAATGGTATTGATAGCTGTTTCTAATGAAAATTTTTTTCTGACAGAATTGTCATTGATATTTATTATTATTTTTTCCTGTTTTTGCGGTGAATTCCAGATTTGTTGTTGAATGCCAGATTTGTTGTTGCCACTTGATTCCGCATGGCTTGTCTTCTGTAATTTCGAAGAAACAAAACTTATCTTTAATTTAACAGCTAACTACAGCTGTTTTTCCATAAAAATAACAGTTTGTTTACCATAGTTTTGGGAAAACATTGATTTTCCTACACATTGATTATCAGCGGTACCAGGCTTTTCATTGAAACCCGTGGGCCTCCCCGAATAAACAATCGGTTATTATCATAAAACACGCCTTTTCTATGTAGAATTAGAGGAAAATGTTATTTGAATTTGATGTGGATTATTCGAATTGATATTGTATTGGATTGTTGAATTGTGGTTTAGGCCTCGAAACGTGGATTCGAAACAGTTTCATTGCAATACAGAGGATTGAGAGCGGTTTTTTAAAAAAATTTTTGAGATTGATGTTGTATAATTTTGAAGAAGGCGATGGTTGAAGAAAAGTAGTCTTACGGTTCTGGTTTGTATTATAAAGGCTTGGAATTTTATTACTGATGGTCTTGAAGTTTTATGAGGGAAAAATTTTCAATTTCTAATCATTGATAGCCAGGATTTTACTTCAAATTTTCACCTTAAAATTTTTTAAAAATTCGACGTGGAATATTGAGCCCATTGTTGGCTGGAAACCTCATATTTGCCCAGCGTTTCCAATCATTCCCTTTATTCTTTGCTCTTTTCCATTAAGTGTTTTGGTTTACAAAACAAAACAACTGATAAATTTGATGGAAATTCTGATAAAAGCTGCAATTTTAAACTTTTTTTTTCCTACGAACGCTGATTAAGTCTTACATTTTACCTCCCTTATCACAAAAGGTTTGATTTTGTTGACCGTTTGAGGGCGTTTCGAAACGTTAATAGAGGGTCAGCCTTTGTGATTTCGTCAAAAGAGGCCTACAGGCCTTTTGAGGAACGGTTTATTAGAAATTTGGAGGAATGAATCGGGGAAATGTTTTTTGAAACCGATAAATTCTTTGTTTTTGGTCTTGGTTTATTGGTCTGCACAGTTGTTGTTCGGTGGTCCTGGTCGTGTTTATTTATTCTTTTCATTTTTTTCATTTTATTTAATCTCACGGGATTTTTTGGAAAATTTAAGGCTTTTTGGATGTTAAACGTGACATTTTGGTACGGATTATTCATTTTAAAGTTACGTAGAGGTGATTTAAGGCCGGTTTTAGCAGCTTAAACTTTGATTCCGGACTTTTGTATAGTAATTTAGGCATATATCACCTTTTTTTTGGACTTTTGGTCGATCTAATCGATTACTAATCAAAAAATACGAATTTCGGTATTGCAAAATTACCTGCACTTGTTATCTCTGTTGTTGTCTTGTAATTTCTGACCGCTGAAAAACCCTCGGTCGGGCCTTTATTTATCACTCGTTGCATCATTTCCATTACTTCATCGTTTTTTTTGACGCATTCATTGCAGCTGACAGAATTTCTTGTTTTGTGACTGTTGTCCTCTACGCTTTTGTTGTGTATTTCCTGTGCAGGCTCGTCAGCATGGCGATGACGGTGTTGTGGGGCTTCTGGGGTAAGTTCTCATCTTCATTTTCTTGCGATCTTTGGTCGTAATGGACAAGTTTTGGTGCGGTTCTGAGTGCTTTCGGTGTTGTTGCGGTATGTTGGGGATTGTGGGGTGTCGAAATTGATAAAAATAAAGAAGGGATTGAAAAAAATGTGTGTCATGGATAATATAAAAAATTACCGGGAAATGACGAAGAAAAGTACACATGCAATGCAAATTGAGTGTAAATCGGAGAATGTCGTGATATACGCAATTTACAAGATAGAAAGGGAAAAAAGCATTAGTTTTGTTTTTATCAAAAATTCCAATTTTTTTTGTTTTGACGGAAATTCCAAAGAATCTTTTTTTTCTTACCCAAAAATATCCAAAATGAATGGTGTTATGCGAAAAAATGCCATAAAATATTCTTTATTGTGTCGACATTTAAAAAAATCCATTTTTTATACCGCGGAAATATCGCAAAATTTATTCTATTTTGTTGTTTTCCAATTCCCCTCAACTTCCGCCCCTAGAGGACACGGGGAATATTGGCGCCGCGTGTGGGGGAGTTGTTTGTTTTCCACACTATTTTATTGGCCCAAATGCATTCTGTTTGCATTTTGTTTTGGCGTGCGGCATCAAATTTTACCGCCCCTGTTGTTTTTTTTTCGCCGCTTCTAATTCAATAAGATTTAAGCGAAACTTGCAAAATTACGGCCGCTTCTCTCGGTTTTACGGCCCGCATTTTAGGGAGATGAAGGAATTTTGAGATTGGCATCGAAAGTTTCATTTGTTTTGGGTTGAAAGCGAGTTCAGACTTGAATTTGTGGGATTACTGTGTGTGTTTTAAATGAAAATAGGGGTTTTATGAGATTTTTGGGACCTCAGAAGTCTATAGAACTGATATAATGGAAGATTTTGTAGTTGGTCGCATTAATTTGGTCATAAAAATTCGAAAGGATTTAATTTTTGTTCCGAAAATGAATGAAAATTTGATTTTTGAACGGAAATTTAATCTTTTGGTTTTATGAGAGGTAAATTTAATTGGCATATGATTAATAAACCAAATTATTTGGAGGCAAATGTCTTTTGAGGATAATTCTTTTTGTCGAGAGCCAGCTAAAATTTTAGAAAGAACATGATTTTTATGGGATTTGTTGTCTAAAACAATATAATTCTAATCTTAATTTCATTCCAGATGGAATCCGCAAAGGTCCCGGTGTGCCGGCACCCCTCCAGTTCGTCGACCACCAAATGAAAACCAACAATAACATGAATTCGAACGGAAAACCCGAATTATCCACCAAAAAGTCGATGGAATTCGATCTGGCCGACGCCGAATGCCTTCAACGATTCCTCAAAATCAAAGTGAAGCAGGTCACCGAGTCGGATGGCACAGTAACTGGGACATTATTAGTCACTCCCAACTGTCTAATGTTCGACCCGGATCTAAATCATCCACTGGTTAAGGAGAAAGGCACCGATTTGTATGGAATGGTGGCCAAGTAAGCAATTTTTGAACGGGTTTTTAGCGAAATTTTAAATTTTTGCCGATTTTTTGGGTAAATTTGAAAAAATTTTGATGAATTTTTATTCGTTGAGTGTTATACTTGATTTTTTAGTATGGAAGACGTCGTATCGGTCTCGGTGTTCAAGCATATTGCTGATTTGACCGGTGAGGAAAAGAAAGTCGATGGAATTTATGATCCTTCTCATTTGTCCGACCCAAAACCCAAGAAACCTCAGAGTTTGGATAGATCCAGCTCAAATTCCGTCGATGATCCGGGTAGAACTCCTTGTAAGTGGATTCTTTATAACTTTAGCTGCTTTTTGTTGGGCTTTGGAGATTTTGAGGCAATTTTTTATCAAAATTTTTTGAAAAGAGTAATTTTGAGGGATTGCGGAGAAAATTCTTGGTGAAATGACAAGTATAATATATTCTAAGCGCTATATTTTCAGTGTTCACTGCTGGCCCGCCCGATCTGGATTCAAACGGTACTTGTGACCTTCTCGATCCCCCTGACCCATGCCCCAACCAGAAACAACACTCGCTCTCATCGAACGCCTCATCCGAATCTCAGCTCCCCTGCATCAAGGAAGAGGACAAACCCACCCCCACAACCCCCGCTCAAGAACCCCTCCGCCAACTCGGTGTGGCCACCGTGAAGCGACGAACTGTCAGCGATCTGACGCCGGAACAGAAGACCCCGTTGGAAGAAGTTATTGGCCCAGAACAAGCGGCCTCCGCGAAAGAGAGCCGACAGAGATGTCATTCGGATTTAGAAGCAACTACCTCAGTAAATTCAACGACGTCCGAGCCAGGCCCGCAGAGGAATTCGAGGTTCCGAGCGAGTTTTAATAGAATGTCGCCGGATGTTGCGAGGAGATCGTTTGGACGGTTGGGAAGGACGTTGAGGTAGGATAACGGATTTTTTGGGGAGTAGAAGGAGATAAGAGGCTTTTTGAGGCTAAATTTCGTATTCAAATGATTTCGGACACAAATTTTTATTGAAAGGAATGAGTCAAGTGTAATATAAAAAGAAAATTATGGACGCTTAAAATACGTTGAATATCGAATAATCATTTGGATGACTTACGTTGCGAATCGCCTGAAAAAAACTATTTTAGTTTATGTTTCACAGGGAGAACAGTTCATAAATCTAATTTGTACTCTCGGTTTTGTCAAAACAGCTTTTGGGGGTGTTCAAAAGTTTTCCACAACAAGTACGGTAGAATACCTGATTGAATAGAGAAAACAACGATTGTTACAACCGAGTGTAGTAATGTAAGATCTACCATGAACGGAGAGTATCAGCAGACTAAGGGGAGAGCGATGTCTTCGAATCAATCAAACAAAAAAAGAAAAAAGTGATAGGTTAAAACAAAGCTTGAACGACTTTTTCTTTACCGTGCGGGAGTTTTTGGGTTAAAAGTTATGATGGGATGATTTGTAGGGGAAGGTAAAGTGCTTGGAAAATATAAATTTTGTTTTAATGATCTTGGAGACTGATCGTTGAGATTCGATCGCTTATTAACTCTTATGCGTTTCTTTTCATCAATGAAGTGCTAAAAAATGATGAAAACAATCTTTAAAGATTGTTTTTTACACGATTTTTTACTGCAGATTGTTTTTTACACTACTTTTTGCAGATGGAAATATTGTAACGGCAGTAATAGTAGAAGTACTGTAATGGCAGTAAAAATTTGACTTGATTTTTTTAACTTTGTTTTGCAGTAGCGATTTTGAAATTTTATGGGGGTTTTATATGCCTCTAGAAGGCTCTGTAATGACTCGTTGAACAAGTGTAACACGAGAAGAGAATTAATCGGAAAATTGAAAACTAGCACCTACACGTGCCTTGGTTTGTGTGACCAAGGCACGTGTAGGTGGTAAAAGTTGTAAAAAAGGTGTTTTGACACTAGTTTTGCGCTGCTTTCGAAGAAATTTTTGGGAAAAACAATCTTAAAAGTAAATTTTTTGATCGTGAAATAGTAAAGTTTGTCGTATAATTCTTTAAGGTATACCATATGCTTTACTATTTCATTATCAAAAATATTACTTTTTGATTGATTTTCTTCCAGAAATTTGTCGAAAACATTGTCAAAATATACGTTCCAACAATTTTTTAATTACGCCATGAGTTGTTTTGGAGAAAGTAAACCGGAATTTCCTTAGGGGATTTTACTTTTTTCCCTTCGTTTCGTCGATAAAATCTCCTGCCGATTTCTCCTTGTTATTGCGTGGTAGACGAAAATCCCAAGGATTTGAAGCATTCGCCGTTCTTTTCTTTCCAATATCATCAAATAACTGTCGGTGAAAGTGATTTTTATGAGTTATTGAAGGGCTGAAAACCAAGGATATGCGTTGTTTTTGAGAATATATATTCTGTTGACAGTTGCGCTTTGCGATGAAGTAGTAAGCTAGAATAAGGTGAAGTGGCTATCAGAACCAATGAAAATTTTGTTGGAACGAAAAGAAGATTATTTCGCGCGCGTATAACTCGAAAATCGGAGAAATTTCAAGAGCAGTAGCTTGCGTTTTTCGCTTTCGGCTCATTGTTTTTCGGTCTTGTCGTATCGGGGCTACGAGACGAAGTGGAGGTTTCGAGAATTTTCGCCCGGTAATTATAGGTCTATAGTTTACTGCTACGAATAAAATTTTTGTTATAACATCGGAATATTCAGAAATTTTGACCGGTTTAAGGGCTTATTTCAAACATGATGACGAAGAAAAGCTACCGACGGATTGAGTCATCCCTGCAAAGAAGTCAACTCTCTCCTCTCTACTTGCAAAATTTGCGTTCCTTCTGACAAAGAGTCTAAAACTTGAATCCTTTTTTTCCGTCGGCAGTCGTCTGAATCCCTTGAGATTCCGTGAGAGTATCAGGTTGGTCTCCTTTCCCTTGAGAACTCAAGCTCCTTAAAAGCCTTCTCCAGGAAGTTGTTATCCTCCCTTTGTCTTCCTCTCCTTTTTCCAGTCTAGATCTTCGCTTGAGAGTTCTCATAGTGCAACTTGAGATCCTTGTAAATTCCTTGCAGCTGCTGGTCATTGAAGTTTTTGGGGGTTTCTGGTTGTTTCTTGATTTCTCATCTTATTGTTCATTTGAAACCGCCATAGGGCTCGTTGAATTTCTCCACCTTTTTTGATGACTAATCATCAATGGGTAGCGGAATGTGTTCAGTAGTGTGATCAATGTATAACGACCTCTCTCGTCTGTTACTTGTTTTTCGAGGTTCTGTCGGTAACTAGTTGATAGTTTGGGAAGTGTTTGCAGCTTCTTATGCGACTTGTGGTTTGAGGTGTCGAAATCTTGCAGCGTTGTTTTAAGAAGGTTATTTATTACGATCGCTAGTTAGTAGTGTAGGTGACAAATTACTTTTGCACTTACGGTACCGTGGTTAAGTTATTTTTTGTTTCTGTTCTTCAAAAAGTTGTAATTGCTCTTGGGGTGGATCGAAAGTCGTCTTGATAGTTCACTGATTCTTTTCTCGATTTCTTAACAACTTACTACAGTATGGCCTTGTTCTTTCTTGCGTCATTTCTCTTCAAAATAGCCGCTATGAGCGGTTACAAAAAAGCCCTCTGCACACAGGGGATTTTTTTGTTGGGAGGAGCTAAACTTTTGGATTACACACTTGAACTGTTGTACCAAGAAGGTGCTATGAAGTATTTAAGGACCTGAGAAAGAATTCTTGTCTAGTTTTGAGCACTTATTTTGAGAGAAGGATAGATCTTTGGATTTAGAAGGTAGATGAACTTTTAAAATAATATTGGTCTTCTGTTGTCGTCTGTGCCTTTTTTGGTTTGTTTTTTGAAAGGGTTGACTGTCAAAATTTGCTGTAATGTCTTCTAAACTTCTGACACGGAAGGTCGTAAATCTCCATCGCTTCTCTTCATAATTTTTATGACTTTCACCTTTTTCTCGCAAAATCGACAAATCCCCAGATAACTGCCTCTCGCGCGTTGTTTTGAGCTCATTGCAAATCGAGCGGAAGATATTTGCTTTCTGATTTGCAGCGTGTAAAATAGAAGCATTTTCTCCGTGACATTGAAAAATTCGAAAGGTTTATTGAGGTTAGATTGTAAAAACAAATTACGTAATACTCTCTGGGCGTTTTAATGTACCTGTTTTGACTACGTGTTGTTATTTTTTCACCTAGTTCCGATAATTTTTATTATGACAGAAAGGCTGTCTGTTCTGCTTGTTGCCTGAAATATGATTATGTATTTTTCACCAAAAAGCTTTCTAGGTTAGGGCTCTGAAATCTTTTGGAAAATATGAAAGTAATGTTTGTCCTCTATGTTTACTATTTTTCGACTTACCGGATTCTCGAATTCCGTATTACAAAAGTAATTTATATAAGTTGTTTTGCGTAAAGTACGAGAGAACGCCCTCTTTCCTAGGCTCTTGTACAGTTCGTATGGATCTGTTGACTTTAGTGCATTTAAAAGTCGATTGTTTTTGAGTGAGCTCTTGATCAGTTTGTCATATGGACCTGATGGATCTGGTGACCTTGCTGTGAAATTTGCAGAAATTGTTGATGTTAGATTTTAGGGCATACTGTAGGGTTCATTTGTTTGGTATCTTTGGTAATAAAGCGAGAAATAAGAGAGTGATTGTTGACGGTTGTGTGGTCATCTGAACTAGGGATTCATTGTCTGATCTCTAGGATGACTAACGACCGAAGGTACTGTGGGGGACCTCATCCAGTGGCAAAAAACTTACCTTTTCGCATCCGGGAAGTATCAAAAATGTGGCAAAATGCTTCCCTCTCCAAGTGAAAAAAGCCATTTTGAAGGGCGCGCCTCTTCCCTCGCAAAAAGAGCGGGCGAGCTTTTGAAATCTGAGTTTTTTCCTTGGAGAGGGAAGCATTTTGCCACATTTTTGATACTTTCCGTATGTAAAATGGTACGTTTTTTGCCATTGGGTCAGGTCCCTCACTGTAACATATGCTATCTGTCGTTTATCTGTGAATTCTACTTTATTTTCGTTGTAAAGCAAAATATAGTCTGCGCCATTTTAAAGCTCTTGAAAGATAGTACTAGATTTAATTCTATTACCACCTGGCAAGGGCTTAATTAATATGGCTTTGTTTTATCCGGCTTTGTTTTGCAACGAAGATAGGGTACGTTTTATAAATAAACGCAAAATGCCATATGCAATTTGCGTACGCTCTACTTGCGCAAACGCCTACTCCGAACGCCCTACTTCTCCCCCGCTTTTCCTCCCCTTTCCTTGTACGGTGATCTCGCTGCTGGAGTCCCTTTTTTGAACAAAAGTCGTCTTCTTCGGTTAAACTTCCTCAGTGGAGAATTTTGTTTCCTTCCTTGAGTTGTTTTCTTGCAAGTTATTTTTTGGTTCCAGCAGTTACATAACTCGCGGGTTTGCACGGTAAATCCCGCTCGTGATAAAAGTCGTGAACTTGTTTATTTATGAAAGTTTTGATGCAAGTTTTTTTACAGTATCAAATTGAGAAATGCGTCGAAACAAAAAGTCATACACTGTTACTCCCGAAATTACCAAAGTTGCGGTCGAATCGAAATTCGGTCTAAACGGAATCTTGAAACCCTTGGTGAGAAAATTGTAAGTATAAAAAGGATGAAAAGGTATAATCGAATGGATTGGGCCAGACGTTAAGCTCTGCTCCGCATGCATCATCAGAATTTTTATTTTTGACTAAAAATTTGATTTTTTTAGTCAAGCATTAAAAATTTACTGTAAGGCATGTGGCGTTCTACATCTTTCGGACCTCCTCGCAGAAAACCCACATTTCTTGTCTATGGGCCCTCTAGACAAAAAATGCGGGTTTTCCGCGAGGAATTCCGAAAAGATGCAGAACGCACGCTCGTTATATGGTAAATTTTTGCTGTTTGTCTAAAAAATCAAATTTTTAGTCAAAAATAAAAATATGATGATGCATTCGGAGCAGAGATTAACGTCTGTTCCAATCCATTCGCATAGGTCAAACCCTGTGGAGAGTCTGCGGAATTTTTGCACCTAATTTTATGGTAATCGCCGTTTTTCAAATTGCCCTTTAAAGGACACCCCCATAATCGATTGAAATACCGTTGTCTGCTCGAAGGATGTGTTTTGTACAGCCCACCGAGTATAAAGTTGATATTTCCCGAGCGGACTGACCCTGTTTTCCCTTTTTCTGGAACGTCTGATCCGAAAAAACAATCCGGCTCTGATCGCTCAAAAAATACAATGGATTTATTGTACGAAAAGTAAAGTAATTTTTTTCTTTTATAATAGCCACTTGTATGATTGTAATGGTCGGGATTATGAGGATATAAAAGGAAACTGAAAAATGAAAATTGAAGGGCAATTTGAGCGATTATGATTAGATTACTTTGAGATCAGCATGTTTTTGAATTTTTTTTCGAGTTGATGCTGCGATTTGGCTGTTTGATAGCAAAAAAATGGGATCTATAGGGATCAAATATGGCCCGAGGGAGGTCTAGAGAGATTTTTTGGGGTTTAGAGTTATTAATTTGCTAACTCGAGACTAATTTTATATAATTTTAGCGCCCGAGCCAACAGTCTGAAAGGAACGGTCCAATCTGGTGCCCAAACCGTTGCTTCAGGAACTCAAAAAGTGGCCCACGGCGTTGTAACTCACACGAAGTCCGCGGCAGATCAAATTCAAACCGGCATCAAGACTGGCGCCAACGCTGTAGCGGAAATGCCTCAAAATTTGGTCAAGGTCGGCAGTGGCCTTCTTCATGATGGTCAGAACAGTTTGACGGAGTTCTTTAATGGAGAAACTGTAAGTTTGTGGGGTAAATGGGAGCTAGGGAATGTTAAAATCAGGTTGGATGCGTCTGCATACGACTTGGTTCAAGATTTTCCTATGATTTTTTTTTTTCATTTTTGCTAATTTTTCTCGATTTTCAGCCCGAAATGAGTGCCACCGCCCTAAAGCGGGAACGCTCAATCGCCACCCTCGAATCCCTCCGAGAGAAGACGAAACAAGTCCGAGAGCAGACGGCCGGCGCCCTAACCGAAGACCTACTGCAGGCAGATTTCTCACCAGTCCTGTCGCCGGTCGAAAAATCCGCACAGATTGTAAAGGATGCCAATGCCGCGATCACAACAAACGGCCCCATCGGAACCCCGCCAGACCCACCATACTACCTCACAGTCCGCTTGGACCGACGAAGGAAGAAGAAACATCGAATTCAGGTGAGAATTGAGGGATTTGAGGAAATGGAGGTTTTCGTGGTGGGACCCAAAGTTTTTGAACATGAACTTTTTGTATTACCCATGACTAGAAAAGTGTCTGAAGATTGATTTGAGGAGAAATTTGAGATTTTAAAATTGTAAAAACCCTTCTTTAGGACGAATCGGACGCCAAGGCGCTTCACCAACAACTCAGCATCGACTACGACCAAAAAGGAGTGAATGGATTCGGAAACACCCGGAAACGAGAGTTCTGGTTCGCGGTCCCGAGGGCTCGCGTGGACGCCATCTACCATTTCCTCCTCCAATGGAGCCCCGACAAATACGGCCAAGACGTGAAAGAGGCGGTCCAACAAGCCCAAGCCGATCAACAAAAGGAATTCGAGAAGGCCGGCGGAGACTTGGAGAAGAAGACCAAGAAAAAGCGAAGCTTTGAGAATGACAGAGGATTTGTGGTGCTGGATCGGGATGTGGAGGATTATTTGACTTGTAAGCAGAAGTTTTTTTATTGTTTAGGGAAAATTTGAGGGGATTTAGAGAATTTTTTATTGGATAGGCTAGTTTAGGAGGTGGTTTGACTCTTTCCTCTCGAAAACAAAAAGAAAATTCCCCCCGTTTTCCCGCCGGACTCAAAAATTCCATGAATTTTTAATGCCACGCCGCCAATTCCAGCCGAAATTCCACCTATTTTAGGTGGCAAACCGACGAACCAACCCTTCGGCCCGCACCACAACATCAACCGCGAGTGGGAGATTGTGACCGTCCGCGAACTATGCCGCCGACTCTCGCTGGACGATGACGTGGAAGAGGGGGAAATGCCGCTGCCGCAAGGATCCACAGACTCCCAAATTTTGGACGAGTTCATGATCAATCAGATCATGGATATCTTGCCGCCGAGAGCCGAAGGCTACCCGTGGGTCATGATCTACAGCAGTGAAAAGCATGGATTTTCGTTGGCTACGCTTTACAGGTGAGGAATTGTGGGATTTTTTTGGGAATTTTTGGTTTCGAGAGAGTGAAGGATTTCGTGGCAGGACCAAAAATTTTTTTGTAAATCCAAATTTCTGGAAAGTTAAAGAAATAGGATTCTGTGTAGAGGGTTTTTGGCGAGGAATAACTTGAGATTATGACACGACGGAATGCCAATTTTCGTTGCGAGACCCGAAGATTTTTAGAAATAGAGCTTTTTTGTTAGTTAGCGGACATTAGCGGATGGATAGTATTTTACAAGCTGTTTTAGGAATAGGGGTTTGTTTTTATAGGTATTTCAAACTTCTTGACCTTAATTAAGATATTTTGTTTTTATAAAAATTTAATTTTTTTCATTGAAGAGTGGTTTTTTGATGCTTAAAATCGTAGAAAAAACGACGGTATTTAAAAATTGTTTGTGCTTTGTTCCGTAAATTTTGGAGAGGCAGAATAAATTTTTTTCGTTATTTTGCCTAAAGGAGGGTCATTTTTTGTCCTTTTCTCGATTTTCATACCTAATCGTGTACTTGGTTTCAGGCGAATGCAAGAATGGAAAGAAGAAATGTCCCCGGTCTTATTGCTGATCCGAGACGTTGAAGGTCACGTGTTTGGAGCCGTCGGATCGACAGCTTTAACGCCTCAAGATCATTATTACGGAACGGGAGATTCGTCTTTATTGTTCCGATTCACTGGTGAATACCCACATACAAGGTAAGAAAATGAGAATTCAGAGATTTTGGAGGATTTGTAGAGATTTGGAGGTGATTTTGAAAGTAAAGGGTGGGCGCGAGCTGCCGAGTAAGAATTTTTGGTAGAAGTGTGGGAAAAAGTTTATGGATGTTTTTGAGTGCCTCAGGGAACTGAGAAATTTTTTGAAACGATTTATGGAGTTTAGAGCCCATTTTTTGGCGGTATATAGGGCGCAGCTCGCGAAAATATTTTTTCCTTAATTTTCGGGAATTTAATTTTTTTCTTTTTTAGAGAGCTCCGGAGCTACACTTGGACCGGTGACAACCAATTTTTCATCAACGCCTCCAAGGACTTCCTCTCCATGGGCGCGGGTGGCGGACATTACGGCCTTTATCTGGACGCTGACCTCTTCAACGGCCGCTCCCAACGCTGCGCCACCTTCAACAACGAGCCTCTGGCAGGCGGAATCAAGGAAGACTTCCAAATCCAGTTCATCGAAGCCTTTGGATTCAGTATGGACTGTTAAATCCATGAGAAATGAGACTTTTTTGCTTTTTTGTTAAGTTTAACGCCGATTTTCCATTGAATTTTTATTATCAGCCCCATTAGTTTAGCATACGTTGTACATATGCACCATTAATTATACTATTTTTTTGTTTTATAGCAACTTTTTTAACATGTTTTTTCAGATTGTGTCGTCTAAATTAGTTTATTATAATACTCGTCTAAATCTAACTTATAAGTCTCTTTCTGTGCTACATTAGTACTAGAACCGAGTATCGCCGCGATTTTCAGGCGTTTTTCTTTTTGTAGAGGTTGTTTTTTAATCATAATAGTCAGAATCCACAACGAAAAGGGTAAATCCGGAAGAAATTCCGGATAATTTTGATATTCCCGCGCTTTTTCAATATTCAACTCGTCATACAGGTGATTGTAAAGCTCTCTATTTTTCTGTGAATATGTCTTGTGCGGTTTAATAAGACTTTCGAGGCCGGTTTTGGTCTTGTAAACATCAAACACTCGAATAAAACGAGATATTTATGAAAAAATCAAGTTTTTAGTGGGAAAACAAGGTTATTACTGGCTGGTTTGGTATCTAAAACAAGAAATATGATGTCACAATTCAGTGAGTTGTCATTTTCGGATATTTGGCTTGAATTCAGACAGCCGCGACCTTGTTTTGCCCATTATGTACATAAATTTGAAAATTTTTTATTTTCTTGGATTTTTTTCAGTCTTTACATAAACCCCTATCGGTTAAGTGCCCCCACCACACCAAATACATTGTCTTACATCCATTGAATGTCTAAGAATAGTAGTCCACCGCTCAATATATACATCATGTTCCACTTGCTGTGTATAATATAAAAATTGTTAAAAGAATTGAATAAATTGCTTCAGTATGTTGGAAATTTATTGAATATCCGAATGGCGAATAAATGGCATGAAATTAATCATCGCAAACTTGAGTCTCACTCTCGAAAGGAATATGTAAATCGAGTTGTCCAAAATCGTAGATTCTCTTGTTCGCCTCGCTGTCGTAGATGTAGGATGAGGGAATGGGACGAACAAGCTTTCTCCAGCAGTTCTAAAATACGTGTTTTACTGCTTGAAAGGCATTAGAGATGATTCTGTTTCAAGTGGGATTTGAACCCGCGACCTTTCGAATGATAGTCTAACTCACTGTCACTACACTAGCTGAACACAAGGTGCAGTTTTGGGTTGTAATTTGAATTTTTTGGAAATAAAGTGGTGAAAGCTACTGCATAAGAAATTTTAAGAGTTGTTTTGAGTGAAAAATGATCTTACTTTAGGTCCTTTGTTGTTGCACTTGTGGAAAATCCTCAACTCGGGCTCAATCGCCGTAACTTCATAAGTGGTGCCATCCAAGGCAAAACGTCCCATACTGCCAGAGATTCCTTGGTCTAACAAGTCATCAGAGTCACCGGGAACTAAGTTACAAGTAGTAATTCAAATATTAAATTCAATTGTTTGAAAAACCTTCAGAACTTGCAAAAAAAAATATAAATTTTTGTTGCAATGGGAGCTCTATAGACACCAAAACTCACTTCGATCCACGTCGTAGAGTTGTAACTTGGCGTTCGGTAGAACTTTTCCATCACAAAGGAGCCCTCCTTTGACGGCAACTCCCTGTTTTTTGCCCAACGAAATCCCAAAAAGAGCGAAAAGCAATACAACCAATGAAGACTTCATGTCAAAGCGGAAATAAACAAAAAAATGACTGTACGAAAACGCGTCGTGGTATTGGGATGCATTGTTTATAACTTGGACAACAAAAAATGATGTTGAAATTTTTTGGAGACTTTTTCTTCCTTGATCATAGATGGCTAGAGAAGTCATTCAGGAGCATTCAGACTTGTGTTGTAAAGTATCAGTTGTGAAATTTATGTCATTCGAGATGCACAAAATTTATGGATAAATAGGGCAAGAAGGTGTTGCAATTGGTCCCTACGAGGCCTGGAAAAGCAGTTGGATGCCTGCCGGAAGCTTGGCAAAGACTCGGCAGAGAGTTGGCAAGGGCTTACAATACGCTCAGTTTTTCAAATGTTAACTACCTCAAAATAGTTGATACACCATCCTAGGACCCGATCAATCTTGTTATTTCTATCTTCAATAAGAGAATTACAGTGATGGACCTGATCCAGGGGCAAAAAACGTACCATTTTGCATCCGGGAAGCACCAAAAATGTGGCAAAGTGCTTCCCTCTCCAAGTGACAAAACTTCGTTTTGAAGGGCGCGTCCTTTCCCTCACAAAAAGAACGGGCGCGCATTTGAAATCGGAGTTTTTTTCAGAGAGGGAAGCATTTTGCCACATTTTTGATACTTCCCAGTTGCAAAATGGTATGTTTTTTGCTTCTGGATCAGGTCCCCACTGTAAGCCTTCTTCCAGCCTCCTCTATGCGTACAACAGCAAATCAGGCGCTTGAATTTCTTACAAAAGAAGCGTAGTCCCAAAGACCTCGTTAAGCGTTGGGAAACCATGTGCAATGTTGTAGCAAACATTTATCTTGTTAAAAAGTTAAAATTTACTATCCGCTTTGATACAAATTCTAAACATTGACAATCATTTGAAAAGACATTTTTATTTTTAGACCTCATTTTCACAAGCCGTTTGTTCGTTTTCGAAAGGTCCGGCCAATTCGAGGGTTCCAAGGTTGTAAACGTCATGTTTCGTTCCTTCGGAATAGATGAACTGCTCCGGCACGCGTCTGCGGATCTTTCTCTTGCACGGCTTGCCGGCATTATTGCAGTCATGGTAGATTCTCAGTTCGGGTTCGATTGACGTGAGCTCGAAAGTAGTGCCATTCAAGTAGAAGACTCCACTGGGACCAGTGTGGCCTTCCGCCATCAAATCATCGGCGTCAACTGAAAGATACAGTAATTATTGATGTCAGGAAAAGGCATTTTTCTCCCAATTTACTCTTGCGACAATGATTATTATGTGCATAGACATGGCTTTTGGGCCGGGCTGTTACATGTCGGCCCCTTGAACTTCATTCGGCCCAGGAGTCATGCCTAGAGCTGATAAAAAAACTTAATGCTGTAGCCAATAGGCACCTTGACTGGTAAAGCGGCTTACGAGTATCCAAATCGAACAGCTTGACCTGAACGCTCGGGATGGAGTTTCCACGGCAGGTGAGCTGCCCTCTCACCGCTACTCCTTGCTCTTTACAGACGACCAGGCCTACGATTGCCAGGGATATCAGTGTTAGCTTGATCATTCTGAAATCAAAGTTTGGTTATTCTTGGAGCCGGAGAGCACAAGGGAAATTATTTGTAGCAAATTTGCAAATATGTAGAAAGGGCGGGGAAAATTCTGTAGAAAAAATGGTAATGCATTATAATGGGCCGGAAATGCATTCTCTATACATGGGGTTTCTTGTACAGAGGTTTATTTTGGGCCAAAATTGACATTTCGGATATCTATAAAAGCTTGTTGTAGATAAGTTATGCTTTATTGGAGTTGGTTGCACAGAGGTTCCATGGTAAACGGGAACCAAAAGGAAGGTCGGAAAAGTGGTGCTGAACTACAACAAATTTTATAACCTGATGCTGCCAGGAGTCCTAGTCCGGCCTTCAATATGTTATTGTGAATAACATATTTGATTAGGGAGGCGGCACTATTATGACTTGCTCAGTTGCAGCCGAGATATTCAACTTCTTTGCCCATCTTTGGCATGGACGAAAGCGGCAGAACAACGACAAAAAATGTGTTAAAAACACGATCTTTTAGTGACAACCCAGGATAGGCTCCAAAAAACTTCCTCTGATCTAACGGAATTTTCCGCCCTCACCAAAAAAAGTAATCACACTTCTGCCCGTGATAAACAGTCAAAAATTAAAAAACCCCTTTAATAAACATTTTGAAATTTCCCGGATTTCAATTCAAAAAATTAATCATCCGTAATAAATAAACGTTTCGGAAATTTGACACCAAAAAATTGGGAAATTTTCAGTTCACAGTTTTGTTTCAATCCCCACGATCCCTATACTATTATATGGCAATGGTCAAGCGTTTTTGTGTGTCTTTTATACTGCTCCAATTGTTTATTTGCGAAGCCAGCAAGCAGGGCGTTACAGTCAAAGGGAAGCTCAAATGTAATGGGGTTCCGTTGCCCGACGCCAAGGTCAAGATCTTCGATATTGATCGGAGTAAGTGAAGAAATACATGAAGAATTTTTTTATGGACTTTCTATCTTACACTTGATAAAGCTCTCCTTATCGCTTGACCGAAAGCACTCAGGTCTTCCACGATGATAAAGCCAACATTTTTCATCATTTTCTTTCAGTGCCCGGAGATTCCGACGATCTTCTAGATGAAGGAGTGACCTCGTCAAGTGGTCAGTTCATTTTGGAGGGATATACATATGAACTCGGGCAGATTGAGCCCGAAGTCCGGATATATCATCATTGCAACAACCAGGGACGGGTAAGTGTAACTAATATACAGGCCATCCACTTCAAACATAGTCTTTTTGTGTCTCGTTGTCAGTGATTTGGATGACATTTCTAATGCTATTTTTGTTTACTTATGGGCAAAATTTATCGAAAAAATATTTCAATGTTTCTTACTAGGTTTTAAGGGTGGATACTGCTCTCAATAAATTCAAATTGCTTAAAAACGGCCAGCTTTATCCAGAAAGACACAGTTCTTGCCAAACTGGACTAAAAATTGGTCAAAAAAGCTTACAGTTAGTATCCTTCGCTGAGTATCAGTCTGTCACAAAAAATAATGTGGACATGTTTCCGCAAAATTTCCTGCCTTGTCACAGTCGTGCACCAAGTCTCCAGACTCGGCTAGCCATCTCAAAGTAGTCGATTTCAATGCACGCCAAGACCAAATTATTTTCCCGACAGACTGATACAAACCTTGTAGTATCTTTACGAACTCTCATGCTTCCAGGACTGCCGTCGCAAAGTCATCAAGCCAATCCCCGCCGAATACATCCACGAGGAAATGAAGACCAAGGTGTTCAACTTTGGAACCCTCGACGTGGCGGTGCCCTTCGAAAACGAATCCGAATCCTGCGATAACGACGAGTTCTGAAGCCAATAAATTATTTTATTTAATTTTCTTGATCTTTCAACTTTTCCTCCGAGTTTATGTGAATGTAATATAAATCTTGACGGACACCCTTCGGATACGCGAAAGCCGGTTTCTCCGCGGGCTTCTCGAGTCAGAAACAGCTCGATAAAGTTGGAATTCTGTGAGTTGGGAGCTTCGAGGCAGTAGGATGTTTGTTTTGGGGGTTTTGCCTTTAGGGTTTTCGACCAGAAATGGATGCGCTTAGCGTATTTTATACTTGGTTTTGGGTTATTATCTAGTCTCTTTTGGCATCTCGTTCCATTTTTAAAGCTACTATGGTCCCGTTATATTTTTCCTTATCGTGTCTGGCCAGGTCTCCTCTTTCTCTGCAGACTCTTGTCTGCAAAAAAACCCCCGTAAATATCTCGGCTCTCCTTGAAATCTGCGGGCTAAGCTGGTTCACTATTTAATTTGAGGCCTATGCAGACCATATGGCCAAGTTTACATAAATCCTCACCGTTCCTCCTCAAGAACTGCCGTATTTAAGTAATAATACACTTAAACTTCTAGATCAATAATGAACACTTCATTATTCCTCCAAGTTCTCCTTTTCTCGTTGATTTCAACGGCAATGTGGGCCCATCCCGTCGATGATTTTCCCACCCCTCCAACTCCAGGACCAACCCCTCCAACAACACAAAAAGCAATCTACATTGGCGGTGGTCGCCGGTCGGAGCCCGGCTTTGGCGGATACAAAGTGAAGGACTTCAGCGCGTTCAAGAAGTTCAAAAAGAACCTCGCTAATTGAGCGTTTTGGAGGATTTGGCTCTATCTTGTACCGCTGAGTCGTTTCTAAATATTTGTTTTTGTTAAGAGAATTTTCTTTTTCAGAGAATACTTACTATTTATTATAATATAAATTGTAAAATTTTTATGTGTCGAAAGATTTGTCACGTTTTTTGAGGCAGGTTTGAGGTCATCAAAGACATTTGATAAACTGTGTTGGCTGCGAAGCACAACGGTCATCTTTTTAAAAGTTTCACCGATTTTGGCCTCCGAAATTTGGAATGAAAGTGACAAAGGTCAGTCAGTACGGAGGCCTCTTTGAGTTTGGGCCCGTCATATTTGACAGACTTAAAATGGGGTGAATCAGCTACAATTTGATGCAAATTTTATAGGAATTGGTGCCTCACTGGAGGGGAAATACTCGAAACAAAGTTAGAAGCCCCGGCTAAACTCGCTGTACTTTTTGGTGCCTTAAAAGATTCTTTAGCGTTATTTCTTTAAAAAAAATGTTGCTATGAGTCTCTATGATACTTTTTGATACCAACTGCGGGCTCATTTTGATCTTTTTTATTTGTGTTTATTCGGCAAAAATTTATACGCCCAAAAAGAAATAAAAAACGCTCAGTTACAACGGTTATCAGTAGCTTTATTTACAATTTACAACCAAACAAATGGGACTATCCTCTCAAGCCATTAAAGCGCGCGATTCACATCGTATAAATCGTCAGCGTTGCAAAGCGATAATTTACAAAACACTCAAACAATTCGGTTTCTCATTTCCTTTGGCCAAAGACTTCGGGCGCCACGTACGCCTGATAGTAGCTCCCGACCATCGGCGGCGAGTACGTCGGATACGGCATATTGTAATAGCCGGGATAGTAGCCCGAGTAGTGCTGTTGATTGTTGTTCGACGGGTTGAAATACTGCTCTGCCACATGATCGAAGAAGCCGGCTTGAACGAGGGGCAGAAGGGCGCAGAGAACGACGAGAAGAGTGCGAAGGAAGGAGGGCATTTTTGGGAACCTGAGGCAATGAATCGAATTAGTTTGAATATAAAGTCCAGACAGGATAAAAGGTTAAATCAACGCGTAAAAAAATTATTTAAAGTGTGAGTTTTTTGATTATTATGAGCAAATAGGGATTGTGTTCCCGCTGAAAAGCACGTCTTCGTAATTTGCCGCAGAAAAGTAAGAGAATTGTAATTTTGCTGACAATGATAATGTATTATGGGGCCTCCTACTTGGACATATGACAAAATAATAGAGATGATCAAAGATACAAAAAAATAAAGTTTGCTGTCCTATCAATTATGGATTTTTGAAGGGTCGAAAATGCCGAAAAACGGAATAAATCCCCAGACAGAAAGCGCAGAACTACATGAAACACTACATTAGGCTAAAATAAATCAGTAAACCCTGGATTTTTTTTGAGATAAGCGCAGTTGAAAAGCAGGAGCTTCAGTAAAAGTACTACTTTCCTTGGAAGGAAAAAATTTTTGGCACTGAAGAAATTCCTTTGTTGCAGCGAAAACAATCCCTCTTTGGACACAGTCCGTCCCAGAAAATGATGTGGATTTGTCGCAGCGAGATGTCTTTAGAGAGGATCAAAAAATGAGAAAACAATAAAAACTGCACTTGATAATACAAGAGAAGTATTATCAAAGTGCAGTTTGAAAAACTAACGTCATTAAAATTGACAAAAAAGTGCAAAAACGCCTACAATGGCGGGCAACCATTTTGCGGGCAGCTAGAAGAATCGCGGAGATTCTGAGCATGTTGATTGTGAGAAATCAGCCAACATTTGCTTACAGCAGGAAATTATAATGATGAATTTGGCAGTTGGATGTTGCGAATTAAGCTTCCAGGTGTATAAGTGGCTTGAATAGCTACATTGAGGTTAACTAGGCATGTTTAAAGGTTCCGAAACCATTTCTTTTTGAAAACAAACTCCCACAACTTTGAAAGCAGTGGATGAATTCAATAGATTTGTGAACTTGTCAGCCCCAAGGAATTGTAATAGCAAAAACTTCTATCAAACTACGTTAATTACGGTAGAAAAAATTATAATTCTAATCCGTCAAAGTCGGCTGCAAGTGGTTGCCCAAAGGGGTCACAACGCCAATGAGCTCAAAATGAGGGCCTCAAGAGAGACGTTCAGATTTTCCTTAAAATTTGAATCTCGCCGGTCATAATTCACATATTAGTTCTTGTTTTCAGCTCGCGCTTTGCAACCGCAGCCGACATTTTGAACGATCTTTGAAGAGGACACAAAACGGGCAGCAGAAAAACACTTTTTGGCCATTTCTTTGCTAGTTTAGTGCGAGAAAATTGTTTTCTTGTGGAAGCATTATCCTCCTTGGTAGAAATATTATAGATACCAAAATTTTCAATAACAAAATTCGCAAAAAAATCATTTTTATGCCATTCTAAATCTAAAAGTTCAACGGGTTAAAAGGTCAACTTACGACCCAACTTTTCCCACAAATCAAACCCGGATACAGAACAAACACTAACTGGATAAACTCAAACTAAATTTGGGTGCCATCCCGGTTTGTTTCTTTTAAACGAGTTCTCAGAAAAAATGAGAAAATCGGTTAAAAGTAACTGTTTGTTTCTGGAAACCAAGAAAATTCTGGAAATTACAGTAGAGCTCTTCTCAAATACCCAGATTTCGGACGATCTCCGGTGTGTTTTACCAGGAAGTTAAGCTAGAATAGAGATAAATCATGCAAATTTTTAAGTGGTCTAGCAATCTAAAAGTTATTTGGTTACGAAAACAAAAGTCAACAAAAATTAATCAGATTTTTTACACAGAAATTAATTTTATATTCACTGTACTCTTAATATCACAGCGGAAGCTTTATTATAAGAATATAAGCGGCTAAAAGTCCGAAGTAAAAAAGTTTTATTGCTCATAAAGTTGGGAGTGATGACAAATGGCAAAAATTATTCAATGACAATACGTGACGTGGTAGCAAGAGCAGTTTTAAAGGAAACAAGCTCAATGAAATTAGCAAAAAAGTGCGAAAATAATACAGTGAGCTCAAACATGTTGATGACGTTAATTCTGACAACGGAAGGGACTCAAGGCAACGCTAGAGTTTTAATGAAACTTGGCTCAAATATGTAGATCAACCTTTTCTAAAACATACCTTTTAGGTCACGTCTTGCAGAAACAACCGGGAATTTCAGGGGACAAGTTGTCGAAAATGTACCTATTCTTTACAAATTTGACGAGCATAGTTTTGCACCTACCATTTTTCGCATACTCTCCCGGCGGCATAGATCGTTGAAGATCGTTTCTGTGAAACTAACAATAAGAACTTCTGGAATCAATCTTGTAACCCTAGAAAGCGCATTTTCCTCTGCCCATCTCTCCTCGTTACCCATAGTCACCCTGTTTGCGAGAATTGTTAAATTTCTGGGCCCTGCTTACAAAGTGCGACTAAAAATCTTTAATAACTTATGCACCGCCTGCGATGAACACGCGCACAAAATCTAAAGACGTTCTGATAAGCACAAAAGTAAGAATTATCACTATATAGTCCAAGCATCAGAAATGATGATAATTGCCAAAACCTTGCAAATGAAGCGGAATTGCGCAAAAATCGTGGTTTCTACTGAGCAAGACGTTAGTGACTTAAAAATTCTACTACCAACAGCTGTCGGTCACCTTGAATTTTTAAAAATTTCAAAAAGCAAGGACCAAACATGGAAAAAACAAAGAAAAATCAGCTGGGGAATAAAATAATTTAACGGAAAATACGTTTCAAATACCATATGCGTCTCTAATCACATGATAAGTGCAATAAAAGCCTCAAGCGTCACACGCCTAACACAATTTTTCCATGTGAATGCCAAAGGTAATTAACATACTTTGTCTACATTCCACACAATATAAATGTTCTTACGGCCACCCCCGCTTTGTTAAATCCAAAGTGTTTTAGGGCGCATAATTACACTGTAATCCTGCAAAGACCACACCCACCAACCATATGGTAGATGTGTTCGAATTCTGATGCTTTGACCGGAAATACGTGGCGCCTCGTCCGTACGGAATCCCAATAATCAGCAAGATAGGAGGGCAGAGGCTTGAACATATCAGTTCATTTATCCTAATATATAATAGCTCAAATCTTCCATGGTGACGTCTATAAACATTTTTTTCAGTTTACGATGCATACATCAGAGGGAATAGAACTCCATTAGCGTATTTTCTTCTATACTCTCTTACATCGGCCTAAAAGTTCAAATTAACGGGGGCTGCTACAAGTGCGACGCTCAGGTTTTGACAAAACTTCGAAGATTTTTGAGTCATTTTTTTTTGAATGCATATGCCAGACTTCTATTAGGCCGCTGCGCAACAATCAAACAGCCAAACAACAGTCTCTCTGACCGCTCTCTACGTTTCGCACGCTATTAGATTTTTATCCGATTAAAAGGAAATGGTTTCATAACTCGGCTGCGCCTGCAAATCGCGAATTAAAACTTTCACGAAGTGATATGTGTCCTACGGTGTACGGTAGACGTACGTAAAAGACAATCTAAGCGTCGAACTTTGAGCACTATTCATCCACGTAAACCCTATCCCTATGCGAGATTTCCAGTCTACAATAAATTCCTTTTTTCGTCCGGCCCCTTAATAAATTACTCATTTCAATTTAACCCAAAAAAACTTCCGTTTGTTTTTATACTACTGAAATGAATTGTAATTAGTAATACCTCGACCTCCCATTCTACTACTTTACCTGATTAATCAAACATTTCGAGCGTTTTGGGAGTGGCACTTTGTTTAATAACAGACTAGTACGTTCTTTGAGATTTCGTGTTGAAATCTCAAAGAACTTAATAATGAGATTTGGGATTGGAGAATAGACGAAAGGCTGTCCTGTAATATTACAATGGAAGTAAAAGTTTACGTCTTGAAGCCAAAAAATAGGGGAATTTATGTGAGGTGTGGTCGTAAAAACGTGCCAAATTTTCTATTTAGCAAAATAGCTCATAATCAGATGACTAATAAACTGAAAGTTTGACAATACCCAAGTGTGACATTTTTGTTAAAATTTCGAGATTGGCAGAGATCACTTAACAACTCATCAAACTACATATTAACACAAGAACGTCCGAGATATTCATCGACCTCTGGGACTGACAACTATCGAAGCTCACTTCCTGAACCCAGTTTTTCGGAAGGTCTTTTTGGTTGGGTTTTCCCGTGAACTTTGATGAGCCATCACTCTGCCCTCATGGCCCGTAAACACTTTTAGAAGCCAGATTCTAATTGCACTATCTGCCTTCAACATCCACTAGGTCAACAGTAAGGATCGATCTGCGAATAATATGACTTCCCTTGTGAGAGAGTACCGCAAACGCTAGCAATGGTCATCAAAAAAAGTGATGACTCTTTTTGATGACTATTGTCAACACAAGCTTAAATCTTTGTGAATTTATAATATATGTAACACAAGCACAAAACATCTGAAAAATGTGGTAGAATCGTCAAACCTAACAAGAGAAACAAGACAGTCTGATATCTCGATTGCCGCTCAAATTTCATTGTTGTCAGCCCGTCGAAAAAATAACGAGCACAATGTCGCTGAGTGAGCCGATCGCGAAAGCTTTTCATTTTACCGCTACACAATCCATTTTCTCAATCGCGATGCGACATGGTGCTCATTATTTTCCCGACACACTGATACGACCAACAGTCTAAACGAGAGCCCACAGAAGAAAAAAGTTTGGGAAAGAAAAAAATTCGACGGCGCAGTTTGCACACTCGGTCTGGCCTTTATATATATCCTATGATACAAAAAAACCTGAGTTATATACACTCAGACACCTTTGAACACCAAAATCTCCGTCACGATTCCGTGAGGACAGCATGCGTCACAATTGGACTGGAAGAGCAAGTGGACGGCCATAAACAACAACACTGTCTGCGTCACGGATCATTATTACTTAATTTAAGCAATTAACATCTAATTACTTTCAATTAATAACTGACTTGCAATCCCAATTTAGAACCATTAGGTAAACAGAAGCCAAGGATTTAATCGACATTAATAATAGATGATATGTATACATGTATGGTAACAGTGAACTTGTAGTCTAACTAAAGTCTAGAATTAGCTTTGATCAGTGAGTACGTCCTTGTGACAGTCTGTCGGGGAAATAACGGCGGATCGTCGCATCAAAATGTCTCGCCAAACCGCTATCGCGCACGAAATCTCCAGCTGCGGCCGCCGTCGCAAAGCGATAATGTGCGATTTCAAGGCGCTACGGCCCGCCGTTATTTTCCCGACAGAGTGATAGTTTCTTTCCGAAAAAATACCGCTTTTGAGTTTCGCCCAAACAAAGTGCCTTTGTTTGTTTACACTTGCCTACGCCCTTATCGATCGATTTGTGGTTGTCCACAAAAGTTGGAACCCAGAAACTCGTACTTTGATTTTAATTAATCAAAAAAGCTTACTTCACTCACGATTGTACTGTTAACCCTATGATCACAGATTTTATTATACTTGACTATTAGAGAAGCGCACGTCCGCAAAGAGGACGTCAGCGACTTGGCCGTCCGAGGGCAACCGCCGCCCACGAATTAGCCCGCAAATATATATAGGTGGTCACAAGGAGGGTATCACTCTTAATTGACGGCTTATGGACAGTAAAGGCAAAATTATGCCTTTCCATCTTTCCATCATGGCGACAGACCTTTCCTAAATTTAGAGATGATTTAGAGATATTATAAAAAATAGTTTCTTCAATCAACGTTTCCGCCTACAGTAAGTTAATCAAAAGACAAAACCAAGTGCAAAGCACGAGCTCAACCTTCTGCCCTCCTCTCTGTTATAATATACTGCACTTCTGAGGCTATTATCTCCCAAGTCCACTTCCTCAGACTGTTGCAAACAAGGCTGTATTTTACCCGTTTCATGGGTCATTTGCAATATCTGCGGGTGGACCCAGAAGTTGAAGGAAACATAAAGAGAACTTGGCACGTTCGCATAACGCCAAATGACGGCACATTAATATACGCCTTCCAGAGACACAAAGGAGGACACTTAAAATAGAAATTGGAGGTGGATGACTCAAACGGCAAAGGGTCAATGAGATTTTATATACAGTAAAAGTGCGAGTAGTGGTCCCAAGTGCGATGCACGGAAACGCGGAAAGCGGTCAAAGAGAAAGACATTTTTTGACCATAATTTTGCCAGTTGAGTACGGAAAAAATTAATTTTTTTGTGGAACCATTAAGCTCTAGAGTAGAAACAAGTACGAAACTTTTCATGATAAAATTCGCGAAGAAATGACGGATTCCCACCAACTTCCTTTCCATCTTGACTTGAAAATGTCGGTCGTTTGCAAGGTTGGAGCTTCGCATACACCATACAAAAAGTCTGCGCCAAATTTGTGATAAGCTTCATCAAAATTTGAACCAAAAATATAAATATATCTGTCGGGAAAATAATGTGGATTCGTCGGGCTTTGCAATTACCCATTATGTTTCCACAGCTAGCGACGGCTGAAGATCTTTTGCACGGCTTCGACGAGAACCACATTTTTCTGCGACAAATCCACATTATTTTCCCGACAGACAGATATAAGTCTCGTACTTTGAAGTCTCAAAGAACCCTTTCAAGAAGGCCCTCTAACAATATGATTTCAATTTCTAATTCACCAATGAAACTAATTTCAAACAGCTTGAACTTTCGAAATTTCGGCCCTTCGTCAAGAAACCTTCCAAAACCCAAGTCCACTTATGCCACAATATCAAACCCCAAAGATAAATTTCACCGCCAAACCCCGTAATCTCGTAAATGCATAAAAAAGCCCTAAGGCGGCGTTTTATTTCCTCCCATTGAAAGCTGACAATTTATCGCCGAAACGCGTGTCTGAACCCCTCAATTTGCGGGTTTTGAAACGAGTACCAACATAAATCCTGAAATGTGACGAGGTCGGAGTAGGGCGCCAAGACAGTTTTAATCAGACTACAGGGATTAGCACATTCGATTTGAGAGTTTTATGGGTTTAGGGTGATTAGACGGAGAATGCGTCAATTAACTGTAAGCTGGTGTACGAATGGCAGAGGAATTTGGATGAAACATTTACATAAAAGATTTGATGGATTAGGGAATTGGTCATTACCGTAAAAACTAGCTTTAGTGGTGGCAGTCAACGTGATGCAAAATCACTCAAAAATTAGAGATGACACAACATTAGGATAATTCTCCGTTGCTGAGAGTGAGCTGAAAATGTAAGGCTGCTGCTCGGAAACCAAGCTAAGACGAGTCGGGATGTTCAACGATCTTTGCGGCCGAGAGAGTACGCTAAACACAGAGAGCGGTCAGAGAGAAAAATTTTTTCTTACAAAAACATCATTTATGGACTAATTACTAATTCCAGAAAGTTTTAGCTCGCGCTTTCTTTGCCGCCGAGAGAGTACGCTAAACGTGGAGAGCGGTCAGAGAGAAAAACACTTTCTGGCCATAACTTTGCTAGTATCGTGCGGAAAAAAATTGATTTTTTGTGGAAAAATTACCCTCTATGGTAGAAATAGTCATGAAACTTTTTGTGCCGAAATTCGACAAAAAGTGTGAAATTTTCGCCAACTTTCGATCTAAAAATCTCGGTTGTTTCTGCAAAGCGCAAGCAGGATTCTCGCATATATCTAGAAAAATTTTTTCTAAATTTGTCCAATTTTATCAAGATTTGAGCGTCGTACTTAGGATACTTCCCCTGTTAGAAAAAAGTATCGTAAATTTGAGCCAATTCTCATCAACATCTGAGCGTCGCACTTTGCCCGTTTCCCCTGTGGCCTACTCTAGTAATATTGGTAGGCAGACTTTTATATTCCTTTATTTGTCATACCCGGAAAATAGCGCAAACGTATCTTCGGAATCCAACCGCGTGTTCGTATTCATAACCCATGCGCTTCTTTATGATACTGTCATCACAAATTTACACGGCTCGAATAAATTCTCTTCCATTTTCATAAATGAGCGCCATCTTTTTCCAAAAACATTTCCAGAATGACTAATTTAGAAGCCGGCTAAAGATGATGCCAAGTCCTCCCACGAGGCCGCTCCTATTTATAATATATATTCGGACTTGCACAATGAACTTCGTTCTGTCGAATTTGCATAAATAGAAGTGACAAGGAATTGGCATGTGTGACGACAATAGCACGGTGCAAACTGCAAAGAAAATACGGTAGAAAAATAAATGCGGAATAAATGGAATTTTTAGCAGGGAGACGGTCCTCAGGCTTTCTTCAACTGCTGTAAATTTCGGGTCGATGAGAGATCGGGACGATACGAAATCGATCGACACGAGGCATATGAAAAGCGGAGGCCCAGAAAAAGATTGTACGAGGTGCCTACGAGGCTTGACAACGCCGGTGAAGGCTCGGCGGAGACTTGGAAAAGACTTTTAATATGTCTATTCCTTCAAACTTTAGCTATTGCTAACCTTATTGTTATATAGTTCGTTACCCTGAGCAATCGTAAAATAGAAAAGACCAAAACTTGCGCCTAAAAAAAGATTTGTAATTTCAGACTTGATAGTATTGTAGTATTACATGTCATATAGTTCAAAATAAGTGATAAACAACTCTTGGACCTGATCAATCTCATTATTCTTGGTTACCAAGCCTTCTGCATAAACCAGAAAATCGAGGCAACTCAAAGTATTGTCGACCCGAACTGTCACTGACCCGAAAAGTTGTAGCGCCCTGTACGCAAATAGACCATATGATGTATTAATTTAAAAAGTATTTTATAAATTTTTGGGGAAACATTACATAAGGATACTGTGGCTGCGCAAATTTTGCACCGGCTCACTCGAGCATAACATGGAGAGGAAAACTTGCGGATTAACAGCAGCATGTGAGGCGTATTAGTTTGGAGATGATGATACGAATTCTAATTCAAACCACCCCCGTAAACTTTTTGCGAAGTTTGTAAACGGAGTCACAGGGTGGAGCACTCGAAACTTTCAACTTTGTTTCAAATATTGCTGATTTTTTTACTTTGCTAAAAGAATCAATTGGGGCTGTATTGGCCTCAGACATCTTGCATAACGCAGGTCTTTCAAAGCGGTTATTCTGTTGTTAAAAATTGCGTTAGAGACAAAAAAGGTTTTTTACAAAATTTCAGTAAATTCTGCATAACGCGATTTTTCGAAATTTTGCAGAACACATAAGAAAATTTTGATTATTTTAGAAACTTGAAGACTTTTAGGTAGATAAACGGTCAAAAATCTCCGAATTTGATCTCCATCTAACTTCTGCACAACGCTATCTATATACATGAAAGTCCGTAAAATGGCCTATAATTTTGTCTTTTTTTCCGCCACTCCTTCAACGAATCAACAACAGAATGAAAGAAGCCTTTATTGCAAAATTCAATAATAAATAAGTAAACTGTCTATGATATATCATTAAATTTAGTCCCTCAAGGACCATTTTTTCTCATAATTTTATGTTGTCATGCGTTTAATTGACCCCAAATGAACCTAATTTATGATTGCTGCCAAACAAATTGGGCTTGTGAAAGGGCCCAGGTGGGTGGAGACAGAAATAACTTATTTCAAATATAATACGCTAAATTTGTTCTTGAAAAAGTGTGGGAGTTGGAGGTAAATGGTATAATACAAGTCATTACGGCCGTGCCTGTACCATAAATTGCATGCCACCAAAAATTTATGCTATAGATTGGTGTGACCATAGGGTCTTGAGATGGCTTGTTATAGGCGGGGTTTCTTGTACATAGTAGGATATAAAAGAATTTAGTTCTTGCCCCAAATAAAAGGGCTAAATGTTGCATGTGAGGTCGTAGGGCGTTTCTGTTGAGGTACCGTTGTAATGGAGGCTCTGAAATGATATTTAAGTATGAAAAATTGCAGACAAAAAACAAATTTACATAAAACTGAAAAAACGCTTTTCAAAACTTACCTCACTGTTTTGCCCGTATTCCCTTTCTCCCAGATGCTTTTCATGGCAGTGAAATTGTTTTCGACAGTGTTTGCGACAATTAGTCTATTGCTGTAGATGCTGACAACTGGGGTTAGTTGCTCCTTCTTTGCGAAGCCGGTATTATCTGCTTGGAACATTGACCTGAAAGGGTTACAATTGAACAGTGCTGTAGAGCGACATATAGGGGTGGTGCGATTTAAAATTTTTCGTCTTGACTGGCAAAAACCCCCGATTTCTTGGCTGTAGGGCCTCCAGCCAAGAATTTGATATTCTTGACTGAAATTCAGACAGCAATGTTTCGTTTCTTGACTGCTTGCTTATTTTTGACTGTAAACCAGCCAAGAAATCAAAAATTGTTGTCTGAATTTCAGACAGCAAATTCTTGCCTGTAACTCAGACAAGAAATCAAAGATTTCTGTCTGAACAGTAGACAAAATGTTTCTGTTCAGTCAAAAAGAAATTGGCTGGCAACTCAGCCAAGAAATCGAAGACTTCTTGGCTGAAGTTCAGCCAAAATTTCTTGGCTCAGCCAAAAAAACTGACTGACATTCAGTCAAACTATTTGACTGGGAAAAATTTTTTGTATTGATTGGCGTTGAAAAGCGCAGTAAATTTCATGGTATTTAATAAAATAGCGAAAGATCAAGATTTATCACATAATAATAAAAAAATTGATTATGGCCTTAAAACTTGGCAAACGATATAGATCTTGTTTTAGCCGAAACAGCCTAAAACAAGGTATAGTCAAGCGCCATTTGCCAAAAATCGTGAGGAAACTATACGTGTCTGTGCTTGGGGCTTGATTCATTGTTGTTTTCAACGGAAATGTGGACTTGAAGAAGTTTTTTCGACCAAAAGTTATATTGCACATGGCAAGTAAAACATTTTGAAACGTCAAAGTTACCTAATACGCTCCCTTTTGACATCAGGAATTGACCAGAAAGGTAGTTTAGCTAAAACCTCAAAAATCAAACAAATAGTACTCACAATTTGTTTTCTTCTTGGACGTGACCTTTCTGGGTGAGAAACTGGAATTCCAATGGTGAACGGGACAAGGCAAGTTCCATTTTGTTGTTCCACAGGTCTCCAAAGGTATTTTTGAGCTTTACCTGCCGGTACCCGAGTTATTTGGCAGGAAACATCTAAAACACGGAGAAATAAAAAAGAAACTAAAAAAATTAGCTGAAAACGCGTGGAAATTCAAGTGTCCAAACAATAAAAACAAGAAAGGAGCACGACATCGTGCATTTTCGTTCCTGATTGTGTTTGATCCCAGCGCGAAAAAATTCCCATTTTCGGCCAGAAGTTTTCGTTTTTTTTGCATGTTTCGAATTCTCGCGTTTCGTGAGATTTCCACGTTTTTGACAGGAAATGTTTTGAACCTGTTGTTATTCGACCAGTCATTTTTTGGCCGACCTGTCCACTTTACCCGCGTTCAATTTGTAAGTTGATTATGCTTTTCTTTTCTTTTAGGTAAAAGTATGTTATCCAAGGCCAAAAAATGATGGCTTTTGTCTTTTTTCGCTAGGGACAAGAGAAAAAACGGGTAAAACTTGGAACATCTTTATGTTAGCTATTTTGTAGATCGTAAACTAGAGGTACTCAGTCGATTTCTCTCGAGCCTTTTATTTTCTGTCGAATTTTACCTAAAAAAGGGCAAATAGAAGTGAAAATAGCTTACCTGTCGCCGGGAAACATTGTTTATGCCTAAATTACAGCACGTAATCTACGAACCTGATGTAATACAGCTCCCTTCTGAGATGTGCGCTGCAAACAACTTCTGATTGGACCCGTCCCTTCAAAATCCAACGACCCGACCGCAAGAAAAATAGTCCAGCATGTTGTCTACAACTGACAACCGGCGCATCAACATTTGGATGAACGGGTATGAAGCCACACTAACGACAGTTGTAATTTTTTCCGGAATACATACGAATCTCATTTTTAGGGCATCTTGTTTTGTTTGAAATTCAGAAGTTTTATCCAAAATCCAGCCAAGAAATCGAAGATTTCTGGCTGAGTTTGAGTCAAAATATTTTTGCGCAGCCAAAAAAGCCTGGCTGAGATTCAGACAAACAAATTCTGGCTGAATTTCAGCCAAATTTGTTTGGCTGAGCCAAAAAAGGCTTGGCTGAAAGTTCAGCCAAGAACTCTGAGATTTCTGGCTGAATTTCAGCCAAAATTTTTTGGTCCAGCCAAAAAAAAATCGACTGAAATTTAGTCAAAAAAAGGGATTTCTTGACCAAATTTTGGGCAAAAATTTCTGCCTGAATTTCAGCCAAGAATTTCAAATTCTTGGCTGGAGGCCCTACAGCCAAGAAATCGGGGGTTTTTGCCAGTCAAGACGAAAAATTTTAAATCGCACCACCCCTATATGTCGCAAAAACTGCATCCAAGTGCACCTAGTTTGCAATAAAATGTGTGTATTGCACCAGACATGGCTAGAGGCCCGGTCGGCAAAGCTATGATCATTTGGGACCAAGGTAATCTTATATATTTTATTTTACATACAGGGTCTTCGAAGAAACGTGAAGGAAAGTCGGAGGCTATAACTTTCGGCGGAGGCGGCACAGAGAGTTCGTTTTTGGAATATGTATTTTTAAGCAACATTATTTTTTGTCTATGAAATAACAAAAGCTTAAAGTGCAAACTGAGGTCGCTACGACCTTCTGAATTAGGAGCAATTCCCCGCAAAAACCAGTTCTTTTCGGTTGAAAATGATTGAGTAATTTCTAATTTTTATCTTATGGCTAGGCTAAATGGGGCTTGAGCCAGACTTTGGGGTTTTGACAAATTCTGAAAAGGGATGGGCTGGACCGACCTTGATGTTAACTAGGTCATCACAGGCTTGTGTGGAGAAAAAGCCCGGCCCTTTAGCCATGGCTTTCTTGCAATCCCCCCTCTGCCCAAAAACGGTGACTTCTCGAAAGGCCTTTGCTTACTTTAATGATTCATTAGAATATTTCGCTACAACCAGCGACGTCGCAATGATAGACAAGTACAGTAGAGCAGCCGAATTACTTTGCAGTTCAAGTAAAGTTTTGTAACATGACGAGTCAGGTGAACACGCCATAGATATAAGCCAAAAGAATAATGTCAATATCTCCAGTAGAAAAATGTAGGAAAACGAGGTTTGTAGACGAAGATAAACTTCAGTGTTCTTGGTTAACTAAAACAGTGATTTATAAACGGTAATACTACGGCAATACTACAACCGAACTCGTCCAACTTACAATGTGTCGAACCTCCAGACTTGCAAACCGCATCTTCTCTGACGCATTTATTGTGACGTTGTAGAAGAAACGTGTTGCAATTAAAGTGCATATTACAACGAGCAACACAAATATCGTCTTGAGTATCACGCCATACGGAATCAAATCAGTCACTAAAATTAGCAATGTAAAATTTTATTATAGGGTATCTGTAGAAGCTGAAATGTAGGCTGCACTATAATTTTTACGTCTATTCAAAGTCTAGTTGTAAAACTTACTCTTCAAACCCAACGTTCCAATAGCCGCTCCTGCAAAAACCTGAAATTAAATTTTTTGATGACAAAACAAAACAGTAGTCGGATTTACAGAGGCTTTAATATGACTTACAAGCATCGTGATCAGCCACCTCCCAATCCTCGCCCTTTGTCTCTCATCACAGTAACTCTTTATGAATCTTGTCGCAATAAACCGCTCGATGGATACAAAGGCAACCCAAAAATAGGCCCAAGAAATGGTAATTACTTGGCCAAACTCAAATGCCAACGACACGTTTGAGTTGAGAAATGACGCTATGCTTATGTTTGTAATTACAACATTCCGAATTACTACATAAAGGATGGCAAAAATATCTGTAAAAACCATGAGACTCTGGAGATTTTGACTATGATCGGTCGTTTTCCTCCTTTTGACATGGCCAATATGCAAGAAAGATAGATAAAATGTAATGGAGAGTGTGATCATCTCAATGAAAAAGCCTATATTGTACGTGGAGAACGTTGGTGGTAAGGTGAATTCGAAGGATGAGGTGTTCAAAGGCGGTGGTGGTGTTGTCATGACCTGAAATTTTACAAGAGTGTATTGAATATCTAGATAATAAACTGGTTACATCGAAAACCTACTAAAACGTACGTAAACCTACTGCATCAAAGACAAAAGATACGTTTAAGAAACTGCTACTTTATAAAACAATACAGATACGTTTTTAAAAGATAGCATAGCAATTTGTTTTACAAAGCCCATTCATACGTTTGCAATTATTGTCAGAAATACGCGATGGTCCCGAATAAAATACAGTGAAATATCTGTACCAAAAGTTTCAAGCGATTAAAAATGTGTTCGTCATAGAAGGGATGTGTTGTACGGAAAGTCGTTTTGATTGAGATTTAGGAGCTTTGGGCGGGCCCACACTTGCGGCAACCACTATGCAGGCAATTAGAAGAACCTCGGAGATTCTGCGGATGTTTGAAGATCAGCTAGCATTTGCTTATAACAGGAAAGTCTAACGATGGAGTCGGCTATTACGAATTAGGTGTAGAAAACCCTTAGTTCTAGTCCGTAAATGTCGGCTGCCCGCAAAGTGGTTGCCCGCAAGAGTCGCGACGCCGGGTTTTGACACTGTTTGTCATAGCTAGGCTTCGTTGTGCAGAGGCTCCACTGTATTGATTTGAAGACCTTCTATATCGAAAAAAATCTAACGAGGGAATGGTCTGAACTTCCCCCGGCGTTTGGGAAAGTGACTAGTACAGGTGGATAGAGCAGGTCAACTTTGCTAAAAAGAGCCACTTTCCAGCTGCGAAATAAGCCTAGCCGACGAGAAAAACCGACCGAAAGTTCCGAAAAATTTCCTCTTTCTCTTCCCTCGGAAAAGAAGAGCGGTGCCCAGTGGTTCGGTTAGCCGAGTGGATAAAGCATCCGCTCGATATTCTTTTGGGGGTTGGTTCGATTCCGGGGTCTCGCGAAGGACCGTGTAAAGCTTTGATGGGCAAGATCAAACTCTAATAACCAAAAAAAATATATTTTGCCATTTTTATACGTTTTATAGGGGCATTATACCAAAACAATATTCGTCAACAAATGAATTTTTTGGGTGTTTACGAACCTTCAAAGCGATGGAACGTCGAAGTTATACTCGTTTGGGGACAGACTTCACTTTGAAAAAGGCAAAATAATTTTTTTGGGTTGTCAGAATTTTATCTTGCTCATCGAAGCCTTGTCACGGTCCTTCGCGAGACCCCGGAATCGAACCAACCCCCAAAAGAGTATCGAGCGGACGCCCTATCCACTCGACCAACCGAACCACTGGATGCTCCTCTTCTTTTCCGAGGGAAGAGAAAGAGGAAATTTTTGTGGAACTTTCGGTCGATTTTTCTCGTCGGCTAGGCTTATTTCGCAGCTGGAAAATGGTTCTTTTTACCAAAGTTGACCTGCTCTATCCACCTGTACTAGTCATTTTCCCGAACGCTGGGGGAAGTTCAGACCATTCCCTCGTAAGGATAACCAACTTCCTCCCCAACCCACCTTGAATTGTATAAAATTTCAGTCGATGTTTTAGTTTTTTTTGGAACTACAAGTACTTGCAAAAATTTCAGTAAGAATACATAATCGACCCTGTGCAACAAAGCTTGCCAATTACGGGCATTTCAGGAGGTTGGAAGAAGTTAACACATGCTAGGTCAAGATGAAACCCGTTAACTCAAAACTCCTCCTACAATGAACGAATAAAATTTCTGGCAGCCTTGTAATGAAAACGTCTAATTTTTTTGTAACAAGATTTGGCTGAAAACGGACATCTACAAGTCTAAATGGATTAAAAATGCAACATAACTTTATTAACATTGCTACCGAGCAGTTCCTGGTCAGTATTCATTGGTCAGCTATACGGAACCCCAATTTCCAATTACCAAAATAGTCTTTATACCAAAGCAAACACAATAATAACCGCATTCAAAATTGTAATTGGTGTCTACCGCTAAACCACCACCCACTAAGTCAAACCCGGGAAAATGTCAAAGACCGACTATATCCGTCCGGTGGGAAGTAATGACATTAGGGTGGCTCATACATTATAGGCTAATGTAGGAGCTACAATCGGATTTTTTGAGGCAGGGGCCGGTTCTCATGGGTAGAGGTTGGAAGAAAGATGAAATGGGGGAAAGGGAGACAAATGTAAATTTTTGCAGCGCCCAAAAAAATCTTTTTTTCACAAGTACCTAGCTCCTATGTATGATCTATAAACTCTTCCCTCCTCAGATCAATTCCCCTGTGCCCTGCCTCTACTGTCGCTTCCACAACCATGTGGCTGGACCCCATCAAAAGTCAGCAACCATTTCCAAAATCCACCAAGCCCAGCACCAGCCATACCAAGTCCCCAAAGTCATAGATGTAAACAAATGCTTACTGTACATTCAAACTACACTTTTAGCGATACAAAAACGAATCAATGTACGTAAATGAGACGACAGCAAAAGCAAAAGGTACGACACCCGCATAAATTAGATTGCCTTCCCCTATCGAGAGGTTATTACATTAAATTAGACCGAAAATAAAGAAAGTTTAAGTTCTTCGGCACTTAGTTAAAGTCATGTAAAACAAGCGGAACCTTTGCCGATATTCTCGAAAATTCACGTAGGTATAAAAATGGTTATAAAGATTATTGAGAGGACTTGAAGATAGTTCACAGCATAAACCTATTTAAAACGGGGAGATTCATCCGTGCCGTTTGAATGGATTCGTCTTTCAAACTCAAAGAGGAAAATACAAAACAGCTTCAAGTATAGTGCGTCTAAATTTTATTATATCACCTACTCAACTATCGACATGCCTTTGACAAAAGCTATTATAAATGTCACTTTTTGGAGTCTGCCAAATACGGTCCTGTATATTAGTTTATTGTTTCAAAAGTGTGTAGACTTTTCGTCGCAAGGTGCTTTTTACCGGCTATCGAAATATTGCCAAAACACAAGGGTTTTTTCATCTATATAATGTGAATTTTAGCCCTCGACACAAACTTGCATAGTGATGCAAAACGATGCATTTTGTTGCGATCATAAAGCATTTGGACGCGTTGCATGCCGCTTGACCCTGTCCAGGACTGTAAACAACATTTTTTCTGTCTATTTTTGTTTTCCCAACTTCTCGATAATCTTTTCCATTCAAAAGCACGTTTGGTTGTTCCCAATTCGTTTGCAATTTTTTTACTGCTCTTTTCTCCCTTTCCAAATTCGCTCTAAATGCGGGCTGCGTTTCTACTTGTGCTTTACTGCATATTAATTGTTCGGAATACGACCTCCTGGCCTTTAAATTCCAAACACCAAGAGAATGGTAACGTTATATGTGTTATTTTTATGGATCATACTAACAGAGGGAGTGCTCCAAGTTTGACGCTTAGATTTTCTTGAAACTTGACACAGATTTAGATTAATCTTTGCTTACACATATGCGAGACTCCAAACTCGCGGTTTGAAGAAACGACCGGAATTTTTAGATCAAAAGTAGGAAAAAATTACAGTTTTTTTGCGAATTTTATAACATGAAAAATTTGCAGGCCTATTTTTACCGTAGAGGGTAAACTTTCCATTTTTAAATAAAATAAAATATCATTCTTTTCTTGCGGCACTAGCAAAGATATATTTTTATATGGCCAAAAGATGTGGGCTGTGTACGAAGTGTGCGGAAAATTTAAAGAAAATCTGGGTATTTCAGTTGGGGTATTGCCTTGCAAGTACTGGGTTGTGCAGAAAGTTCGTTCGTTTTTTTTATTGTTCTGTGTTTGTTTTGCGTTGTCATAGATGGGGTTCATTTGTGTGTAATTGCCCTTCCGTGAACTGAAACAAAAATGAGGCAAAAATTTTACATCTCCGTTTGCATTGTTTTCTCAATGTCTCACGTTTCAAAGAAATTGCTGTTTCCCTCTGACTAACCCTTCCACCGCAAAATGATTAAGGATTATCAGCAAACATTTTCAAAAAGACTAAAGAAATTTTGCTATTTATAAAAATTGACCTAACGATAACCCAGATATTTACAGACATCCAGCTTCAACGACAAGAGTCCGCTGAGCTGGAGAAACTGTGGGCCAATCTAAACCAGGATCAAAAGAACGCGTTGTGTGATCGGAAGCTCTCTTCACGAATTGCTTTGCCAGGTAAATTATACTACTAAATATCAGTCTGTCGGGAAAATAATGTGGTTTCATCAGGCCTTGAAACCACCCATAATTTTTTTGCGTCGTGGCTAGGGGTTTGGTGTTCAACTAATATGAGCGACATATTTTCCTGCGACAAGTCCACATTATTTTCCAGACAAGCTGATAGTAAGTTTCGAATTTCTTTTTATCGCATTCCAACTTCAGAAGAAGCCGAGCAGCGACGCTTACAACTCTTCTCCCGACATTGCATCATTCTTGGATGAAAACAGAGAGCACAGTAATATTTTTAAATCTCACTTTATTTATTAGCATTTCAACAAAATGCCAATGATATTTTATAATAAATTTCAATAGGTCTTGGAACTTTTCCATTTTTTCAAAAAAAAAAGATTCTCGAAAATAAAACAGTTACTGTACTGCCAAGTCGAATGAATGCAAGATTGTGGGTAATTAAATCAAGTCAATGAATTTTCTCGACCTTCGGCTGTTTAAAGCGCTTGATCAAAGTTGACGACGAAAGATTTTGGTGTTCCGAAGTCAAAGTTTGCATTGTAATAAAATTGGGGGTGCACTGAAACTCTGTACAACGAACATTGACACAGAAAATATTGCTTACGAACACAGATTTCAGAGATCATAAGAGCCAAGTTTATGCCAGAATGAAGCTCTGTGCAATGATACCCTGCTATAACGAATAAATTTGCTAGCTCCTTGCGATTCGTTGTCCATCGGAGTTTATGAGGGAAGGGTCACAACAATTCTCTAGATCTTGCCCAATTTTTGCCCACGTTTTCTGAATAAGTCATGTACCATTTCCTGAATGTTTTAGCTTAGACTTTGCAGGCACAGATACGGTATTAAACTATCTTTGCGGCCAAGGCAGTACGCGAAAACGATAAACGTCTTTACCAGTTTGGCACGGAAAGAATTTATTTTTTTGAGGATACACAGCCCCACGGTTGAGTTAGGTATGAAACTATTTATGTCAAGGTTTAACAAAAAGTCTCATATTTTCTCCAGCCTTCGACAAACAAATATCTCACTCATATTTCTGCAAAGTGCGAACTAGGGACCTCAAAAAAATGGTCAACGAATTTTTGCCAAGTTTTGTCAAAATTATTAGACTTCTTCTATGATCTGGTTATGCAATTTTTTACTCATTTATTGCTGAGAAAATACCGCGGACACATGTGTCTTTAGAAGTCATCACCCATATAAGCTTCTCCTGTTTGCCTATGATCACACTTCAGAAAAAGACTCTTCCGGAAAACCTCTGCCTTTTTGTTGTTGTTTTGAAAATCCGCAAGAAAAACATCTTCGTCGCTTCGATCGTTTTGTAATATCACCCCTGATCTTTGAAATACCACGGCTCTGTTTACCGCCCTCCCCTCGATTTAATTGCTTTCAGCCATTTGTGATTTCAGCTCTTGTAACTTCTTGAATCTTCTTACGGGAATTACAGCCCCTTTCATGTGAACTTTCATCGATCAAACGGCCCCGACCTTGAAACGAATTGAATGGTTACCCCTCGGCGAAACGTTGTGATATAAAACGCTCATCGTTCTTGGATGGTTTTACTTTTTCTCGGGTTTTATGAGTCAACTCGTCGACTTAGCTGCTGGAAAATTGGGGATCATGGGTTTTAGAGCAATAAACTTTTGGCGGGAAATTGCTACAAATACGTGTTGGATCTTTGAATATGTATATATGTATATATGTTTATTAATACGTTTTTGACAAATGAAATGTTCGAAAAGCAATGTTCAGGTTTGATTTAAATTTTTTACACGCCTTGGGCATAGAATCTTATTTTGCGCTTTGCTGGGTCGACCGATATATTCAGCAAATCTTGTCGACGAGAGAGCGTACAAAATGCGGAGAGCGATCGGAGAGAAAAAAGCTTTTTGGCCACATCTCCGCCATGCTTCCGCCGTAAATGTTGCGTTTTTATAGGAATGTTTTTTTCTGCGGTAGAAGTAATATTCAGATTCAGACTTTTCATACATAAACTCATAAAAAATCATTGAATTTTTACCAACTTTTTTGATGACAAAACTCGGTTATTTCTGCGGATCAAGAGATAGGAATCAAGCATATTTCGTGGAAGAAAGTTGGCTAAATTTGCGCCAAGTTTCACTAGTATCTTAGTGTGACATTTCCGGCATATGCCATGCAAAATCAAGAGTTTTGATTTCTCGGCATGTCCAAGACAATTGTTGAAAGAAGACGACCCGAGGCGTAACACTTTATATGAAACTTGTCGATGGTTGTTTCAGCATAATAACTGGGTTTTCACACTTTCAAATGCCTGTTCAAAATCCCCACTACCCCAATTAAGCTCCCAACCCCCGCACCGAAAGTAATCTCCAAGCCGGAGTTACTATTGTATTCTCGCGTAATCCCCCAGGCAAAAGTAGGCCCGTTTCACTCTGTAAACCTTTGTTCTTGACCTCATCTGTTCACCGGACGTGTTTCTGATCGGTTTGTGGTCTTACACCAAGGTCAAATTAATTACCTCGTTTTTTGATTCGTTTGCCGAACATTGTTGTAGAAAATGTGGTTTATTGAAGTGAACTGCGTGGGAGGCTTCGGTTTTAAATGATTTGGGGTCTGGGTGAGTTGATTGCTGTTGGGAAATACCAAGATAATCGGGCTTGTCTATATGTACACGTATGTTTTAAACTTGGGAGTAATGGAGCAAATATGACGTAAAATTTTATCATCTTTTATTGTCAAATTCCTGGTTATGTCACGCATAAACTTGTTAGCCGCATGCTTTTTGGCGTTGGCCAGTGACTCATCAAATCGACATTTTTTGGAACTTGAATCAATTATGATTTGTGAATTTTGATTATGAGAAATAGCCACGTTCGCGTTATTAATCAGGCTTTGGAAGTGTCTTGTTGTTCTTTGGACCGTATGCATATTGGTATAGAAATTTTTGCTGAATTTTGTAAGCTTATATTTTGATTGAGATGTGCTTAAAGTACGATGCTTAGATTTTGATGAAACTAGGCAAAATTTAGCTTAATTTTGTCAACGAGATGTTCGAAATTCTTTTCTCGCGTTTTGCAGAAAAAACCGAATATTTCTCTCGGACCTAGGTCAAGATTTCTTAGGATTCCTAAAAAAGACTTTTTTATCAATCTGTCGGGAAAATAATATGGATTTGCCGCGTCTTAGAACCGCCCACCACTTGCCGACGGTTAGCTACGGCTGAATATTTGATTTGCGACTGCTACGAGGCGAGACATTTTGCGACAAATCCACACAATTTTTCCGACAGACTGATATACCGTGTGGTCTAAAGATCCAACAAAATTTTAATCAGCACTTTTTTTATTTTTTGATATTCCTATTTATTTTATTTCCTTCTCATGCGTTCTTCACATTATCTCTATGCCATAAATAATTTTCTGAGTGCATGGAATTTGTTATCACTCACTGAATTCCCCTTTTTGATGAGTTACAGTAGGGAACAAATTGTTCGAGTTTATCGGATTAGCATAAAATTGAACTCATTGTTGGGAATTTTATGGTTTAGCAGTGGTCTGATTTTGCTTACAGCTGGAGAATTGTTACCTTGCTTACAGTATGCTCTTGCATTTTGCAATGGATACACGTTCCAGAGAAGAATGATTTTAGACTGATTATTTCTGGATTTAGGCACTTCCAAGACCTGTTGAGGTCAACTGAACTTGACGAGGGTTTGATTTGGAGTTTGATTTGATTTGTGACCCCTTGGTCTTCTTCAGGAAATTTGTTTTGGCTTGACACTGATAGAACAAGTAAACCAGCAAAAAAATAAAGAAAAGGGCCGGGCCGGGTGTGGCTTTGAGTACCCGGTTTTTTAGGGACGTTAGCAAAATGAATTTTGAAAATGACCAAAACAACGATCCGATCTTGACAGTGTCTTGGCCACGGACTTATTAGGGAGCAAAAGCCCGGTCCCTTAGTCCTCGTGTCTGTCCCTGAGCATCTCGTTCGTATCCTAATGATGTGATATTCATTTAAAAAAGATTTTCTAATATTTCTCCAATCTAATCGTTCCTGTCAAAGTATCAAAGTGCACAGTATGTCGTGCACTTCCTGGCATACACAAACTTTCTCAAAATTGTGGATTCATCTAATTGCATCATGTTAATAACACCCTGCGGGTCGTACTCATGCAAAGTAAATGAAATGCGATTAGAAACGGTTGAATTATAATCCGGTAGCAGTCGCACGAATTCTCAGATGATAAGGGAAGTCACTGCTCTGATTGTTACACTTTTTGGGGTTATTAGTTTTAAGAAAAAGGAAGAAAATATGATTATCGAGCAGTAATTTACAAGACTTTAGTTTTTGTTAAATAATAAATATATACAAGCTACTTTGCAAGGGAATTGTAGCAGGTGACTAAGAGTTACTTCAAATTTTTCACAAATACGAGGTATACTCCCCTTAACAATTCCTGAAATTAATAGCTCACGCTTTGCTGACGCAGATTTTCTAGCCATCTTCGATGCCGAGAGAGCGCGCAAAACGAAGAGAGCGGTGAGAGAGAAAATCAATTTTTGGCCATATCTTTCCCAGGGTCATGATCAAAAAAATTGATTTTTTGTGTAAAAATTATTACCTGCCTAAGAAACAGGCAGGAAACTTTTTATGGAAAAACTTGTAAAAACTGCAATATTTTTGTCAACTTTGCACATAAAAATCATGGTGACTTCCCGAAAGCGCGAGCTAGAAATCTCGAGCATATTTGTCATCTTTTTCTAAATTTTTGTAGAACTCTATAATAATAAATATTGCGTATAATAAATATTGCATAAAAACAACTTACATCTAAAAAAGTTTGGCATAATCCGCCCTGTTATATAGTAAGACCTTATACGGTTTCAGGAATATATTTACCATGCAGATCACACAATAGAATCGCACGACATCAAACGGAATGAACCTGTTCATTCCTTCAAATTGATTGTTCGTTGCAACACGTTGGAAAAAAAAATATTCTTAAAGATTTTGATGGGTGCATTCGAAGGACAATGGGTGTGAATCAGTCAAGTTTAGTCTTTTTTTGGGTTATACGCAAACATCTTTGCCGATTTATGAATCTTTTATAAGACAAAAATTTTTTCAGTTTATTACAGGTGAAGTGGTGTGGCAAATCTTAGCAAATTTTGGTATGAAAAATTACACATTTATTTTTGCCATGTAGTGCTTCCACAAAAATAATTTTGTTCCTTGCAAAACTGCTAAAGATATGGCCGTTTTCTCTCTGGCCGCTCTCCGCATCTCGCGTACTCTCTCGTCGGCAAAGATTGTTCAATATCTTGACTAAAGCGCGGGCTAAAACTTTCAGGAATTTATGCATGGGGTATGGCCGACGAGTGTACAAAATTTTAAGAAAATATGAGAGTTTCACTTGGGATAATTCCCTTACCAAAGAATTTGGGTTTGTTTATAATAAAGTTTGCGAAAAATTTTGGTTTTTTAATTTTGAGATTTTTTACGATTTTTTCAAATATTATTCGTAATTTTTGAAAGAAAACTTGCTATTTTTTTATTTTTTCAATTGCTGGCCAATTTTTTTTTTTTTATTTTGATTTTTTTCGATTTATATTTTTTCCGTGCTCTCCCTACATTTTATCCCTCAAAAACTTCCGTACAAGCCTACAATGCGATCATAAATTCAAGCGGTTTTTCAGAACAACAACACAATAAACCTCACAAAATCCCCCCAACATCCGTGGGATACCATCGAATCGGGTCAAACTGTTCGTGAAATCGCGGCTTTGTCGTCGAAAAAACGCTTGCTTCGCGGTCGAAGATTGATCCACGCAGCTGATTAGGAAGGCAGTTTGGCAAGATGGTCAAGACTTCGCCGGTTATGGATCAGGTGGGTTGAGAGTTTTGATGATTTTTTATTAATTTTTGGATAGAATTACTTTTTTTAAAATTCTTATTATAAATTAGCAAAAATAGATAAAAAGGCTATGTCAGAATAATTCAAACATCAAAAAAAATTTTTTTTGATGACAAGCGTGAAATCAATTCTCCTGTGTAATTTTTGGGGGTATGATTTTGTATTAGGGACCTAATAGACTTGATCCCCAAAGATTAGGCCTCCAAGAATTGCAGAAATTACTGCTGGCTCTCGCTTTAACTTGGCGACATATTGTACAAGAACGGTCTATAATGAGCAAATTCCATAGTAGTAATATGATATAAGCTCTTGGTAATAAAACCTCTCTAAAGCATGTCTGCAAACAGTCTGAATTACCTTGCCAGTAAATTAGGCGGCTGAAAAACCATCCATATTGCCAGATCTTTCCCATCTTTTTCTATGTATGCATTTTTTATGAGGAAATGCGAATTTTTTGGCCATTAATATCCCTTTTTGTAAGTTTCTTTTCAACTCTCAAACTGTCTTATATTGATTTAACGATCCCATTCCACCCCTTTATTACATTACACCATCGAATAAATTATCTATTTCTGTTTTCTCCCATTAGTCAAAAGAAGAGCCATCTGACCTTTTTGGAAACAGAGCAAGTGGAGAAGTGATCTCTGGTTTGACAAAAAGACAGAATAAAAAGAGATAAAAGAGCCTTCGGCTTGTTCGATTCAGCTCAAAGTTCTGGAATATTTCTGGAAATTTGTTTTGACATCTGCAAACACAAGGGCTAAAGGGCAGCTAAATAAATGGACAGCAAATGGGTAATAAATGACCTCTTTTCGTGCTTGTCCGTGCCTGAGGCAGAGTGCAAAAAAACAAAAAATGTTGAAAAGATGGTGGCCAAATAGACTTTATATTCAGAGTAACGAAGGGCCAATAAAGTTACTTCTTTTGGAGGGTGTTTGGGAGAAAAAAGAAAGGGAAAAAGGGGGAAAGTGAAGGATTTTCTGTCGAATTTTGAGTGGTTTTGATTGTTATATTACGTCAGTCTGTCGGGAAAATAATGGGCGCGTTTCCCTGATATTACAGGGTGTTTCAAGAAATTCCCCTATATTGCAGCGACTGCATTGCACTGTGCAGTCGCTAAATGGGATCGCATAGCGTTGCAGCCTGCCTCCTGATCCATTGTGCAAAAAATCTGAAGACTTTCCGGATGCTGCAGTGTCACAATAACGCGTTTGAGATTAGTGTGATGGTCAAAGAAGCGATCAAAAGTCTTCGCCGAATACACTGCATTCCGCGTCGGCGTAGAAAAAAATCTTTTTAGGCAAAAAAAACCGCCCATATCCTTCTTTCTACTGCAAAAAAAATTTTTTGGATATCATGGCTAAGCGCCGAGAAATCGACGATTACTTTCCGGGGAATTTCTTGAAACACCCTGTACTTTAAAAGTTGTGCAAACAACGCTTAATTCTTTGAATAGCCAAAAGCCAAAAAAGGAAGCCCTTCTGTCAAGCTCAATTTTATAAAGAACCTATCCAATTTACAGTTGGATTGATGATTTAACGCAAAAAACACATTCAGTTCCCCAAAATTGCTTCCAAATCTCTCCATCTCATCTCCCACATTCCAGTGGTCATTCGCATCTGATGTAATCTCCCTCTCGTCACATACCACCCTTTTCTCGGCACTTTTCGGCTCTTTTTTCTTTTTCTGTCCATTCCTTCGGCCGAAGTGGGCTTTCAAACCGAAAAAATCCATTTCTCCTCGCTTTTTTGCCAAAACACTACGAAAGTTTGTTGTTTTCGAGGGGAAACTTTTTTTAATTTCAGTTTTTTTGGGCTATAATCAATTCCAAAATACACTTTGCCCCATTTTCGTTCATATTTTGCCCTTTCTGATTGTTCTGCATAGAATTATAATTTTTTTGCGCATTTTTTACTAGAGAACGCCATTTTTCATGTCTTAAAAAATTGGAAAATCGAGATTAGATAGAGCATAGATAGCCGTAGGTCAAGGAAATACCGTCGGGAATTCCTTGATTTATATCGAGGGCTAGAAAAGTGATGTAACCAGAGATTGATGTTGGTTTTCTACGGTGATTTGAAGGTGCAACAAAAGTTGAGGGAGTTTTCGGAACGGCGCTACGACTTTTCAGGTCAAAGTTTTTCAGGCCAGTTCGGGTCAACGATACTATAGATTGCGTCGGTTGGTCTTTGTATGCATGGGGAGGCTAGGAGAACGCTTAGTTACTATGTAGAAATAATAAGATTTAATCAGGTTCTAGAATGGCTTATCACCTATTTTGAGGTATTTTTAATGTACTCACATCAATAATATATATAAAAATTAGCCGCAAATTTTCGTTTTCCATATAAAAATAACGTTAGTAAAAGGTAAGGTTATAAAGAGTGGACTTATTGCAAGTCATCGCCAAGTCTCCGCCGAGCCATCGCAGAGCGTCCGCGCGACAATCCTACAGCCTTTTCTGGTGGGATTTACCTGCCTTGCGCCCCGTATCAATCGATTTTGTGTTTACGTTGACTGTCGTCCACCGGAAACGTCGGGACGCGGGCTCGCACCCTTTTTTGGTATTATGTTACAAACATTGTTGTATATCTTAACTCTGCCTGCAAAGCGGTAGCTAAAATTTTCAGTAATTGAAACATGACATACATAGGTGATGGCTGCAAAATTTGAAGGAAATCCATACGTCAATCTTTGAGGATTTTAATTTCTGTAACATACAGGTCATTTCTTACGCATTTCTCATCATTTTTTCCGTCAGCCCCACTTAATCATCTCTCTGTCCACTTTGACTTAACTTTTATCTCTCTTTACCACCTCTAATCCAAGGTCCATTTCAACGCGAAGATAAAAAGCAAACCCCCCTTTCTGCGCGACGTTAGACCAGAATCCATTCACTCCTTTCTCCAGACGTTCTCCCCTCATGAGGAAATTATATTACCCGTCCAATTTTTGTTTGTCTATGACTTTTGAAAGGGGGGCTTTTTTTGCATCATCACGAGACCAGGAAAGGGAATTTTCACAGATCGACGACGGAGATTTGGGGATTTTTGTGGGAGATGAGCTGTAAATTTGGTAACAAATATACCAAATGGATTTTACGGGGGGCTTTGGGGTGTTTTTAGCCTTTGAGAAAATATTATTGAATTATAAGCGAGATACGACTGTCAGGTTCTCTTGTACTTTTGGATGTATAATCTGCGTGAATCACATATCAATTCCTAAAAATTTAACTCTCGCTTAGCAATTGCAATAAAGATGTTCGGCGATTTTTGAAGACGAGAGATTATATAAAATGATGAGGGAGTCAGAGAAACATTCTTGATGATGGTCTTGGCCCCCGAACTGATTTCCAAAAGTCCCCGCCAGACCTAGGTACTGTTATCATTATTATTAATAACATTTTCATAAGGTGCGTGGACATTTGCATTTGCGGCAACGCGCAAATTTTTTGAAAAATTTTGACGCCAAATCTGAAGAAATCTGCATTCCTTTGAGGTTACAAACATAAACTCCTTAATTTTTGCACCAAACCCTCTTTTTTGCATAAAAAATGTACAACAACTGTCCAAACAAACACTCTTCCCGCGAGTCTAAATTATTACCCATCCCACGTCTTTTCGATTCCAATATTTGCATTATCATAATTTTTACTCCCAGTTCGACATCTTCCCTTCGAAAAGCGCGCTCATTTCCATGGCATTTAATTGAATTTCTCGTAGGAAGCTAATCAAATACTCCCAAAATGAAGCACTAAGCTCGAATTGGTTTAAGGTCCAGATCTTTGGCGCGCAACCAGCGGCAAAATGGTAAGTCAGCAAAGAAGGGGACATTGAGTGTGGTTTGAGGGATGAAGAATGATTTTTTTCTTATTGTCGAACATCTGTACAACGAATCCCGAGGGACCAAAAAATGAGTTTTTATATGAAGGCTTCGTTGTACAGAGTTGCATTTTGACCCAAAATTGGTTCTTTGAAACTTTGAAATTACTTGTTTATTCGTTATAGCCAGGCTATGTTGTAACGGAGTTCATTGCACAGAGCCCTGCATAGATTCTCTCTGCATTTGTATGGTATGATGTCGCAATTTTTTAGTCGATAAAATTAGCCGGAAGAGAGGTAAAAATGAGGCCGAATTTGGAATCAAAAAGTATCAAAGAGACATAAAAAGAGCTTCGAAAAGAGCGTGCTTTTCAGAAAGGCAGCCAAAGAAATCTTTTGGATACTTTTTGCGGCATGAAAAGGGTCCTAAAAGGTATCTCAAAAATGTGCCTTACTCTGTAGAACGTATCTTTTTTGAGCTTCTACGGTTTTGACAAAAAAATGGGCTTACCTCGATGGCCTGTTTGATATTCATGATGACAAAGTAACATTTTTAGACATTTTTTTGTCATTTTCATCCTTTTTTGGCATTGAAATTTTTCGATTGATTTGTAATTTTTTTGTTATAGAAAGTTCAAATTATATTATACAAAGTTTTCTTATAAATAGTTTGATTAAACCTTAAGATCAAAGTATGATCTGCAAATGAGTTCTCCAAATTTTATTTTTTCTATGATTCAATCTGGAAATTTGGAAAAGAAACTAATTTCCTTTTTTTTATTTACGAACGCTGGCGATCTTTGTCTTGACCACAAACTGAAGTCTTGATTGTTTTACTGTGGTCAAGGTCAAGTGATTCTTAGGAGACAAATTGGCATAGTTAAAAAAGTTCTGTCTGTCGTTATACTACTAGAAGGAGATTGATGTGGGGCGGACAAAATAGAATATAAAAACTCTGCAAAACGCGAGTTGGAGTCTCGGATATATCTTTTGCTAAACTCTGAGCTTTGGGGTACCTCACTATGTTATAAAACTATTATAAAATACATGATTTTTGTTCAGCCCTTGTTTATTTTAGAGGATAACGAAAACATTCGAACGCTTCTAATTTCGCAAACCATAGATCCTCACTCAATTTCATTTCACGGGCAAATTGTTTACTCCAGTTTTTTTTGGTGAATTCGGCATTCGGAAAGAGTTTCTTTGTCCAAAAGGGTTCTTGGCTCAAATATCTCTCCTCCATTAGGCCTGAGAGCCTCAGAATTGTAAATTAAGTAAGTGAGTAACTGGTTTTTTGACTTTAATAGAATTAGTTAGTTACCTTCCTATCGAAAATAAAATTTCTGGCTCTACATCTTCCACCATTATTTAAGAAATTTTCTCTAAAGTAAATGGCATATTAAGGCAGTTTTATAACTCAAAAAAACGCCACTTTGCTTTTGATTTCTGGTGGCTTGCAGACAGGTTTATGGGGTTTGTTTGGAGGGGGATTTTTCGATACAAATCTACCTACAATCAAATTTTGGAGTTCTCAGAGGAAAAAGAATTATTGCCTGAGGGTGCAAGTGGTCAAGTTGAAGAAAACTTGGATAAAGTGTTTATTGGCCCAGAGCAACCTCTATCTAAAATTTTCTAATCGCGTTATGCGGAAATATGGCTTTCCGCGTTATGCAGAAAACCTCCTTGATGTGGAACTTTGAAATTCAAAAAATCTCATTTTTCCTTTTGAAAATTTTTCTACAGTACTCAAATTTGACCTCAGACAAAGGTTTGATCACTCTTTCGGGCTCAAATTCCCCTAAACAACACCAGTTTTATTGCCGCAAATTTATCGCTGCCCAAGTTTTACGGCTTTTCTTTATTATGGAGTTCTTTTTTTTCGTTTTCCATCTAGGGAAATCAAGAAACACATTTCGTTCGTTACGACTTTGCTGCCTAGATAAGAACATTGTGTTGGGTCGGATTCGAGTTGAAATGGTAGGCTAAACATTGCACTTGGATATTAAGTTTGGGTCCCGCCACGAAAGCTTGGCATTCCGTTTTTATACATCGAAATTAGCAGATTTAAGCCGATTTGAATGCCAATACCATTCTTCTTACCGTATCTTAGCTTTGATTTCAAAAATTCTAATTTTCCTCAAAGTGTAGGGCGCAGCTTGCCAACCCGAAACCTTTGATTTGTCGCTAAAACAGTAATCATAAAGCAATAATGAGAGGTCTCAGTGCCTCTAAATATCACTCCCCAAGAAATTTGAATTAATTTCCTTACGTTTCTCGATAGTTTTATATTGCTCATGACCATTTCCAATATCAAGACTTGTGATTCACATGTTTTTTCGATTCCAACTAAAATCATAAAATAACAAAGGCGAGAACCCGGAATCTCAAGACATTGCGCCTTGTTTGTGCAAGACGCAATGTCTCCCCTCGTCTGGTCTTTCATCTAGACACTTCATAAAGTTAAAGTATAATATACCAAATTTCGACGAGAAAAATAACAACCTTGTTTATTTGACAAGGAAAGTACTTTTATGGGGGCTCCTACTTTTTGACGGGACATATCTCAAAAAATCAGAAAAAATGTTATGATCAAGGATATATAAATCTTAACTGCCCATTTTAGGTTTTTAGGGGTGAAAACTCAATCGGAAGTTGACTTAAAGTCCTATATGAACCCCTTTTCGCCTAATTTTTCACGGGTTTACAATTTTTATTTTGGCTTAAAATTATGTTTATTGAGTTTCTAAGACGTAATAAATCAGTATTGGCCCAAAAATTTATTTTTACGACCTTCAACTTCAAAAAAGTTGATTCAGCCCAAAAGGGAAATCGAACCCGTGCGGCGTCCCCTCTTGATTCCCAGACTACGCCACTAACCACTCGGCCACACCGCTCTGTTCCGAAGGAAGAGACCGACTGCGCTTTTTATCGTTTCGAATGCATGCGCCTTTTGTAGGGAAATTGAGCCAGTTTTTGGGCATTTTCACCCCTAAAAGCCCAAAATGGGCAGCTAAGATTTATATATCCTCGATCAGCACATTTTTTCTGATTTTTTGAGGTGTGTCCCGTCAAAAAGTAGGAGCCCCCATAAAAGTACTTTCCTTGTGAGTAATCCAGATGGTGTAGTTTTGCTCAAAATAGAATTACTTCATACTTTTTTGGCAGTTTTAGTGTTTTTCAATTTTTTGGTGGGACAAAATTTATGTCTAGTGTAATATAAAAAAAATGGTCGGAAATATGTTTTACTGACTTAGTTAAATCCTAACTACTCCGATGTGGGGGTCAACGCATATTTTACGTCATCGAGATTTTCGAAGGTTTCAATTTTGCAAGGATGACGTATTTTTTAGACGCTGTTGATAACCTTGTGAATTTACATTGATAGAATTGCCAAAATTTGCAAGAGAACAGTGTATTCGATGCCTATCAGATGCTATTTTGCTTTGCACAAAACTCGTCATTATAGAGATGTCATGATGACGGATTTTCTGGAATTTTCTCAAAAATGTTGATTTTTTTCGATTTTTTTCGTAAAACCATTTCGATGCTCTCAAAATTTGAAAGAGTTTTGTATTTTAGTTGAAAGTATATTTTTTTCTTCGTATTTCAGGCAATATTTCCTCTATTTTCAGCCAAAATTCGAGGCACGCTACGGCCGCGTGGACGAGCCCAAGGAATCGGCGGCCAAGAAAGCCATGGCCAAGGCCTGCGAGTCGATCCGCCCGCGCGCATTGTTCGGCTTCCTCTCCTCGCTCCTGCCCATCCTGGAATGGTTGCCGGCCTACCGGTGGAAGGAGGACTTTATGAGTGATCTGATTGCAGGTGTCACGGTCGGAATTATGGTTGTTCCGCAAGGTAGGCGGTGGTTTGTTGGTTGAATTGGTGTTGAAAATACGTCTAGGTCTTTTGATCAACTGCTGAAATTCATTTTACGTCTGTTTGCGGTCAGGAAATTAGTTTTTTCATTGATTTTTTGTTGGTTTGGCTTGTTTTTTGAGGGATAAGATAATTTTTGACGGTTTGTGGTGAAGTCTTTATTTTTTATACACTTTCTATTCTTGAATAGGTCTATTTACTCAGTTTGCATCACTTAACAATTATTTTTGCCGAGTTTTTCTCCGTTTTCGATCTAAATTTTTATCTTTTTTGATCTTGACACCTACAATAATATATTTTGTAAAATACACCCTTCAACTCGAATCATTTTCAGGTATGGCCTATGCCAGTCTGGCCAATGTGCCTCCAGTGGTCGGTCTGTACGCCAATTTCATCGCCATCTTCATCTACATGTTCTTCGGGACCTCCCGACACATTTCCGTTGGGACCTTCGCCGTCGCGTCGATGATGGTCGGGAACGCGCAAATTATTCAATTCGAGAATTTCAACGCCACTATGTCGGCATGGGAGCCTCAGATGACCAAGTTTGGAGTTGCAGTCAGCCCTCTCACCTTGACTTCCTCCTTGACTTTGGGCGTTGGCGTGGCGCAGCTGGTCATGGGACTGTTTCGGCTCGCATTCCTCACCAAATACATCTCCGACCCGCTGGTGTCGGGATTCACAACCGGTGCGGCGATGCACGTCTTCATGAGTCAGGTGCCGAAGGCGATGGGAATCAAAATCCCAGCCACGCCGGGCATCGGAGAGCTGGTCCACAAGGTCATCAATTGCATCTTGGGCATCCCCAGAATTAATTGGGTGACCTTCACGATTGCCCTACTCGGATGCGCGTTCCTTTGGCTAGGCAGGGACTTTCTGAATCCCCCATTCCAGAAGCGGTTTAAACTCCCGATCCCATTCGAACTGATCTTGGTGATTGTGTCGATTGTGGCCTCGCAAGTGTTTGGATTCAATAAAAATTTCAAGGTTTCGATTGTGAAACATGTGCCTAATGGGTGAGTCGTTTGATTTTGGAATTTTTGGAATTGGTTTTTAGGGAATTTAAAGGAGTTTTGGAGATTTTGGATATTACTTTAGGTATTTTAAGAATATGAGATATTTTTGGTAATGTCAAAGGGTTGATTGTGGTATGGAAAAGCTAGAAGTGGTTCTTAGAGCCGACTAGACGTATTTTTGCGTTTATTTTGAGAGATTTTAGAGCTGGATGTCATGGATAATATATGTCAAAAATGGCAATATCAATGTAAAAATGAATTTTAAAGGGATTAATAGGAATCACAAATGAAGTTTAGAGGCTGTTTTTCAGATTTTAAGGTATTTTTGGACGGATATATCAGTTTTTTATTAGTGACGCCAAGTGTAATATAATTGAAAATCGATGAAAAATGGATTTTTGTAACTCTTGAGGTGTTGATTGGTTTCCCAATTGATCTGTAAGACGATGATTTTTTGCGTCTTATACTTTTGCAGGTCCATGAAATCTTGTTCTAGACTAATGATCATATCATTTCAGACTTCCACCATTTGCCCTCCCCAACCTCTCGATCATACCTCACATTCTTCCCGACATCATCTCCATTTCGATTATTTGCTTTATGTTCGCCTTCTCCATGTCAAAACTCTTCGCCAAGAAGCACAAGTACAAGGTGGACGCCAACCAGGAGCTCCATGCGTTGGGCATTGTCCATGCAATCGCTTCTTGTTTCCCGGTTTATCCGGTCGGTGCCTCTTTGTCGAGGTAAAATCATCGGGGTTTTTACCATTTTTATCAAATTTTTTATCTAGTGTTATATCATTTTGTTTTTGTAAAATCCAATTTTTTTGCCTCCAGATCCTCGCTGTGTGAGCTCGCTGGTGCCAGAACTCAACTGAACGCCATCTTCACGTCGGCTTTACTATTTTTTGTTATCATGTTCATTGGCCATTTCCTCGAACCCCTCCCGATGGCTGTACTCGCGGCAATTGTTATGGTCTCCTTGAAGAGTTTGTTCATGCAGTTTGGAGACATTCCAAGGCTCTGGAAACTCTCAAAAATTGATTGTGTAAGTGTTGATTTTGAGGATTTTTTTAATTTTTGGAAAATGAGATTTTTTGACCTTTTTTGGACATAAAAAACCAAAAAACATAGAGTTTTATAGCTGTTGCCCATGATCGCCACACATTTTGAGCAAAAGAAATACCAAAAGCTTGATTTGCCGCCAGCAGGGGTCGAACCTGCGACCTTGGGCTTATTAGACCCACGCTCTAACCGACTGAGCTATGGCGGCACGGGTAGAATTTTTTGCGGAAATGGCTAGGAACGGTCTCAAAAGGGCGCAAAGTAGCTGGTTTAGGATTGTGAAAGAAAAAATAGAGGAGAATTCGAGTCAATATTACTTCAAAAATACCTTTTTATATTAGGTTGGACGGAAAGTTCGTACGATTTTTTACCCAACTTTCAATTTAATTTTTTTCGCGCCAAGACCGATTGCCCACTGTAAATACCTAGCATATACAAGAGTACAGTGTGAAGATTTATATGCTACGTGCCAATCGTTAGCTCCGCCAAAACGAGCTTAATTATAAGAGGTATTCCGCGTATTGCTTATGATCTGTCTCTGTAATAGGGTTCAGTAAGGCATATGGAGAGCCCTTTAAGTGCAACATCAGTAAACCGGATCATAGACGCCTCGGGTTATCCACAAAGAGACAAAATTGCCAAAAACTATAGCTGTAGAGAAATGCGTATAATTTTGTGACAGTTAACAATGGCAGCCCGTTGTTTCGCGAAGTAGTAGAGCAATAAAGCGGCTCTATTTTGCACCCAAGAAAGGGAGGAGTGGAAAGATGTTATGAGCTCTTTTTAGAATTGTACGGGATGATCCAACAGTTCACCAACGATTTTTTGAGAAAAGTAATTTAGTAGTTATTATGTCGTACGGCAAAACAGTTGGCTATTGAGGGGTAGCTGAGTGTAAGGGATTGTCCTTAGTTTCTGCATATCATAGTTTTACACATATAAATGCACCGGCAAAGCGGCGGTTGCAGTTATACTCAAACTTGGGGTGGTCCTGCAAAAGTCAAATTTTATGGCTATGTTTTGATTTAGTCCCCGGCGACTTTACGCATATTAAGAGCTACAAAAGAAGGCTTTTTAGCAGTGCCAAAACAATTTCCTGGTAGGCCTTATTAAACAAACCAGCCAAGGATTTGTAATTTTGGACCAAAGATGGGTAAATGTCTAAATTAAGTTCTCAGTTCGTACATGCTTAAGATGGTTGAGGGTTGTACTGCCAGATAGGGATGCCTGTCTTCTACCAATACCATATATTTGTGTTTGTCTTTTTCCATCAGCGCACGAAAAAATAGCAGCAGTAAAAAATCGTACGAACTTTCCGTCCAACCTAATATTATCCATGAGGTCAAATTGAAAAAAAAATTTTGCTGCAAAAATATTAAGAGTTAGGAAAACGGGTGTAAAATACGTGATAATGACAATTTCTGTCCTTCAGATCACCTGGATAGTCGCTTGTTTCACCACCATGCTCTTGGATGTTACACTTGGTCTCGCCATTTCGGTCGCCTTCGTCATCATGACCCTGGTCCTCCGCGAGCAATGGCCTCAACTCGATTGGCTAGCCTCGACCGAAGAACGCGACGTCTTCAAACCGGCCGGAAAATATCAAGGATTACTCTCTACCGGCGAAACAGAAGACGTAAAAGTTCTGAAATTCGGATGCCCATTGCACTTTGCTAATGTCGAAAAATTGGTCGATTTTGTCAGTGATTATCTTGTACAGATTGCCTCGGCCCCACCAAAGTCGATAAAAGTCACGGATTTGAATGGAAAGGTGAGTTAAAATGGTTTTGAAAAAATTTTTTAAATGTTTTTGAAATTTTTTTTACATTTAAATTTCGAACTTCAGGATTAATAAACACGAATTTTAGACCAATGTGGAGGATGTTCGACCCCAAAATACCCTTGTCTTGGACGGTGGAGCCATTGCCTACGTGGATTCGATGGGAATTGAAGCCCTGGTTGAGTGCTATAAAGATGCGGAAAAAGTTGGAGTCAGAGTGTTTTACGCCGACTTCTCAGGTATCAATTTTATTTTGAGGGGTTGAAAATACACTTGATAGAAATTTAGGATGTGTTGTTAGAAGATTTATGAAGAAAAATAAGAAAAATTAGCGAAAAATTTTCATATTATTCATGTAGAATAGATGCTCACGAGTTTCTTTTGAGACAATCAGTGGGCTAAAAAAAGAGAAAGCTTATCAAAAAAGTTGAATATGTCAAAAAAATAACAAAAAAAGGTTATTTGCCGCCAGCAGGGGTCGAACCTGCGACCTTGGGCTTATTAGACCCACGCTCTAACCGACTGAGCTATGGCGGCACGGTTTGTGGTTTTTTGGGAAATTGCTAGGAATGGACTGGAAATAACGAAAATAGTAGTAATTTGATAATCCAATGATTGGTAGGGTAATATTTAGTAATTTTACGTATGTTTAGACGTCTTTACCACTAGGAACTTTAACTTTAATCTAGTGTAATATAAGTCAATAAAGTCAAAAATCCTAGCGGTAAAGATGGAAATACTCATTAAAAATTAGTAATAGCAGTGTGGAGTAGTCATTTGAATAATACGGTCAACATTTTTTAGTCGCACCCGACTTAACTACGTAAAAATCCGCTTTTATATCCCACTCAACGTGACACCGCGGAAATGTAGCATTCGCGGGGAATTGCGTGCTTGACGCAATAATAAAACCGTTTTATCGATTCGACGGCCAAACGGCTTTAAGTCGAAATGCATGTATGTTAGCTTAAGCGAGCATATAATTGTAGGGATTACACTTAAACCAATTTAATTGGGAAAAATGTTCAAAACATAAGTGGAGATGGAAGATATGAATGGGAAAGGGAGATAAAGTAGGTGTTTTGGATAAGGAAAACGGAGTTTTTACTGTGTTTTTAAAAAAAATCTCGTCTCTTTTGAGCTGAGGAAATGATATCGGGTATTGATGGAATTTGGGGTAAATATGGGATTGTAAAAATCGAAAAATCTCATTTTTAAAGTTTTTCAAAAAGAGGCTTTTTTCTCTTTTTTATTAGAAAACTTCTCTCTTTTCGAAAAAGTCCAGAAATAAGATTTTTTTTGATTTTTAAGGCCCTACAGTGACCGGGACCTGATCAAGTGGCAAAAAATGTACCATTTTGCATCCGGGAAGTATCAAAAAATGTAGCAAAATGCCTACCTCTCTAACTGAAAAACTCCGTTTTGAAGGGCGCGCCTTTTCCCTCACATAAAGAGTGGGCGCGCTTTTTAAATCGAAGTTTTTCACTTGGAGAGGGAGGTATTTTGCCACATTTTTGATACTTCCCAGATGCAAAATGGTATGTTTTTTGTCGCTGGATCAGGTCCGCCACTGTATGTATCCATGATTTCTGCAAATAGGCGATTCAAAAAGCTCACAAAACTGCTTAAAAATCGTGGTGTTTGTTCATACCAAACTTTTCCATCAAAAATTGGATTTTTTAGCCAAAATTTGCATAAAATAAAGCCGTAATCCATTTTTACTACGATTTTTTGTTGTTGTGAATTTTGAATCCATTTCCACCAGGTTTCCTGACTTTTGTTAGGATCTCGGTTTATGACCGCTTAAATTTACAACCATAATTCAATGATCCCCGGAAGCCATTGAGCTCCTCACTTTTATCGAAAATGGTTTTCCATTTCAATTTCGGTCCCAGCAGATTAGCATTTCCATTATAAGCCTCCAAAAAACCCGCTTTTCCGGCTCAGCTCTGGACTTCGAAAACAATCTTTATGACATTTAAACGGTGGGAATGTACCGTATTCTTGAAGCGGATTTTTAACAATTTTTCGAGGTTTTTGGAGTTACCTGCTTTGCTAAAATAGTATGAAAAAATGTAGTGTAGAGTGATGACTGCGTTTTGAAACAGTGTAATGTACTATGTTGGCATGATGTAACAATTTTGTTTCGTGTAGTCGGTAGTAAACCAAAGTTTAACGACGTTTTTTTGAGATTTGCTTGACGTTTTCCGGCGCGAAATGTTGGTGAAGTGAAGTAAAGCCAATGTTCATTATAGGTTGTACGTAGTTTTTTTTTGTATTTTGAGGGCAGCTGGTCCTCATTACGTTTGAAGTGACAATTTATTTCCTGCGTCCAATTTTTTTTTAATCTTGAGTTTTGGAGGATATGAGGACAATTGGAAAAAAGTGAAGAAATAAATGGTTTACCTGATGGGCATTACAAAAAATATTGTTGAAAATTAAGTATTTTACAATGAAAGAAGCAAAATTTTGAATTGCCGCCAGCAGGGGTCGAACCTGCGACCTTGGGCTTATTAGACCCACGCTCTAACCGACTGAGCTATGGCGGCACGGCTTGAGGTCTTACGGGAAGCTACTAGGAATGGACTGGACGTGACGAAAATAGTTATGAAGAAAAATAGGAAAAATTGGCGAAAATTTTTGAATTTTTATATTATTGATGTGAAATAGATGTCCACGAGCTTCCTCTAAGGTAATTGGTGGGCTAAAAAAACAGAAAGCTTATCAAAAAATTGATTATGTCAAAAAATACCGAGAAAAAGTTGTTTGCCGCCAGCAGGGGTCGAACCTGCGACCTTGGGCTTATTAGACCCACGCTCTAACCGACTGAGCTATGGCGGCACGGCCTGAGGTCGTTTGGGAAGTTACTAGGAATGGACTGGAAGTGACGAAACGGTAGTAATACGGATTGTAATGTTACATATTTTTAGACGCCTTTACCACTTGGAACTTTAACTTTTATCTAGTATAATATAAGTCAATAAAGTCAAAAATCCTAGCGGTAAAGATGATAATGCTCGTTAAACAGTAGTAATAGCAGTGTGGAATAACATTTGAATAATACGGTCAAAATTTTTGTCGCACCTGACCGTAAAAATTTTGGTTTATTAATAAAAATGAAGAAGTGTGTTACTATCAATTTAATCTAGTATTTTTACGGAAAAAGTGTATACGAATTGACCTTTTCAATATTTTTAGTTAAAAAAAATTTTTTTGAATTTTTCCGAAAAATGTTTCCTGAAAATTAAGATGTTTGAAAAGTGTAATAAATTAGTGGTAATTGAAACATAATGCGTTGGAATGATGATAATGTGTTCTTTCAGACCTTGTGATCGACTCCTTGACCCGAGCCGGCTTCTTCCAGACCGTCCCCAAAGACAATTTCTTCCCGACGGTGCGCGATGCGGTCGAAACAGCGCGAACAACATGAAAACTGCCTTACAATTTTGCTCAGACTGTTTTCTAATCCCTTGTAAATAGATTTATTGTTTTCAATTTTTGAAATTTTTTGCCAATTTTTTAAATTTTACAAAATTTTTTTGATTTATATTGTACAATTTTTTTAGAATTTTGTATCCGGTAGCCTTCTCCCAAAATCTCAGTATGTTGTAACTTGTATGTACACCTCCATAATAATGTATTTAAAACCAGAGATTCCACAAAATAATCCGATCCGGTTCATATCATTACTTACTTTAGAGACTACTGTACTATTTTTGAAAATAAATCGAATTCAAATACTTTTGGGATATTTTTTTTGTATTTTTACGTACACCTTGGTTTCGTTGCGGCCGAGGATTAACAGTTTTTTTCGTTTTTTTTTCATTTGTAATATCGCAAATGTGAAGGAATATCTCTAATCGGCTTTTTTCTTTCAAAATGCGTTTTGGCCGCTTCGTTTTTTGTATCCGAAAACCGCCTACAGGCGCCGCGCCGTGCCATTGATCTTCAATTTTGTTGTTGCCGGGGGCGGTTCTTTTTTGGGGAGTGTATATAAGGCGGCAAAATACGGTAATGGGCATATGGAGTTCTACTTTTTTGCGAAACTCATCGTATCGCGCGTTATCGAAGGGTTTTATGGCCGAGAAAAATATTGTAAAACATTCTCAATTTCGGGTCGGCTTTGGTTGATCGAAAAATTCAAAGCAAGATCAAACAGTGCAAGATGATCGGGTCCTAGGATATCACCTATTTTGAAGTATTGTATTAAAATTAATACATGTACTCATCAATAATATCTAGATAACAGTTACTGGTCTTCTTTTTTACCGCAAATTTTGAGTTTTTACATGTTGCCATAAATTAGGCTAAAGAAAATCGGCGTTAGTAATAAAGAAAATTTGAAAAATTGAGTACATTTTTCAAATTTTATTGCAAGCCTTCGCCAAGTCTCCGCTGAGCTTTCGCCGAGCCTCCGCCGAGCATCCAAGGGGCTTCTCCAGGCCTCGGAGGCACAAAAGATTGCCACAGCTCTTGAGCTCCGGCTCTGAGCGGCTCCGCTTCCGAGCCGGGCGCCAGAGCCGGCTCTGCCTGAGTTTGAAATTTTGGGTGCGGTTCCGGCTACCGAGCCCAAAGTCGGAGCCAGGCTTCTCAGCGTTCAGAAAAGTAAAAATTTCGCGATCTTGTTAAATCAAATTTCTTCAAAAATACTGGGGGTATGTGTCGCGTACGAACTTCGCTGCAAAAATGTTGGCTGTATGGTCTCCGGAACTAATAACTTTTATTTTTGGAAAAATATCTTGAATCTGAGAGCTAAGAGCCGGAGCCGAAATTTTTAACGCGGAAATCTCTGGTAGACACTTCCTACAATGGGGTGAAATCTACTAATCTAGCGGAAATCTTTAGAAATTTTTGTCTAAATTTATCCCAAGTTACATGTTTCGAAAACTAAAGTGTCATGTTTGAGGTACTTCCGCTATAAAAAGGGTTTTTTCATCCACTTTTTGGTAGCTCTGTTTTTGTTTTTTAGATTATGCTGAGTATTCTCACAGCTCGCCGTGCTCACGTCGTTGTCATGAGACCGGATTAAGGACTCTAAAATTACTTATGACAGTACTTGTAGCATCCTTTTTATATTTACCGGGAACTTGAACGAAATATGTACGGTTTGTTTCAAAATTTATATCTCCAATTTTCGATAGTAAATCGTTTCGAATAACGGAAGGAAAAGCGTCTTTAGGCCTTGCTAATTGTAAAAGTCTAATCGTATTACGGAAAGCTGTCCAAATTTGTGCCAGGTTCCATCAAAATCTAAATATCCCATTCGTAGCAAATTACCTGCAAGGGTGACCCCGATTAATAATCGTCTATTGCACTAATCCCCTCGGTTCAGGGTTTGATTAGAGAACGGGATAAAAATCCCGGCAATTAGATGACATATTTAAGTATAATGGCACAGGGTCATAATCGCCCTAAAGGTGGGTGTTTCACAAGGGCAATAAGGGTAATTTTATACATGCCTAATACCCGGGACGGAAAGTTATGGTAGCCTTTTTGAAAGAGGAAGGAAAACTTTAGTTAAGATTATATACTTTTGATGTCAAGGTTCGTCGAAAAGTGCCACAGTTTTCGCCAACTTTGATATAAAAATCTCGGTTGTTTCTGTAAAAACATAAGCTAGAAATCCTACATTTGCCTTTGAAAAAATTGATTCAAACATTTATGCCATGTCCATCAAAATCTGAGCGTCGAACTTGAAGGACTTCATCTTATAGTCGACTGGTGACTAAAGGCTTCCGTGTATTCAATGCTCCAAAACATATTGTAAAAATTGTAACGCTTGTGTTTAGTGTCTGAACAGTTGCTTGATTGGAATGCCGAAAACCCTAAAAGTAGACGACCTCTACCCTTTTCACGTTTACAATAAATCAGGAAGCCGTTTCTTAACGAGCCGTCGCAAGGTTATCTGCGCATTCATTCTTTGTTCATGTAATTGCGAATAATCGGCTGAACTGTGCAGACTTTAAACAGCTCTACCGACCATGTAGAACATTGTGGGCCAACGTTTCTGCGTAACGTCTTGCCCAAAAACTGTTTTTTCTGGCCATTCTCCACATACTATACCTCAGCGAGAAGGGTGGTAACCTAACCTAGGTCTGCAAAGCCAATCTGAAATCTTTTTAGGATCGCTGATATAATAACAACAAATGGTTCCAGTTTTGCAACCGGCTCCTGCTCATTTTACTCCTCCAATTTACCGTGACCGTCTTGCCATATCCCTCCCACATAACGACCATGTTTTTGTCCATCGGCGTTTCGTTTTTTTACGCTACAATTTAAAATTGGAAAAACTACAAAACTCAACGTGCATTTGCTGTAATTAGCGCGAAAACGAAAATCGTATTTTCAGTTTTTTTTTTACTTTTTTGTTTTCGCCTTGTTTGTATTACAATTCGAATTTTCGCAAATACTTGAGGTATTTGTTGAGCTCCGTGTAATATTAAGAGTGTTGCGTATTGGGTTCGAGCTTTTCAAGATTTATAGAAAGTTTATAGCTTTCAGGGCCGGCCTTATTTTCATATCCCGCAGCAATGGAACGGACAACCAAAATGACGTCATTACTAGTGATTGCTGCAGCCTTGACGACAGCAGATGCGCTAGAATGCTACGTGGAAAAAAACGTAAGTTGCAGTTTGAATTGTTGATCTTTCAGTTTACATTGATACGGGACGAAGAGATTTCATACGATCAAACATGCCTTAAGACATTTTGAACAAAAAATGGTAATCCTATTGGTGTAGCCAATTTTTACCATAGCGAATGGTGACTTCTTTACTGAAAAAACGTCACGAAAATCTTTGAGGACATTTTATACGAGAAAACGTGTTTCTCTTCTTTCCTTTTTTTCTCACTGTATACGACACTTCTGTTTGTAATACAGTTAATGCATTTTCAGAGTGACGTCATCGTGGAAAGCGGCTTTGATTTGTGCATATTTGAGCCGGGCGTGACGCGGAACAAAGTAATGCATCCCAGCCGATATGGATTAAACAATTTCGCCGAAAAAGCGCAAAGCTTGCAAAACTTCCAGAAATTTTTACAGAAGGAGGATGGAAGTTATTCCGTTATGTCGCTGTGCACCAATAATGTAAGCGAAATTTAAATCCAATGGCCCATATTGCAACCTATTTTACATTAATTTTGCCCATGTGTTCAACGAATCTTCTGCCTATTCTTGCGTTACAAAATAATCTTGCAGAAGCCCTCACCGCCTTCTGCGAACTTCACGAAAATCGTCTGCTTTTGCAACACCGATTTATGCAACCGCGGGAATACCGTGGAAACCTTCCTTGGCCATCAATTGGAGCTGGACCGGATCCGTCATTTGGCCAGAATCTCGGACTAAAAATCAATGAAAACACATTCCATAATCATGACCAAAATTCGATGACTTTAACTATGAATTGCTACTAAATTAATTCTTTGACTGAAAATGCAGATCGTGTTTTGTGAATAAATAAATACAGAGAGAACGAGATTTTTTGAGAAAACATGTCATCATGAGAGCTTTTTGGAGTGGCAGGGTCGGAAAACTTGTTTCTCTACCGCCTTGGCCGACACCGAAAATTTTGGAACGTCCGGCCAGTTTGGCTAATTGTAAGAGAACCGGAATAGATTTGCCCCAAGATTTTTCGAAGATTTGACGTCAAGATTTTATTGCATGCAAAGTTTAGATAGTTAATACAATTGCAGAACCGGAAATTTCGAAGAATCCGGCAGTTTCACTCGATTATTTGTAAGGGACCCAGTTGTATTGAGCCAAGTTGAGTTGATTCACACCTTTTTTGACGCGGAAATACCCCTGTTCTCCCCAGCTTGACCCCCACTGGTTCTTGATCAGCCAGTACGAAACATTGTTTGAGGTACCCCAGCCAACAGTGACAATGGCGTGGTTGATGGTCCAGCCGCCAGAAGGCTCCTTGGCGTTGAGAATGCCACTTTTGTAGTGTTGGAGTGGGGTGGCATCAACATCTGAAGAGTTTTAACGCAATCAAATGAGACAATGGATGTAATTATCGAACTGTAGAGAACAAAACTTACAAGTAACGACAGGCCCAACAAAGTGGAGGTAGATCTCCAAGGCAATCTCGCTGTTTTCTGGAATTCTCTTGAATTTTGTGATCTTTGTAACGGCCGGTTCGCTAACACAAGCGGGGATCGATAAATCGGTTCCCGAAACATATTTAAAATCGGCTTCAGCGCAGACTCCATTGTCCTCAATGTACTGTAGAATGCTTGGAGCGCTTCCTGCACTGCAGCCGCCGCCTCCACTTCCATGAAGAGTGGTGTTTCCATAAGTGCAAGAGATTACTTGTTGCTCACTCAAATCGACCAGCTTCCCGGTCTTGATGGCATATTGACTTTCGACAGCACCCACAGCGGCAAAGGCGTAACAACATCCACATCGGCCTTGGTCTCTGATACCAGTCACTTTGTTCTTGGCAACCCAGCTAAAATTGGCCGGGATGGATCTTTTGGAACGGAAGATGAGTTCTAAAAGAAACTGTATGCTTGTGTAGATTACCTACCTTCTCCATCGCTCCCTTCTTCTACTCCATGAAGCTGTTTGACATGATCTTCCCCTTGGACTCCAGTATAGACCTTGATGAATTCTTCCGGCGATAAATCCGAGAATTGCGTTGGCCCGAATTCTGCTTCTGGATTATCTTTTTGATCGGCCTCAATTTTCTTCAGGGAATTAGAAAACTTCTCGAAACGCTCCTTCAACTCATCGTTGTACTCCTTGTTGAACTTGATGATATATCCAAAGAAGTTGTTGAAGTTGGGCTTTGATTCAGATGACAATTGTTTCCCGAAGACAGCAGCCTTCTTCAAAGTCTGCTTCGTCTTTTCGCCAACAGTTCTGAGGCCATTGATGAATTCATCGGTCTTGTTTTGGCTGAAGATCTCTTCAAACTTGGATGGATTTAATCGATCTTGCCACAACTCCCTCTCGTAGGTGCTGAGGTCCAGAGAACTGGCAATTGGTATGCATACAAGTATAGCAAGTACAAAGGAAATCGTTCTCATTGTCGCTTGAGGAACAGACTCGGTATTGACGATGATTTGCAGACATTTTTGGCTGTTTTATACCCAAGATGTTTACAGTTTCATCCGTAAAAATCTCTCGATTCCTGGAACACAAGTTACTTTTGGGCTGCAACAAATTCAAATCCTAGATCAGCACACGGGATTGCTGTGTTTCGGGCTTGAGTCTTGCCAGGCCCGCCTACTAGACCCGTACGTATAGCAAAACAGTTATGCAAATTGCCAAGAACCGGAAGAGCATTCGCTTGCACAATTCCACGCGACAAAAGGAGGCGTACAGATTATGGAAAAAAGATTAAACTCCAAAAACATTTTAACCCAAAGGGATGTGACGGAGAATTTACATTTTTACATAGCCAAAAAGCAAATCTTTCCGGGCAAAACAGAGAATGGTTTGAGTATAAAACGAAGCCAAAATGTCTGCAAATCATCGTCAATACCGAGTCTGTTCCTCAAGCGACAATGAGAACGATTTCCTTTGTACTTGCTATACTTGTATGCATACCAATTGCCAGTTCTCTGGACCTCAGCACCTACGAGAGGGAGTTGTGGCAAGATCGATTAAATCCATCCAAGTTTGAAGAGATCTTCAGCCAAAACAAGACCGATGAATTCATCAATGGCCTCAGAACTGTTGGCGAAAAGACGAAGCAGACTTTGAAGAAGGCTGCTGTCTTCGGGAAACAATTGTCATCTGAATCAAAGCCCAACTTCAACAACTTCTTTGGATATATCATCAAGTTCAACAAGGAGTACAACGATGAGTTGAAGGAGCGTTTCGAGAAGTTTTCTAATTCCCTGAAGAAAATTGAGGCCGATCAGAAAGATAATCCAGAAGCAGAATTCGGACCAACGCAATTCTCGGATTTATCGCCGGAAGAATTCATCAAGGCCTATACTGGAGTCCAAGGAGAAGATCATGTCAAACAGCTTCATGGAGTAGAAGAAGGGAGCGATGGAGAAGGTAAGTAATCTACACAAGCGTACAGTTTCTTTTAGAACTCATCATCCGTTCCAAAAGATCCATCCCAGCCAATTTTAGCTGGGTTGCCAAGAACAAAGTGACTGGTATCAGAGACCAAGGCCGATGTGGATGTTGTTACGCGTTTGCCGCTGTGGGTGCCGTCGAAAGTCAATATGCCATTAAGACCGGGAAGTTGGTCGATTTGAGTGAGCAACAGGTAATCTCTTGTACTTATGGAAATACCACTCTTCACGGAAGTGGAGGCGGCGGCTGCAATGGAGGAAGCGCTCCAAGCATTCTACAGTACATTGAGGACAATGGAGTCTGCGCGGAAGCCGATTTTAAATATGTTTCGGGAACCAATTTATCGATCCCCGCATGTGTTAGCGAACCGGCCGTTACAAAGATCACAAAATTCAAGAGAATTCCAGAAAACAGCGAGATTGCCTTGGAGATCTACCTCCACTTTGTTGGGCCTGTCGTTACTTGTAAGTTTTGATCTCTACAGTTCGATAATTACATCCATTGTCTCATTTGATTGCGTTAAAACTCTTCAGATGTTGATGCCACCCCACTCCAACACTACAAAAGTGGCATTCTCAACGCGAAGGAGCCTTCTGGCGGCTGGACCATCAACCACGCCATTGTCACTGTTGGCTGGGGCACCTCAGACAATGTTTCGTACTGGCTGATCAAGAACCAGTGGGGGTCAAGCTGGGGAGAACAGGGATATTTCCGCGTCAAAAAAGGTGTGAATCAACTCAACTTGGCTCAATATAACTGGGTCCCTTACAAATAATCGAGCGACACTGCCGGATTAATTTCCGGTTCTTGCAGTTGTGTTAATTATGTAAACTTTGCATGCAATAAAATCTTGACGTCAGAAAGTGAAGTGGATTTAGTGGTGGTTTTCTAAAACTTCTTCATGGATTGTTTCGTTATTTTGATCAATATAATAGTTCTGAGGCCATTGATGAATTAATTGGTTTTATTTAGGCTGTAGATCTCTGGTCAAACCAAACTTTCCAGAGCTCCTTCTCAAAGGCGCTGAGATCGATTGAAGCCACTCGATTAAACAGCTTTATCTCGGGCCGTTTCCTCCAGTCAGAAAATTAAGCGCTACAGTCAGAAAACTAAGCCCCTGAGGGCAGACAAAAAGGGAAAAGAGTCAAATCAAGTATGTAAATCCTCAAAAATCCACGATGACAATAAAAAAATCAAACAAATCGCAAATCATTCTCGGACTCGTGTACTTGAGCAGTTTTTGGGGAATAAGTACGGTAATTCTGAAGATATTCGAATGAAAGAGATACAAATAAAGATAAAAGAAAACATAGCTCATTTTGGAAATTCAAGTTGTTTATTCAACCGGAAATACGTTTAAAAAAGTATAATATTGTATAGTAAACTCTACCAACGTATAATGGACAATATGTAAACCAAACCTCAAAAAAATTCTAAAAGCTAAAAATTCCCGTTAAAATTTTTGACAAGCTGAATGTAGAATGGGAAATGATGATCACTGGAAATGAAAAGACATAAAATACTATCGCTTTTGATCGAGGGACTACCCATAATCTCGATGTTAAAATTTCTCGATATTGATATGAAAAGAGGGATAAAGTCGATGTAATTGTGGAATAATATCAATTAGTGAATGGTAAAACGTTCTTAAAACTCCGCTTGAAAGTTAGAAACTATAATTTCAGTCGTTAGAATTTGGCAGCTCGCGCCCTGTATATTTTCTACTTAGCGAGCTGCGCCCTAGGTCAATAATTAAGATTTTGAAAACTAAAAATATGATACCTTTAGTTACCACACAATAATTCTGCGTTATGTTAAGCCTTAATTTCCGCCAAAAGTTCAATCTTAGGGCGCGAGCTGCCGTCAGAAAAAAATCACAGTAAATCTTCGGCAACCTCCGAAAAAGTGAAAAGGTTTCAGTTAGACTATCAACTGTTAAAAACAACAAAAATCTAACAAAAATTTCCGTCTCCCCCATCTACGATATTAACCGTAGTACCACCAACAATTCGGTGGCCTTTTCGCTCAAGTAGGTGTAAACCCGCTGAACATAGGTTTCATTTTGCGTGGAATTGTCCGTTTTGAGTGTTGCATACGATGCATGTGGTTGTTTTGAGTTCTCATGATACGTATTTAGGAGATGGAATCCAGCACCGAGGGCCCATGAAACTTCCATGGATTTGATTTTCTTCGATACCTGAAAGCAAAAATAATATTAAAAAACAATCTCAATGCGTCGCAAATCCCTCCTGATTTTTTCGGTAGCTAAAATCTCAGTTGCAATTAAAAAAATTTTTTTTAATTATAAATTTTTCCAAGAAAACCCCACATTTTCCTTCAAAAAGTTCCAAAACTCACATGTATTTTTGTTTCATCTGTCAATCCATATCCCGTAGTTAACAAGGAGTAGATGTAGCTCAAATCCATGCATTGGAACGGCCTCCAATGCTCCTTTCCCCACTCGTTTTGGTCCATTTTACAGAACTTTTCGGCCGCTTTTTTGTAATCTCCGACTTTGATCCACTGGCCCTTCTGGTCCGCCCCGGAAGTAAGTCCAGCCTGTTCGGCGCGGTCGAAGAAGTAAGCGAAGACGTAGATGTCTCTATTCTTGATCAAATTAGCCACTGGCCGAACATTGGTCTTTTTTACGTATTGATCGGCCAAATTTTGGCAGGATTGGAAAGATCGGCGGGAAGTTCCACTAAAACTTGATGTTACAGTATGAATAAAGAGCAGTCTGTTTTTTCGTGCCAACCTAGTAGACAATTAATCATCACAACGAGGAAAAACAACCTTTCTTTAGCCAAGACAGCCTAAAATTGAAAAAAATGGCTGCCATTTTTGTTACAGTAACCCAAACGAAAAAACCTTTCATGAAAATCTTTAAAATAATCGCTCTTATCGACTTCCAATTTTCACCTTTTCTCTCCCGAATTCTTCAAAAAACCACTGAACCCAGGGCGCAGCTCGGCAAAACCAAACTTCCAAAATCCACTCACCATAGCGTCCAATTTCTTCCAGAATACTCCCAGTTCTTCAATACATATCCATTGGGGAAACAATCAACCGAAAGATCGCTTTCCTCCTCCTTGGACTTCAATCTTGACATTCCCAATCTAGCCGCGATTAATCCATTCCCAAGATAACTATGTGTGTACAATCTAATTTTTTTGCCAAATACTTCGAGTTGATGACCGAAGTCATCTTCTGGGGCATCGGCGGTGAACGCTACGCTAGGATTTGTTGGGGCAAACGTGACTTGAGTCGATCCTCCACCAAGATCAAGAGCGACTGCCGATTTTTCAACTGAAAGTACAGAAATTAGTAATTAAAATGGATTATAAATGTCATAACACTACTTATAAACACTAATCAGAAAGAAGAAACCTATGTTTGATAAGACTTTTTGCTTAATTTAGACCTGACATCTACTACAACATAAAAAACAAACCATTCCCCTGGAGATGCTGCAGTCTATCGGTTAAAAAGTTCAATGTGAACCATCCAAAGACTCCCTCGTCGATTCCAGATAAGATCCCAACACTTTCATCTTCAGTCAGCAACCCGCTTCGCAAGACTTCGGCTTCGACCTCATATAAGATTCGATCGCTCTCATCCGCCGGTAGTAGCCTCAGTCCAGCAGTGGCTTTTACTACGATTGGAGTGTGAGACCATAGCTCCTTGGGGATCTTCGGCCGAGCCTGATCTATCAAGTGTTTGATGCTCTCGGCCGCTTTTGAAGGGTCAGCCGCGTAAGATGATAGACCCGGGTTGGACTGAAAATATTTTTTCTTTTGAACTCAAAGTATCTTTTCGAGCACAATTTCATTATCCATCTACATTCAACGTGTCTTACCCTAAAAACCAAAAGAAAAACACAAATCCACACATACCTGTCTAAATGTCTCTGATTCCAACTTGAAAGGACTATGTTCTACTGTGGGATCATGAGAGAATTCAAATAAATGTAGCCTGGAACCTGTTGACCCAGCATCTATCACCGCCGCGAAAAATCGGCAAGCCAGTTGCTCCTGAAAAAATTTCTTATATTACTCTAGGTCAAAATTGAAGAATCAATAATAAGACAAGACTTCTGACCCAATTCGAGTGGTCAAGGCGGGCTGAGCTCTCAACGACTCTAATAACACTTGGGCTGAACTTAATTTAGCAAGACTTTAAGAGAATTTAATGAAACAATTCAAGTATACATGACGTGGTCAAAATAGACAAAAATGAAAAGAAGAGAGATAAAGTTCGTAAGAGAGATAAAGATTTCCCACTTAAAAGGAAATAACATAGCCCTGACCAGTTCGAATATACCATTTTACCTCCAAAAATCTTATTTTCGCAGTCCTGCATACCTAATGTCAGAGCAAACACACCTAAAAGTAAACAAACAAAAGAAAAACTCTTACCTCATGCTCTAAATCCGGTGAAAGACAACTCTTAATCTCTTTTGTAGGCTTCTCAATCCATTCCACATGCGATACGTGGCTTTCCGACCTTGTCACATAAATATTTGCAAAAAATAACAATGTAAGTGCCACGACGCCCATGTTTAACATAAATTGGAATGTTTGTCCAAAATATTCGAGTAGATAAGTTAAGAAACACAACGGTGGTGGCTTATTTACGCTCTTCAGACCATTGAAGATTGAGAAATAATTGAAAACCCTGAAAAATTCGACTTAATCCCGAGAACAATGCACATTCATCATGCGCGGATATGAATATCTAAAAACGGAGGGGCGTAAGGAGTGGTGGAAGTTCGACTCGCGCGCATCTTCACCCGTTCTTCACGTATTTTGGGTAGAATTAGTAGAAAATTATTTTCGACGCAAAAAAAACGTCTTGTTTGTGAACGAAGTGTCACGAAATTATTGGATTTTTAATAGACGGGTTTGTGAGTGGAAAATGATAAGAAATGGAAGTTGTGTGCGTTCTTTAGCTCATTGGTAGGTAAAAAAGTAATTTTAAAACTTAATGTCACGGTAAAATACGGGACGGGAGGTTTCTTTGAACGAAATTTCACAAGAATTATTGAGAATTTTGAAAGCATTTGCAAGATTACTAATAGTAACTGGAAAATGACTATTCTGAAGATGTGGTATGCTTAAAAATGTTAGAATCAGAAAAAAACAGCCCTCAAAATTTCTCAAAAACCTCTAAGACCTCAAATTGACACCTTTATTTAGTCAGCTGTCAATGCGAAAAAGAGACGTGAACGACATTAGGCGTGTGAATTTATTAGCATAAACCTTTGAAAGTGTTCTCTCGAAAACAAAAGTAGGGGATTTAAATGGGGATTTGAGACATTTTGAAGGGAGTAAAAGTTCAGTGTTCAACAAAAATTTTTTTGCAAAAAAATGATGAAAAATGATTGCAGAAAGTGACAATTGATGACGAATGAGACGGAAATCAGATATGAGTACTTTGGAACAGGAATTCCAAAGGAATTGTCGATTTTGAGACAGAAAATGGGCGAAAATTGAAAATTTTATGATTAGTGAACTAAACTAATATACTTTTTTAGTCGAATCTCAAGAACGAATTACTGGATAGTTATGAAACTTTACATGAGATAAAAATAGAGCTTTTCAAAGCTCCTTTCGGAATTTTAGATCAATTTATGAAGGGATGATGAAGTTATGCTAATTTTAACCTAAAAGGTTTAAAATTCCCATGCTTGTTTCGAATAAAAAAGGCAAGAATCAAAATTTCACGGTAAAATACGACTTTTGAATCCAATTATTTCACATTTTTTTATCCGGAGGTTAAATTGCCAAGCAGTATTTTACACAAAAAACGTCAAGACTTTAAACCGCAATTATAAAATCATCCAAGCTTTACTACAATTTTTTATAGTGATTACTTCTTACATTACAAAATAAAGACGTTTAAAAACCAGAAATGTCACGAACTTGGCTTGCCCCCACCCATGACCCCTCAGTTTACTTCAATTTCTGCGACGAAATCAAATCTTCTTCTTGAGAAATTCACGAGACTGGAAGCCAAAACTGATAAGCACAGACCACAAGTGCGTTTGTGGTATGACCATGCGAGTTTGCCTGAATTTTTTTTATCGATCTCTTGACAAGTCATAAAATGGCGAGGAAATTTGTCGGTGGCCACTTGAAAATTGACTGTTTGAGTCAGGTGTCTCTCTGCCACGAAACGCTTGTTTTTTGTTGGACAAAATAAATATGAGCATCGCTTGAGAAGATCAAGCACCTGATTTTGAATGGTAATCTGTTCAAAGATCGGAGAGCAGCATGATGTTTTTCGAATTGGGTCAAGTGTTCCTTTCGTGGAAAAATGATATGAAGATGATGGAAATCATTAAAAACATGAAAAAAAGTTTCACCTGATAATAATTATTTTGCTGAATAGCTTTTTACATTCCCATTTTCAAATTCCTCGATATTTTATAATTAGGAAAACACTTGACCCAAAATTTATAAAATTTCCAACCAAAGTTTCTAATTCTCGGATTGCAAAAATCTTACACTCAAAAAACCTAGTGTAACCGTCACGTAACCGGGTCGCGACCTCCTTTCAATTTCGAGTCAAATGTTTCCCTCGTTTGAGTCAACTCTTCCCTTCAGATTCAATGCTCTCTGAATCCTATAAAATTAACTTCGAATCAAAACCACGTCTTCAATTAACGATATTAAAATTTTATTTGATAAAATTTTCATTTCCGATACAACAAGAGAGGCATATAACAATGATAGAAAAAAGGAGCAATGTTATGTACACACAGTATAAGTAATGGTGATCATTCAGAGATTTTCGGGGCTCACATTTGATACTTTTGTAGAGAGTTGGGAGAGTTGTAAAACTGAAAAACAAGAAGACCTCTAAACTTAGGCTTATATTAAGTGATATACGAGCAAAAATACGGGCAGAGATAGTGGTGGAGATATCCAGGAATTTACAGATATGGGTGGTGGAGGTGTTGGGAGTAACTAGTGGTTGTCTAAGTAATAATTAATAATACCAGAGGGAGAAATTGAATTTTTGTGAGGAAAATCAGTAAAATTCATGGTTTTTTGCTAAAAAATCCCGAATTTCGAAATTTTTCATAGAAAAAATCGCATGTCAACTACAGATGCAGACAGTCAGACCCTGCCATTATAATTTTGACAGTAAAATCGAACTAAATTTTGCAGTTTCATCAATTTTCAGGCCAAAACCCGCGATTTTCCAATTTTCTCAACAAAAATTCAAAAAAATTTTTCAAATTGTAAAATTTCTATATTAAGTGATCTACTAATAACTCCATCAACCTCCTAGTGTACCAACAAGGTCATCAAGAAACAAAAAAAAAATAAAAATTTCAGAATTCTCAAATTTCATTAAAATTTTTTGGGAGGGGGGATACTGTAACATGAGGGAGAAATTACTATATTAATAAACAGAGAGAGGTAGCGGGGCCTCAGGCAATGGCAGGCTGTTGAGCAGGGCGTTTGTTTTTGGGATGGCGGACGGACATTCGGAGGCGGCTGAGGTCCTCCGAAAAGAGTTCGCCCGTCTGGAGCGCGTCGATCAGACGCTCAAAGTCCTTGTTCTTCTCGTCGCGTTTGCCGCGGTTCACTGAAAATTGAATTTTATTATATTTCAGAGGCACTTTCTCTAATCAACAAAATTTTCAAAAATCGGACAAAAATTATATTATCCATGGCAAAATTGTAAAAAAATCGCGATTTTCAATCATATGCAATTCGCCAATTATCTTAAAGACTTGGCTAGCTTCTATAATTCTGTTACCTCAAAAAACTTGCCCTAAAAACTTCAAGAATCAATAAAATTCGTACCTTTTCTTGAGAACAAGCTTCTGGAGATTGTTTGTTTTTTCACTCTTTCCTGATCTTCTCGTTCCTTCAGGACCATGGCATAAGAGTCGCCAAACTGATTGAGGAATCGTGTGAAAACTCCGAAGAATTGATCTGGGCTCGATTTGGCTGGGTCTTCGGCAAAGAATCGGGCGCAGTCTGCGAACTGAAACAAAATCTCATTTTTTGCCCAAAACGGATATTCTAACAAAAATCTCAAGGTAAAATACGGTCTAAAATTACAGTATGTCCTCCACACCACCACAATTTTCCAAAAAAGCTCAAAAATTTTCAAAAATTTCGATTTTTTTGCGTTTTTTCCAAAAAAATTTACCTTTTGCTTCGTATCCTCATGGGCTGCCTCCAGGGCATTCAAAGCCTTGTTGGCTTCCCTCAAAAACCCTGAAACCGTCGAGACGAACTTGTCACTTTTCGATCGCTGACTCGGTCTTCTTGGGGATTCTCCAGTCTCGACGCCCGAATCATGTCCATGGTCCTGATCCTCGTTCGGATCAAATTCGGGAGCCTTTTCCTCGGGCTCGGAGTTGTTGTTGGAAAGGAGGGCCTGTTTCTTCGTGTCCATGAGCTTTTGCTGATGGATTCGGAGCTCGGCGGAGACGAAACAAAGGGCGGTTTGGAGGGACTTGATTTCTTGGTCCATTTCGTTCTTTCTGAAAATATTTGGGATGAAAAAGTGGACATAAATAAAAAGTGGGAAAAATAGTCCAAAATTTTTTACGAACCAATAAAATTGTTGAACACTTCTAAAAAAATCAAAAAATCTCAAAAAATTTTCCCCAAAAATTCCGAATTTTTCAAATCAAAAATCAACATACGTGAATTTCGTCGCCTCATAAACACAATGAAGTTCCTTTTTGATCCTCAACAAATCCGGAAATTTGTTTTCGACAATCTCCGCAATATAATGAAGCAATGTTCTGTCGGCTTTCAACGAACTTCGCACATTCGACGCCTGATTTATTGAGCCGATTGTGAATCCCATGGCATTTCCCATGCGTTTCCCAAAGTTGAGGTAATTTCCAATGGCGAGAAGGAGGGCGAGGAATTGTTTCAGACGTTTTGAGGAGGTCAATGTTGTGGAGGCTTTGGAAACGGCTGGAAAATGGCAAAGTTTTAACAAAAAATCCCAAAGCTCACCATTCAAATAGGGAACCAGCTCTTCGACTCTTTCCTGGAAAGTTCTCATCGTATGCAGGCACTGCAATCTCTGTTCGTATCGCTGAATTTGCCCGACTTCGTAGAAAAATCGGTCAGCCAAGGGTAAAACCGCGGGACTTTTGTGTTTCGTCAGGGTCTCCTGTATGGCGGAGAGTTCCTCTTTGGTCGGGATATACTTCAGCATTTGTTCTATCATATCCTTTGGTAATTTCTGCTTCTCATCCATACTCAACAGAGAATTCCGGATCTCCTTGTGGCTCAGTTTCAACTTGGACAGCATAATTGTGCAGTTCTGGGCTCTTCGTGGCTCGATAACGGTCTGAACCGTCTCCGGTTTGAAGAATCTTTTGTGGATAGTGTTGCTAGTGGATTCGGCTTCATTTTTGGTGGCGGCGAACTGTTGGCAAAGGTCGGTCAAGTCGAGCTGATCATAAAGTTTCTCCTCGTTCACATTCTCCCAGACCGTGTTTTTGATTTTATCGTTGGCCAGCTTGGTCCAATTGAAGGTGCGGACCGATGAGACCGGTTTTGGGACCTTCTTTTTGACGGTCTGGGCCAGAGGATTGGCGCCGAACGGGGGTGGAGGAGGAGGTGGAGGGGGAATGAGACGAGGAGGGTTTACTGGAGGCAGCGACGCTATCGATGATATTGTTGGGGTGGGAGATTGGCGGGGGTCGGATGTCGAGGAGAGATCGGACGTGCGGGAAAATGAGGAGAGGGACATTCCATCCTAAAACAATGTAAAAATTAGTAATGCAAAAAATGGAAAAAAGTGCATAAAATTTTAGCCAGAGCTCTCTAAAATAATTTTCAAACAATTATCAAGTAACCTCCAAGAAATTTATCAATTTCTAACTCAAAATTAGCATCTGCCTCTGTCAACAAAACAAGGTCGAAAAAGAGGTCAAAGAGAGCGCAAATTTGTTATCGAAAAGTATCACAGAGACAGAAAAAAAACGTTGGTTTTGAAGAAAAAGTGGCTTGGATTACCCAGGAAGGCCGTTTTCATAGCCGAAAACGTCTCAGAGGATATACCAGCCACAACCATTCTTCAAAATAATTTTTTAAGCCACTGTGATACCTTTCGATCACAAATTTGAGCTCATTTTGACCTCTTTTGCGACTTTTTGTCGATAGAAGCAGATGCCAACTTTGAGTTAGAAATTGATAAAGTTCTTGGAGATTACTTGAAAATTATTTTAACAAGCCCATTGACACTATCATGACAGTTCATAAAACCAAAAAAACCCTTCGCATTTCCACAAAATACAGTAAATTATCCAACCTAATTGCCAAAACCCCAAAAAAATTTTGAAAATTCCTTACCTGCAAATCACTCAAGCGATTCTCGAGTTCCATCACTTTCTTCTTTTCCTGATCCAACTCCTCCTTGGCATCATTCAATTCCTTCTCCAGCCTTTCGCATTCATGTTGAGTTCTCAGCCTGGTGAGAACTTCGTCCATTTCGAAATCGTAGCTCTTGTCAAAAGTGGAGTCCAATTCGGAAACATTGCTCGTTTCCAGCGTCGACTTGATACTCAGTTGCTGCAGTATCAAGTCAAACAGCCGCCAAATGTGGAGATTCCGTTCGTCCGACGGGATCAGCATCATGTGCTGGAGGATGCTGAGGAAGTGCGGGTAGGCCACGGTCCTGTCCAGCTTTCGTTGGAGGTGTTCCGCAATGATCTGAGGGTTATCCACCTCGATGGAGAGGTCCATCGACTCGTTGGAGGTGGAGGCGCAGCTGGAATGGCTGAGTTCCAGCTCATCTTCGTGACGCATCATTTCGAACAGGTCCAGATGGTCCTCCAGGGCTTGGCCATGTTGATTGCGGAGTCGGTCGATTACTTCGCCAATGCCCAGCATTAGCAGCTCATAGCGTAGATGGAGGCGGAATTCTAGGGACGCCTGGAAATAAATTAAGATAATTAAAATTTTAGGCTGTAAAATAAAAAATCTACATAAAAGTTTATCACATAGAATGTAAAATCGATCAACATCCAAAATTATTATCTGTCTTTGAGTCAACAATCATTTTTTTACCTACTATAATATAATTTTTGCAAGAATGGTAAACAATCCGGCTATAAAAACATTTTCCATATCGTAACAGGCATAAAAAATACCATAAATCATTATTACCACACACTAACTTTCTTTTAAACGCCCTTTTCATCAACTACAATATGTTTTTTGAAGGATAACACAATAAACGTTCTTAAAAAACTACAACACACACTATTCTAGGAACCATCAAACTACCCTTGAAAGCCAAGTAAAGATACATGACTTCCACATGTACCCGCATCTATATCCAATACCTACTGCAATATATAAATCCACTCAATCCCAGTCAAATTCAGAACCCAACTGGAAGTTTGTCGGCAGCTCCTCACGTAATAAACCGTTTCCTTTCCAATTACGTAAAAATCTTCCGCAGAAAGATTTGCAAGATGCGCACAAAATTAATTTTTTCCTCATTTCCCAGCACCAATTCCTAATTTGCCTGTGGCGTTAATTGGCGTTACCTAATCGCGGAGTAATTCCCCGTTTCTGATTTGCATACGACCGCAATGTACACAAAATCAAGTGTGTGTTTCTGGTGGGGGCGAAGAGCGCGCGATTATAAGGGCTTCGATTTTTCAGTGTTCGAGAAGAGTCTTAAGGGTAAAGATGAGACGATAATCATGTCCTCAAAGAGTGCAACGGACTGTAGACGTAAACACTGTCCTTTCAGCAACATCCTGAAAGAGCAACCACCGTTTTCTAAGGGCATTTTCCTTACAAGGAAAGTACTTTTATGGGGGCTCCTACTTTTTACGGGACATATGTCAAAAAATTCGAAAAATTGTGCTGATCAAGGATATGTAAATATTCGCTGCCCAATGTAGGTTTTTACGGTTGAAAAATCAAGGCCCGTAAACCCAAAATTGCGTAGCTAATTTTTATATATTCTTGATCAGCATAATTTTTCGGATTTATTGATGTATGTCCCGTCGAGAAGTAGGAGCCCCCATAAAAGTACTTTCCTTGTAAAGAAAATGCCCTTAGAAAACGGTGGTTGCCCTTTCGGGATGTTGCTGAAGGGGCAGTGTTTACGTCTACAGTCCGTTGCACTCTTTGAGGACTTTCCTCGTTAAAACAATACCAAAACACGGCGGAAAAAAGGTTCCTGTCATAATCATGACTAGAAACAATTTTTTTCCATAATGTCGCTAACCATCCACAATCTATGAGTAAATTTGACATCAAATAAGCTATAATGAGATCTAAATTCATGTTGCTCTGCACGGATAAGATCTCAAAATAGCTTATTTGATGAAAAAATTTACTTGTGGATGGTTTAACGATTTAGTGGGGAAAAAATTATTTCTAGTCATGATTATGACAGGAATCTTTTTTCCGCCGTGTTTTGGTATTGTCAAACTATAAATTCAGTCGTATTTCACCTACTACTCCCATTTATTCAAATATTTTCCTCCAAATTCCGGCCCAGAAATGCTAGACAGCCCGAGGGAGGAGATGAACCTGTCATCTGAACTCTTGAATTTCCCGTCTCAAATGTTCGCATTCCATTTTTCTCGCGCTTCGAAATTTGAATAAAATTCCCAGGGCGTCTGAATGCGCCGCTTCTTTTATCTTTTCGCACCTTTCGCAAAGAAAAGTGACCGGAAGGAACGGAGCAGCTAAAGAGACCCGTCTCCAACAAGAGTTTAGACGGTTCATTTCGCAGATTTGAAGGGGTTTAGCGCGTGCTTCAGCGAGACATTCAAACAAAAGTGACGCTATCGAAGAATGCGCAACGCACAATACAACCGCCCAAATTCTCAATCTAGGGGAAATTTTTGATATTATTTTAGGCCAAGCCTCACGTTGGCCAAAAATAATATGCTAATGTAAAAAATTGAGTAAAATGAACTCGAAATGTCCTTGAAACCCGTAATCCCGATAATCTATGGTGGAATCGGTCTAATCGCGTTAATTTTTAGTAGTCTGTGTGTTAAAGGAGATCAAAAAGGACGAGATTTTCGTCAGTTTAAAGTCTGGATATTTCCAGGATGAAACCGATCAGTCTAATCTTTAGCGACAACATCATTTTTCACACCTTTAGAGAGACTCGCAGCCGCAACGAAGTCCGATAACGCCTTATACTCCCAAAGTTTAATATTCATGTACCATCCCTTTCCGTATTTTACCTCAAAATTCATATCAAAATCAATTCAAACCCAGAAAAAAGAAAAGTTCATAGCCTCTGAAGGCTCAACTCAAAAAATAAGCAGAAATTTGCATACTGCGGAAATCTTTTCCCCCTTCGAGTGACCAGCGGAAATTCTGAAAAACTGGCAGAGAAATGATTATGTCCCCGAGGAACAAATAAATCAAGTTACGCTGCGAGTAATTTGCATAATTCTGCGAGATTTGGAAGAGCTTAGGAATTTTTGGCAAATTCATTATATTCACCATGAGGAAGAATGTCAAATAACGACTAAAATAAGGTCCAAAAACCAAGCAAATTCGCCGAATTACTTCCGTGGCATCAGAAGTAGACCAATGAACACTAATTCCGCCAAGCGTCTCAAATTACCCATCGTAATTTATCAAATATCCGTGACTCAAAGCCCATTCTAATTTCCCCCAATTTGTCTGGAAAATTCAAAGAATGCCAAGAAATCTCTTTCGAACGGCCTAATTTTAATTTTTCATCCAAAATAGTCTAGGCAATATCATGAGATTGCTTCCGGAGGCCATCAAGAGTAACTATAAAAGGAAATGCCCAAAATTGACCGAAAATAGGACGAAATTAGATTCAAAACATGCGGCAGTTGGAAATAGCGTATTTTATTTTTGTAAAAAGCATTTTTAAATCCGAAAGAAAAGCTATGTTAACCCCTTGGATAAAATTTTATATTACACTTGATGCCTAATGAAAAATTGAAAATTGTCGTTAAAAAACGGATTTTTTTTTGAAAAAAACTGACAGTGAATCGAAGAGTGCACCTCAAAAAACCTCAAAATCATCTGCAACACCAAGAATCTAGACGAAATACACCAGAAAACTTTAATTATACCTAAAATCTCCAAAATTGATCACAATCCCAATGACGCCCCTTAGAACCATTAAAACACAATTAAAAACATGACAGAACACCTTACGCCAAGATACGAAATACCTTCCGCCAGAATACAACCAAAATTTCCTATATTTCCCTCAAAATTTCCATCACCATCTAAAACAATATGAAAAATCTTCAAAACTCCTGAAAACCTTCAAGATCAGCCCAGATCAACCATCCCGAACCCACATAAATCACGTAGGAAGCATCATCGTTCTCGGAATCACGTTCCCCACCACAAGAATACCGAAAAAGCACCAAAAAGCGGTTTATTTGCTCGTCGACGTCATTATCCTATTTGTTCTTCGAAGATCGCGAATTTGAACGTTCAAAAAGCCCTTGAAATCCGCGAAAAAATTTTTACCATGCTGTTTGAGGTAAAGGAATCGAGAAATCAAGTGAAATTTGTCGCAAATTTGGAATTTCCGAGAATTTATTGGCATTTTTTGTTTTCGTGGTGGGACTCGGACCCGGCTGTGGTGAAGTGGATAATTTGAATAAAAAAGCTTATGAAATAGATGCCAGTAGCAGCCAAAAGCCATAAAACGTATTTCGAGACCATTTTGGGTAGTCTCAGGGTTTCGTGGTGGGACCAAAACATTTCGAAATTTTGAGATTTTTTAATAATTTTTAATATCCAAATCGCGAAAATATCTTGGTCGACAAAGAATAAGGTGAGTTCAATCCTAATTTCCCTGCTACATCCTCTCCAACTCTCCACATTGTCATTTCTCAGAAGACCCCGCCAAATCCGTCAAATTCCCGCTGATTACTCCTCAAAATCCCCTCAAAAAATGGCGCAAAGCCCCGAGATCCGCCGAAAACAATCTCCAGAATGCAGTGCGCAACGAAGGCATCGAACATCTTCCCGGATTTTCGCGCCCATCCGGCGTTCCAATGCCCTTTTCTCGGGATTTCTCGATGTGCTTTTTGGTGGGGAGACGAAAACAAAAGTGCGGAACGTTTTTTGCAGCGATTTATCACGGCTTAAACCCACTGTTTTTGGATTGAAATCGTAAAATAATTTCGACGAAACGATTCGCGCGACTGTGCCGGTTTCCGGTCCGAATCGCCGCTGGGAAATGGGGGAAACGGGCGATTAAAGGAATGTAAATGGTTGGAACTGTCCATAAAACAGTTATTTTTGCTTGTTTTTGGAGTTTCAGTTGCGCAATGAGGCAAGAAGGCGATCTGCGAAATTTTTGGAAAACGTTTCTCCAACTGCACAGTGCAACAAAAAAGAAACGAATTCCGCACTGTGCAAAGAATTTCAAAAGAGAAGAACTGCACTGTGCGAAGAGTTTCTGCGACATCTCGCGACGAAACGCGCGACAAACCCTTTTTCGCACCGTGCATTTTTAACGAATGCGTTTGGCTGCACTGTGCGAATGAAGAGGAATTGATTGTTCACTGTGCAATGAAAATCGAATGAAGAAAGTCTCTGGATGAGGTTTTGCGACATCTCTTTTCTGCACAGTGCAATGCATTTTCAACTTTTGCACAGTGCAAATTTTTGGATTGTGACTGCACAGTGCAAAAAAGAATTGAAATTCTTTTGCACAGTGCAGTTCTTTCTTATCGCTAAAAAAATTGATTGCACAGTGCAAGAGTTGAAAATAAAATATTGCACAGTGCAATGAAAATGAGGTTCTTTACTGCACATGCGATTTACAATTTTTGGCCCAACTTTGCACAGTGCAAAAAAATGAAATCAAAATTTCGCACAGTGCAACAGTTTCTCTTCAAATTCCCTCAAAATTCGAATTAAAAAGCGCGTCAGAGTTGACCAAAAATTTGTCGGCTGCATTTGGCCTGCGGCCAGAAGCGCAGTTGAGACAAGAATTCTTCGCATACCTTGGGAATCGGGGCCTTATGGGCGTAACTCAATCCCCCAAACGACCAGATTCGAAACAGATTCGTTCGCGAACAGGTAAGATGTAATCCGACCTCTACTCGAGTTACAACCTGATTTTACATTCTGATATCGGAGATTGGGAAAAAAACGGGGACATTAAAAAAAATTTTGAAAAAATAGAAAAAAATGTAAAATTAATAAAAAACTTTGAAAAATTTTAATAGATTTTTTAGGCTCGAAGTAACAAAAAAAATTTTTTTTAGCTCCAAAAAATAATTTTTGGCTTCCAAATGAAGCTTCAAAAAAATTTTTCTCTCCCAAGAATTTAAAAAAAAGTTTCGTAAAATCTTTGGTTCGCCATGTTTTATGCAACCGAAACATGCAAAAAGAAAATTCTCGGTTCCTCCGAGCATAATGGCTGAGACTCCACCATTAGAAAGCATTTCCATTACCATATTAATAATTACCAGGTTATGCCTACTGATTTTCCATGTGTTATGTCGTGCTTCTGACAGAACAATAGCTTCAGAGGAGTGGTTCTAATGGGAGTTTAGAGGGAAAAAATTGAAGGCATACTGTGCGACTTTTTTTTAGATTTTTGGATTTTCAATTTTTTAAAAGTCTGAAAAATATTTTTTTTAGAATGTTTGAAATCTTGGCCTTTTTTGACTCCCAAAATTGCGTGTGTCACAGTTAAAATTAAAAAAATCTTAAAAATTAAAAAAAGAAAAAAAAGTAAAAAAAATATTTTTTTGCATCTCCGGAAGATTTTTTTATTTTCTTGTTTCAAATGGCGATGAAAAAAATTTACAAAAAAAGAAACTTTTTTTCACTATTTTTTTTATTTTTTTAAATTTTGATTTTTCCACATAAAAAATCTTTATAACTATTTTTACCGATTTGGGGAGGATAGGTTACCCCGAGGATAGGTTACCCACCGGATAGGTTACCCACGTCAAAGAAAAAGTGAAAAAACAAGGAACCTCGGATCATTGATTTTTTACGAAATGTCGCTGAATTATCGAGTCACAAAAGAAAACTTTCCCAGAGGATTTCGAGAAAAATGTTTTTTCGAAGAGGAAAATAATTCTTCAAGCTCGATAATTCTGTGGCACTTCGCAAAAAAATCAATGATCCGAGATTCCTTGTTTTTTCAATTTTCTGAAAGAATTGTTTTGACGTGTTACCCCAAAAAACACATAACTCGGAGGATATGTTACCCCACCGGATAGGTTACCCCACGGATAGGTTACCCCACCGGATAGGTTACTCCACGGATATGTTACCCCTTACCAAAAAAAGAAAAAAAATGTTTTCTTTGAAATGTTTTCGCTTCGGGAGTGTAAAAAGAAGGATTTTTTGTGAAAATTGAGAAATTTTTTAAATGTTTTCGCTTCGGGACTTGGAAAAAAAGGATTTTTTGTGAAATTTGAATAAAATTTGAAATTTTTTCGAGCTGACTGAGTATGAACTGACTGAATATGAAAACTGGGTTTCTGTTACTTTACTACCTTTAGGGATTCTTTTTGAAATTTTTTCGACTTATAACACTTTTAGACGTTAATGGTGTTGTTTTGGTGCCTAGTACTGCTTAAAAAACACATTTTTAACACTTGGTACTAAATAGTACTAACTGGTACTATTTAGTACGAGGTGCAAATTTGGCCGTAAGGCGGTAATGGTGATGGTTTGGTGCTTAGTAGAACCCAAAAACACGTTTTAACACTTGGTACTATATAGTACCAACTGGTACTGTTTTGTGAGAAGTGAAAATTTGGCCGTAAGGCAGTAATGGTGATGGTTTGGTGCTTAGTAGAGCCCAAATACACGTGGTACTATATAGTACCAGGTGGTACCATTGGTTTTAGACAAAATTTTAGTGCTGGCGGCACCAAAGTTAATATTCATTCACACACAATTTTTTTTACTTCCGATGCGAAAAGATTAAAATATTTTGTTGAGTTTTCCAAAAAATTCTTTTTTTCCCAGTCCCGAAGCGAAAACACTTCAAATTTTTTTCAAATTTCACAAAAAATCCTTTTTTTCAACTCCCGAAGCGAAAACATTTCAAAATTTTTTCAAATTTCACAAAAAATCCTTTTTTTCCAACTCCCGAAGCGAAAACATTTCAAAATTTTTTCAAATTTCACAAAAAATCCTTTTTTTCCAAGTCCCGAAGCGAAAACATTTCAAAAAAAATTTTTTTTTTCAGGTAACCTATCCTCGGGGTAACCTATCCTCCGAGGTAACCTATCCGTGGGGTAACCTATCCTCCGAGGTTACCTATCCGAAACTTGGGGTAACCTATCCGGTGGGGTAACCTATCCGCTGGGGTAACCTATTTGTTAGGGGTAACCTATCCTCCGAGAACGATTTTTACCACGCAACAATAAAAAAAACACCCCCAAAAAATCTTAAAAATCAAAAAAAATCTCAAAACCCACCTCAGCCGGTCCACTCTTTAACAACGCATTAATCAATGACATTAATGCCACTCGGACCCGTTCAGTATCTCTGGCCTGTCCGTGTTGTCGATGCAGTTCATCGACCAATTTCTGGAATCGGGTTCGTTCGCCGAGCAGTGGAGTTGCATCGGTGAAGGCCTTGAGGACGGCGGAATGCCCGCCATCCGCCGCTAAACAGAGGCCGGCCAGGATTTCCAATGCGAACAGCTGAAAGAAGAGGGATTAAAAAATTGGAAATTTTATATAGTTGAAAAAATGTGTTAAATATATGGTTAGCTATGTTGTAATGCGTTTGCAGGGGAAAGCAATATTTTAGAGAGGTAGCAATGAAATATTTACTAGCCTTTCAGGAAAGTCACTGATTTTTGATGTTAGCACTGTGCAAAAAATGTCAGAGAGACAGCCGAAAAAAGCCTATTGCACGGTATAAAAATCAAGAAATTGCACATGCAAAAAACTTTTGTTTTCACACAGTCCTTGTCGCCGCTTTCAGTCCGGTGACTTTCCCGAAAGGCTAGTAGAAGGTTGATTTTGAAATTTTATCCATTTTTGGTCATCTTATATTGCTGAAAATAAAGCAGCACGTATTTTAGAGAGACCAGAAGAGGTAGTGATTATTTGAAGTGTTCAATGAGACCTCAAGTTACAATTCTCTAGCCGTCTATCCTAATTTTTCATAATCTTTTATCCGCAAAGGTCGTTGGATACCTCAGCTGAGCACTGTGCAAAAAATGTCAGAGAGACAGCCGAAAAAAGCCTATTGCACGGTATAAAAATCAAGAAATTGCACATGCAAAAAACTTTTGTTTTCACACAGTCCTTGTCGCCGCTTTCAGTCCGGTGACTTTCCCGAAAGGCTAGTAGAAGGTTGATTTTGAAATTTTATCTATTTTTGGTCATCTTATATTGCTGAAAATAAAGCAGCACGTATTTTAGAGAGACCAGAAGAGGTAGTGATTATTTGAAGTGTTCAATGAGACCTCAAGTTACAATTCTCTAGCCGTCTATCCTAATTTTTCATAATCTTTTATCCGCAAAGGTCGTTGGATACCTCAGCTGCGCCTGCAAAGCGCAAGCTAAAATTTTACCCCCCAAATTCTCAATAATGAAACTGTGACCAAGATAGAGATTATTTTCACAAAATATGAGGGAAGTCTAAAGGCTGCAACATGAAAATTTCGAAAATTAGATAATTGTCATCATTCTTACAAAAATCAAATTTTTCCAAAACACATCTCGAAAAATATACCCAAAAAGTTTTTGCAAGGAACAATGGTAAGTTCTGATTACGTAGGCGACGCCATTATCAGTCAAGATACCAATGGAATTTACAAATCCCACGCCTAATGGAGATGAGTCAAACGAAAAGACGCAAACAAAAGAAGGCGCTAATCCGGGGCGACTCATCGCCTCTCCGGTCCGCTTCCTCGCGCATTAGCACCTCTCCTAATTAGGATCACGTTAGAAATCGTTGGAAAGCGGGGGGTTTGATACAATAGAGTTAATACAAAGTTGACAGTTTTGTAAGCGAAATTACGCAATTTTTCGTTGGATGGAGGGTAGAAAAATGGTTGAAAGATAAATAATAGTGTGTGTTGGGATTTGTAGAACACTGCAGAATTATGTATATTCATATTTCTAAGGAGTGGCAAACACAGTTTTTTTAAGATTTATCTTTTTTGGCGTTGCGCTTTTAAATTTTTTGAAAAAAAGTCGCCCGGGGCATAAAAATGCGCAATTTTCTTACTGAACTTTTTCGTACACCCGTCGTATTTTAAAATCATCTTTTAGAGATCAAAATTGCTGTGTGCAACAAAAATAGAGCAAAAAAATATTTTTTTTTTATTCCAAACAGTATCGCAAAAATCAAATGTTAGTCACCAAAAAAAATTGGGCAGTCGTATTTTACAATGCAATTTTTTTTGCCAAAATTTTGCCTAACACAAAAAAATTGTTTTATTCAAAAATCCCCTGCAATGTGCGAAAATTTTTTCTGGATCTTGCATAGTGCCTTCTCTGACAATAAAAAAATATTTTACCGCTAATTATCCGCCCAACACGCACATGTTCCCGTTATATAAAGCTTATAAAGCTCCCCCGGTTTCCAAAATATTTCGAAATAAATCTCGTAGGGAACTTTTTCGGAACTCCCTCAAAACTCCCTTTTCTCCGCAAAAAAGTTTTTTCCAGACGCTTTATTTTCTGCATGACATAAGGTATGCTTATGCATTTTGAAATACCAAAATTGGTAGACCGAAAAACGTTTTGGATTGTAAACATTGCCCAAGGAGTTTATCACGTATACTGTGTCAATATTGAGTGGTATGAGGGTATTATGAGGGGTAATTCGATTAGAATTGTTTGTGAAAATTGAGGAAGGAACTCTGGAAGTTCATAGGGACCAAAGATGAGGGAGCTGCAGATCGTCCAAAGAGTAAAATAAAGTTATGAGATTGACGCGGTTAGAAATGGAATTCTTATAAAATTTTGAGGCGAGCTAGAATAGACAAGCAAGATTTCAAAATAACATAGAAGTTTTCACGCGAGAAATCAATTTTTTGAAATTTTTGGCCAAAGAAAGGTTGATCAACGTGATTTTATAATCAATGCAAAAAAATCGTATCTTTTGGCCGCTCAACATTTCTTGCGCTAAGAGTCGACTTCTCGACAATCAAGTAATAAATCATTAGTCAACTAAATTCCAACCCCTTCCTCGACTAGCCAAAAAAATTAATCTATCAATCCCTTCTCCGAATTCGACCACCTTTCCTGACACTCAATGGGGAACTGTTGCAAAAAATGGCGCCACATCCCAAAGTGAGTACCATCTCCAAGAAAAAAGTTCTCTGGCGCCTCATAACACAGGGCTAAGCGGGGTTAAGACCGCGCTGATAAGCGCTGCAAGAACAGGGATGTGTTCCGTTGAAGGTAAACGTTGTGTGTACCCGGAGAATTATGGGGGTCGGCAAGGTGTTAGCAACGAATGATAAGAGGATCAAGCTTGTAGGTTGTTGGTTTTGCAACTCTTTACAGGGAGTTTTGGGGGGTGATGATGGACACTTCACATGGGGTCAAGATTATGCAGGGTAAACATTTAGAGGGTCAACTTTACGAAATGGCAAATAAATAGGAGGAAATGACGTTTGATGGGTTAGAAATCAAAGTAGGATGTCTAGAATGTTCAAATCTCTGATTTCCTTCAGATTTTGTATACATTTTCCAAATAGTCAAAGTAAAAAATTTAGCTCATGCTTAGCATTTAATGAGGCCTGCAGATCAGAGACTTGGTAGAGACGGTGAGGACGAGAGACGTTTTTGTCAATGACCATGCTAAGGTTGTGAAAAAAATGAATTTTTTGTAAGCAATATACCAAACTGATCAAGTGTTATCAAATCCATGCCTTTCAAACTCTACCTAAAAGGGGAAGTACTCCAAGTGCTACGCTCAGATTTTGATGAAACTTGGTACACATTTAGAATAATTTTTTCTAAGATATATGCGAGAATCCTAGCTCGCGCTATGCAGAAACAACCGAGATTTTTAGATCGAAAGTCGGCGAAAATTTAGGACTTTTTGCCGAATTTCGGCACGCAAAGTTTCATGCCTATTTATACCGTAAAGAATAATGTTTCTACAAAAAATCACATTTTTCCGCACAAATCTGCCAAAGTTTTTCTCTCTGACATCTCTCCACATTTAGAGTGCTCTCTCGGCGGCAAAAATCGTTCAATATCTCGGCGGCGCCTGCAAAGCGTGAGCTAAAACTTTCAGGAATTGATATTTAGCCCATACCCGACGTGTGTGCAAAATTTAAAGAAAATGTGAGCGTCGCACTTGGAGTACTTCCCCTGTAAATTGTTTTCTCTACCGTTCGCCTAAAAAAATTGAGCTCTCGATTTAACGGATCGGATAAAAATGACTTTACAAAAAGTTTCTATTATTAAATTTCCAGATTCCTCTCTTCCAATTGACCGATCAAATTTTTTTAGCGCGACACTACCCCAAAAAATATAACCAATATTGTTGCCCTTACAGTACTACCTAAATTAATATCCACCACAAAAAAATCATGCCATCTGGAGCATTCAATCAAATTCTAATTTTTTCCTCGTCATAAATAAGCCTTGTATTTTTTGTTTGGATTAAAAACAGGTTGACTCACAAAGTGCAAACAAAAATGGAAGGGCCGTTCTTTTGAGCAATCATGAAACTGTCTAGATGACCACAAATAAATCTTAAAAATAGTCGGCTTGGTGTTCTTTTGGGTCGTAAAAAACTTGGAAAAAATTTTTACTGACCGAAAACTTCAAAGTTGAAAAACGATCAAAAAGTATCCAAAAAATTTTTTGTTGCTCATATCTTTTTCAAATTTGCATATTTGGTAGATATAGATGACACATGAATTTCTGAGCGTTTTAGCTTGTAAGTTAAACTTAATTTTTTTTTCAAAATCAAAAAATCCTAAACTAAAAATTCCGACCCACTCTTCTATCTAAAGCAATATCGCAAAAGGTCCGTGCAAAAATCCAAAATCCAAAAAAATAAAAACAAAAATTTCTCCCAGGAATGTCGTAAAAATTCGTCTGCCTTTTATACTTTTTACCTTTTCAAAGTTTCACTTTTTGTCTTTTTTAGTCGTAAATTTTCATAAAACAAAACATGGAATAAATCAGAGCGACAAGTCTTCGGAAGCGTGTCGCAAATCCCTTTGACGACAAATTTAAGGTGACATATTTATGTTGTAAGGAAGCAAAAAGTGAAAAAGGTAGACCTTTTGTTTTTTCTGTTATATCTGATATTAAGTAAGCCATTGATGTCTATGGGAAACATGCAATAGTTGAGAAACTGATGTAAATTGTGGGATTAGACATCAAAATTGTTAGAGAGAGAGGGAATTTGGAAGTGATAGATAAAATATTTGAAAAAATGTAAAAAAATTATTAGTGTAAAATTGTAAAAAAATGACCTTTTTCCAAGTAAAAAATTTGGATTAACTTTAAATTTACGTTACATGCTCTACATAGGCCTTGGGTCAGATTTTAAAAATTCTGGGCGACGCTTTGCGGGCCCAAAAATCAACGAACTTTGTTGAGAGACTATGGAAAATGAGGAGGGACGGTCGTAGAAAGAAATTTTAAAATTTCTTCAGGCTTCAGAGGATTTTGTGCACACTTCCCCTTCTCCCAGTAGCTATCAATATAATAATTGATCCCCTGCTCGCTGCTCAGCTACCGTCCACTCTGTAACGTTGCTTTTTGATTTTGTTTTTTGACTCATCCCTCCCTCGTCTTCTCCCCGCTACAACTCATCCTCATACTCTCACTTTTCACGCCGCAACATTTCCATTAACATCCGGTAAAAGCGAACGCCGAACACTCAATTAAGCAAGAATAAAAACGAAAACAAGTCGCGCATAATATGATTTTTGCGGCAGCGCTTTTGCCGCCTCACTTTTCGGCTCTCCGCCGGACTTACAATAGGGCGACAGCACTTCAGAAATTAAGGAACGGGAAGTTTTGAAAAGCAGAGGTACTGTAACGGGGGGGGGGAGAAGAGCAAACCAAGAAAGTTCATAGATCGTAAGGAAAATTGGGAAAGATTGAGATAAATTTTAAAGAAAAACGAGATTTTTTTTTTGTTAGAAGATGAGTTTCTAAAGTACACTTTTTCTACAGGGTGGCCCAAAAGAATGGAAACAATAATAGTGTTTTCACAGTACTAAATTAAGAAAATCCCACAATTTCCCTCACCAATATTCCCTTCATTCAACAATACAATAAACCTGTAAGCCCCATGACTTCCTCAATAACCTTTCCTTTTCTTATAATCAAATTCCAATTACCCCGCCTTTTACCTGCGATGGATAATATTAGACTCATCTAATCTTCCCTTTCTCCCTTGTTCAGAATATTACCGATCACCCACAATTTTACTTTTCATCCCCGGTTGACCGTAAAAACAGGAGGATTACAAAATGACCGCTCTTTTTTATGCTCCGTTTTAGTCATATCGGGTGTTAGTCGGCAAAAAACAAAACAAAGAAAGGTTGAAAAATTTGTTTTATTGTGTTGTAAAACAACCTTTTTGGAGGGCAGTTTGGTGCATAAGTGCAAAAGTGTTTGAATGTTTGAGGTTGAAAAAGTGAAAGGTTCACGAAATTGCTATGTTGTTATATATAATATTTTTTTTTTTGAAAGATTAAGACCCGCTGTAATATACTTAAGATCGCAAGGAAAAAATAAGTGACCTATATCAAACTTTTAGCTCAAATCTTGCAAAAACGACAACATTTCAAGTCCTGAATTTGCTGAAAAAAGATGTTGAAAAACTTAAAGTTTTCAGCGCTTTTCTAGTAGTTGAGATATTGCCAGAAGCATTTTCTCATCACTGTCTACATCTCACGCGTTGTTTTGGCCATAAAGCAAAGAAAATCTCGAAGTATCAAAGTCCTCTACAAGGTCAACGCACCAAAATCGCGGCTTTATTGGCGTTAAAAATAGGCCTCCCAGTATTTCCAATAAAAATACAGTAACCCAAAAGCTCAAACTTCTAAAAAAAGACTTTCTCCCTCAAGAACAAACCTTGATTCGGCACCAGCCATTGCGCCACGTCCTGCGCAGCCATCCAAACATTTTTATTACAACGTAAATTAGTAGACATAAACTTCGGCAAACTCCCAAATAGATCAGCCAGAAGATATCTTCAAAAAAAAAAGATATCAAAAATTCGTTCGATTCTTCAGCCTTTTCTTCAAGATTTACTTGTCTATATATCAAGGTGTTTTATTCGTTATGACATCGTTAAAAGCCGGCGACCACACAAAAGTTTGCAAACCCCTCCAAACGCTGGGAATTCGGGCGTGTTCCGGATGGGATTTAGAGCCGCAGACCAGACGAATTTCGAATATGCCTCAAGGCAAATTTGATGATTGTCAAGCAAAAGGCAATGAAAGACTCAAGGAAAATTTAATTGGTGCCAGTGACGTAAGTTCAAGTTAATTGTAGGCGGAAATATTGGGAAAGCGATAAAAAATTTGCAAAAACAAATTTGTTTTTGTCAAGTCGACTGGAAAGGATTGATCAGTAACAGATTAGTATGTGTAAACTTTGATAAGATTGTAGAACATGTGTTTTAGGGGAGAAAAATTTTTTGTGGAGTAAATGGTGATATTTTCCGAGATTTTTTTTTGGCTGAGAATTGATTGTTTCGTAATAAAAAAGTTTAGAGAGCAAAATTTTGAATTTCACCACAAAAATTTTTTTGGATAAAAAACAAAAAAGTTTTTTTTTTTATAAATACAGTATGCCCGAAAAAAAAGTCTTTATTTACAAAGTTCAGAAACACGTATTCAAACATGTTTATAGAGGCGAGTGCATAAGACTCTTTTATGGTTTTGCAAAAAAAAAACAAAACGATTCGGAAAAGATGATTGAGCTTTCAAGGACTACACTGCGGACTTATTTTCTGATTTAACAAAAAAATTTTTTTTGAGATTTTTAAAGAAAATTGAGTTTTTGAAAGAAATGAATTTCTGGAAAATCCATTTTCAGCGATTTTTGCAAGAATTAAAATGAAGAGAAAACTTATTCAAAAAAATTTTTTTTGCATTTTTCAAGTCAAAAATACCGCGTATTTCTGCAAGGTGCAAGCCAAAAATTCCTGGAATTCATTAGAATTTTTTTACCTACCCTGTAGCAGAAGTAGCGCAAAAAAAAACAAAAAAATTAAAATTTCAAGAAAAATTTTAAATAATAAATTCATACTGTATCAACCAATCTATGTAATTTCTGATCGTCCACGCCAGCCTGTTTAATGAATCGTGCGTCAATTGATAAAGCCTGATTGCAATGTTATTGCTACGCTGTCAAAACAAAAGTGAGACGTGGAATGACAGGTTGTGCAATCTTCGAAGATTCCGAGAGGTCATAAAACCTGTCACGGAAAATTTAGGGGTACGGCAAGTTGTTATCGTGTTTCGGAATTTGAGAACAATAAGAAGAGGATTTATACTTGCAAAATTTGGAAAAACATGCGATAAACCTCTTATAGAAACATCGCACGTCAAACTGAGGAGTCCGGTGACCGGAATAGACACTTCGCTATGGGTTTTTTACACTTCGTCTTGATTTCCAGAGAAAGAGAGAAAAAAATACACGCAAAAGCGTACTCTCTCGCCCCAAAAATTCCCCATTTCTTCCCCGACAAAATGTTTTTTCGCGTCTTTTTTTGGCAAATTGCCAATCCATTCACCGGAATGTTTTAGCTTATCTCAGTTTGACGTGCATCGTTTTTATGGCAGGTATGTAGGTAAGATGTCAAAGGTGTATTAAAAATATTTTGAAGCTAAAATACGGGATTGCATGGCTTTCTAAAATTTTAGTGGCAGGAAAGAGATACAAGATTTTAAAAAAATAAAGAACATAAAAATTAAAGCGTTGTTTTGTGTTGTAGGCCATGTCTAAACTGCTGGAAAATTGATCTCACGCTTTGAAAGGGCTGCCAAGATAATCGACGATCTTTACAGCTGAAAAAGCAATGAAAGATTGAGCGAGAGCGTGGTGAAAAAAGAGAGAAGATCAGAGAGAAAAACATGGCTTTAGGCCACACCTTACAAAAAACGGCTAAACGTATGTATACAGCACATAATAACCGGCCTTCAGCGTAAAATGCGGGATGTTCAAGAGATTTCTACCATAATGCCTTTGTAAAACCCAAACTTTACAAAACCTATTAATGATAAATATTTTTGGACCACTTAAAAATCCCAAAACAGATGCTATTATATTAATTCCCACACTCAAATTTATCTCATCAACATACCACAAAAGCCCGCGCCGCCAAACAAAAATATTTGCATTTTTTACAAAGCCCACAAATTCCTCTCCATAACCGATCGCTATAACGTCATCTTGATCGGTGAAGGTCAAAGGCGATGGGGCTACTAATTACAGAGCGCCTCACAGTTGGAGTTACGGAATAATGGGAGTAAATAAACAAATAAATCTGATCTTGGAGACAGGTCGAAAGTCATTGCCGTAGATCGATTAACGGCTTCGGGATCGGGAGGAATTTCGGAGGGTTTTAGAGGGCATTTGAGACCGTTTAAGGCGATGGATTTTTCTTTGAGGCGGGATGAGTTATGTGGTAAATGAAAAATGAAAAATTCGAAGAGAGAGTATTCTTGATTTTTTTAGCTTTTCGAAAGAAAAATTCGATTATTAAAGTCCACTTTATTCGCAGTGAAAAATTACTGTCTCAGGGCCGAAAATAGTAGCAGTAATTTGGTCGAGGGACGAGGAAAAAACAAACGAAATGACCTTCCGTTATAAATAATTGACTATTTTTGACCCGAAAAAATGGAAATCCCGTAAAAATTTGCAATCCATTATTGCACGCCCTTGATCTGTAATCAAATTAGATTCGCAAAATCTAACTGCATCGATCAGTTAAACACTGAAAATGGCGTACGTCATATCGTATTTTAAAATGGAATTTTTGAGCGTTAGATGGATAGAGTCAAGCAAAATGCAACACCCTAGAGCCTAGAGGACGGCTTGCTAAAAAAATTTGCAACTAAAGATATTGAAGCGTATTTTACACCTCAGCTTTTACTTCAGCCTCTAAGGCCTTATAAAACGACCTTGTGAAATCAAAAACATCAGTAAACCCAGTAATGTCCCAATTCGTAACTACCAGCTTATATCTTTGCAAACGCGCTGGGAAATACGACATATTTAGCCCCCGGATCTCCGATCTTGACCCCTATACTTCCAAAAAATGCCTTTAAACCCTAAAGCCATCCGACAACATCCCAAACCTCCGCTCAATGAAATGACCCCGTTTATAACCGTCCTTCAGAGGCGATCCGTTCCTCATGAAGACGTCGGCTGAACGTTCGTGTTCCGAGAGCGCGGAATCTGTTTGAACGGATCGCTCCACTTCTCGCCGCCAAATGGATTTGTGTTTTTTTGCGCAACGCGCTGAAATCAGCATAATGGAGGGGCTCTGGGTGACATTGGGGATGTTGCCTTCTCGAGATGATGATGGAGAATGAGGAAGAGTGACCGAAACCGAATCGTTGGGAAGGGAAAAGAACAAGCGAATGGCTTGATCCTGCTCATGTCGCTGGTGACATTTGAGAAGGGAAAGTGGATAGACGATAATGGACTGTAAGACGTGTGTGGATAACCGGGAACTTTGGGAACCTGGTTGAACGGGAAAATCAGGGGTTATAAGACAAAAAGCTTAAGAAATTTCCATGGTCTGCTGTTAATTTTTTTTATTTTTGACAAAAACTGTAAAAAGAAATTTTTCGAATTTTACCCTAGCCATCCTCTCTTTTTTCCTATCTTCCATGCCCTTAAATCACCCATTTTTGTCGCTCTCCATTACATGTTGCAAACCCGAACATGTCACCCTCAAAATTTATGTAAATTTTCCGCCTTCTTTTGGCGGCGCGCGGACGAAAGATCGGGCCCTTCCAAATTGGGCATGGCCCGGGTGATTTGTGGGTTTTACGATCTTGTGCGCGAGAAACCCCTCTTAGACGGAACAGATGGACAAAGAAAGGGAAAACAAGCTCTCATCATCCTCCTGACATAACTGAGCGACAACACTTGCAACGGGTTGAGTGATGGGGCAGATGAGAAATTTAAAATTTGAAAAAAATAAGAAATACTTTGATTTTATCAAATTCAGATAGAAGTTTCAGGGTAAAATACGTAATTTTTTATGTGAAAAAAGGTCCTGCGGGATATCTTGGCAAAAAAACGGAACGGACATAAAAATTTTTAATCGTTAAAGGAGAGCTTTGTTGTAGATAGGTTTATTTTGGCCTAGAATTCACCTTTGGCACTTCCAAAATTTCTTGTTGTAGACAGGTTGTGTTGTACAGAGGTTTTCTAGTAATATGACCAGCCGCAAAGGCTTTGCAAATAATTACTCGAATTGAGGTTTTGAAGGAAAATATGATATTATTATACCAGTTTGACCATCATGCCAAAGAAAAGAGGATAAGATGCAAAACGTTGAAAGCAGTAAAAAATTGATTTTAATTTTAAAACTAAGCAAATGACAGTAGGATAGTTAGTAAACCGTTAGTTAAAATCTAAAAAAACGTCAAGAAAAGTATTTTCTATTTTGGTAAATTATTCGGATCAAAAAGGTGAAAAATCAAAAAGAACCAAGATTTGGTATCAAAAGGTATTACATAAGGATAAAAAACTGCTGGTATGGAAGAGGTCATCGACTTTTTTCATTTTTTTGAGAAACACAGCCGATGAAACCTCTGTACAACGAACCTCCATATAACAAAACTTTTATATAACAAACACAACAATTCCAGAGTTTTCAAGAGACAGTTTTATGCTAAAATGAGCTTCTGTAAAACAAAACCCTTATATAGCAAATAAATTTTTTGTTTGTCCGCGATTCGTTGTACAAGAGATTTGACTGCTTCTCATTTTTATTAAAAAAATCAATTCTGTCTCCTTAGCTAACAAATATATTATTTACATGTGGTTAATAGTAAGCAGTAAGCAAAAAAGCACCTTTTTTCTCGAACCAACCTGGCAACGAGGGCTATGGAAATCCAACGACGCCACGATGGCCAGCAAAGTCTGCGGTCGCTCCAGAACGCAGTTTCGACCAGCCTGAAAAATATTATTGGATCAATTGTTAGCAAAACTTTGCGTAAGAGAGGCTACAGTAAAAAAATCAAAAACAGAAAAACATTTTTTTTCGATTCAAGTTTATGCAACGATTACCTAAAAAAAGCAATTGAAATGATGCCATCAAAAAAAAAACTAGATCAAGTGAAAACCCCTAAGGGCTATTAGTTTTTTTTCTTGACCGTCAATGCATCATTGACCAGTCGATGACGATTTATTTACCGGAAAAGGATTTTTAGAAATAAAAAAAAACTTTTTTCGATAAAAAATCAATTTTAAACATAAAATACGACCTTGATAAGTGCCGTAGGCTTGTAAAGTCCACTAAAAATTTCAAGTTCTCAAAAAACAAGCAAATTACGCCTGCTAAAAAAGATTTTTTCGTCCAATTAATTTTCTATTTTTTGACCATCCGCCCCCTTGTTTTCGGCCCAGAAATGGCCAAAGGCCAAGGTCGCTGTGTCCGAAAAATCGCTCCCTTCATATTTTGGGGGTTTTAAATTTCCGCGATAGACATGAAAATACTTTGTCGGGATCGTATTACACGAAACAGGACATTATTTATATTATACTTGGCATGTATAGTATAACATTTTTGAGGTGTTTGGAGGCAATTCTGAAGTGAATAGCGGTGGAGTTATTTTTTAGGGCTATAGAGGGGCGTTTTTCAGTAAGAAAAATTTTAAAATTTTGATTTTTTTAAAATTTGCATATTCAAATTTTTTGTTGAAAAAGGTGTAATACGATCTGTTGATGTTTAAAGCCATGTTTGTCAAAAAAACTTATATGAAAATTTTAAATTTTTCAGCAATATTCATATATGCGTCATCAAAAATTTGAATAATTACTAAAAAACCTTACCGATGAATTCAGCAAAGCCTTGAAGCATGACAAAATCGGCAACCCCAAGCTGTCAGCCGACGAATTCCTCGATTTCTCCAACAAATCGCTGAGTAAAGTGATCCCGTCCTTGTCAATAAATCCTTGGACATAACTAAAACTTTCTGTCCTCAACGCAACCGATAACGCCTCAAGTTGTTGCACCACCAACGGGATGGAGTATTTGTCGGGGAAATGTCGAGACCATTCGGAGATTTGTCTCAACGTCGATTCGAGGGAGAACTCGGCGTTGTGGTTTTGTTTCCGACTCCGCTGCTCCATTATCATCAGCCATTTCTTCTCCGGCGACTGATTGGAGAGCTCTTTGGCTTTGGTCGGACCGAGATCGAGCTCGTCCTGAAAAGAAATATAGATGTCGTTTAATTAAGTTTACAAGAACAGTACTCCAATTGCTATTCAGAGATGTTCATTTTCGCGGCGGAGAGAGCACACAAAACGCGGAGAGTGACCAGGGAAAAAAGACGCTGTTTGGCCATATCTCTGCCAGTTTTGTTCGGAAAATAATGATTTTTCTTGTGACGGCGATAGAAATTACGATAGAAATAGGCATGAAACTTTCCGTGGTATAACATAATAAAATTCGCAATGCCATATCTTTTGCAAAGTTCTGAAGCGCTACCTAGAAGCCTCGCATATGACTTAAAAAAACATTATTCTAAATATGTACCAATTTCATTGAAATCTAATTTGAATTTCACAAATTTGCGAAAAAATCTTACCAATAAGTCCTGAAACTCGGCATCGAGCTTCGGCCGGTCTGGCAAAGTCCCCGGGTCCAAGGTCATTAGTCCGGCAATGTTCTCATGCTTCTTGAGGACCAATGAAGGGGGCTCGCTTTTATCCGGCGGCATTTTATGGCTCTTCTCCGAGGAGAGTTTGTTAAAACAATTCCAGGCTCTGTCAAACAAATCGTCGAGCATTTTGCAAGTCCAGATTGAGAATTTTGGTTTTACTTGGTGTGTAAATGGAGTATTAATATGTTTTCTGAAAAATGAAAAGTTAATTTTGCAATGTAAATATTAAATCGCGAAAAAATGCTAACGTCAAAAACAGTACTGTAACAAAGTTTATCAGCCGTAAAAAACGCCTATTAAGACACAAACAACATTTTGAATGCTACAAGACCCTCAAGAGGACAGTCGTTTGCAATGTTCGAAAATGATTCAAGTGGGCATCCAGTGACCTTACTGAACTTTTTTATTACTTTTTTCCAATTCATTACTGCCTAATACCTAGTTGTCAACGTATTGAAAGAGAGAGAGAGAGAGAAGTAGGAAATTGGACGGATTCTACAAAAATGAGATCACAAAATTGAAAAAAAAAAACGTGGAAGGGAAAGAGATCAAGTACTTGAAGAATCTGCAAGGATGTTGTGGTAAAAAGTTGAGTAAAACTGCCTCAGATATTAATGCAAATGAAAACATTTCGTACTATTATAAAAGGAAGAGTATATGCGACAAGTGCGGTGCTCAGTGTTTGATGAGACCTGGGGGTACATTTAGAATAATCTTTTGTCGGGCGGATCTCTGAATACGCCGGCTGCCGCTAGAAAGAGAAACCTAAAAATTTCAAGAATTGTTATGTGGCCCATGCCCTAAGTGTGTGCAAAATTTTATGAAATTTGGAGCGTCGTAATTTGTCGATTTATAAGGCGCTTCGCTTATAAATTCACAAAGATATGGCGGCAATTTTTAGGCAAAAATTCCAGAAGATGACCATAGAATACCTCTGTTACCGCCGAAGGTTTGCCATGCACCACTGTAACTCCTTTTCCCTCTGAATATTTGGTGATGTGTAGAGGTTATCGAACAAAAAAAATGCCAACCAAAACCCTTTAAAAATCGAATCTTCTTCACCACGACACTTGACTGTTGATCGCCGAAAAAAAGGGGTCTTTGAACGGCTAAGCCTGCGAATGTTTGCGATCCCTTTGAAACATGACGAAATTAATATCTGAATCCAGACAGATCGCTTTCATGCCTTTTTGAACCACAATAGAACGATTTTTTCTGGCATGTAAATTCACAAGAGAATTTTTTGAGTAGTCAGAATTAAGACCTCGAATATGAAAATTTTTAAGTTTCAGAAAATATTTCAATTTATCAGCAAAAGTAAATCCAAAAAGTCGTTAACTTTTTGCATAAATTAACAAGAGAAGCACCTGCGACGCTTAGATTTTTTTATTTTGTACACACGGGCATAGAGCAAACATCAATTCCTGATAGTTTTCGCTCCCGCTTTGTAGGCGACGCCAATATATTGAATGATCTTTGACGCTGGCAGAGTACGCTAAACGCGGAGAGCGGTCAAAAAGAAAAACACTTTAGGCCATAACTTTACTAGTTTCGTGCGGAAAAAATAGATTTTTTATCGAAACATCGGCACAGAGTCTCCAATTTTCGTCGACCTTCAATCTAAAAATCTCGGTTGTTTCTGCAAAGCGCGAGCTAGGATTCTCGCATACATCCTAGAAAAAATATTCTAAGTTTGCGCCAAGTTTCATCAAAATTTGAGCGTCGCACTTGGGGGTTCCCTTGTATAAAATTCTTTTATTTTTTTTTATTTTCAAAAATTTGAATATTCAAATCACCAATTAAAAAATTGAAAAAAAATAATTCAGAGTCTTTAGTCCCACACAAGACCTCAAAACTTTGGAACAAGATCAAAATCATGCACTATGAGCAATCCCTTCCGGCCCGGCCCAAGTTTCTTTATGAATAATACCGAAAACATTTGAAAGGAGTCGTGACCGGATCAGGAAAAGTTTCCAGACCCCTTTCACTCCCACCCCAAGGCGTTTTTATCCAAAAGTAAAAGCCCTTTGAATTATATTCAAATCAGAATTTGAATACGATTTTTCGTAATGAGCGAGAAAACGAGGAGAGAGATTTTTGTAATAGTAATAATATTCGCTATGGAAAATATTTTTTTTTGATTTTGAATAATCAATTTGAATAGGATTAGGCATATTTATGGAGCGAGTGCACTTAGAATGAGTCAAAATGAAGTGGGAAAAAAGGGTTGTTGAGGGGAATTTGTCAAAAATGATGCGAATTTATAAAAAATGGCGATTATTTATTGAATTTTGGGATGACACATAAGTGCTTACAAAATTTTTTTGGGGGAAAAATGTCGGAAAAAATTTGGGAAGCAATAAAAAAATGTTGAAAGTTGGCCGAATTAAAATATTTTTTGGTAAATTTTAATTTGCAATATGGTTCTAAATTAACAAGGGAAGTACCCCAAGTGCGAAGCTCAGATTTTGATAAAACTTGGCACAAATTTAGAATGATTTTTTCTAAAATATATGCGAGAATCCTAGCTCGCGCTTTGCAGAAACAACCGAGATTTTTAGATGGAAAGTCGGCGAAAATTTAGGACTTTTTGCCGAATTTCGGCACGAAAAGTTTCATGCCTATTTCTACCGTAAAGGATAATGTTTCTACAAAAAATCAAATTTTTCCACACGAAACTAGCAAAGTTATGGCCAAAAAATGTTTTTCTCTCCGACCGCTCTCCGCGATTAGCGTGCTCTCTCGGCGGCAAAAATCGTTCGATATCTCGGCGGCGCCCGCAAAGCGCGAGCTAAAACTTTCAGGAATTGATGTTTAGTCCATACCCGACGTGTGTGCAAAATTTAAAGAAAATCTGAGCGTCGCACTTGGGGTACTTCCCTTGTAAATTTAAAAATTTTAAAACGTATTCGAGACCTTTATTTTGCGATTTGTGGAAACCACAGCCACTTTTAAGCCTGAAAAATAAATTCAAAAAAAAAAAAAAAAAAAAAAAAAAAAAAATTGGTTCAAAATTTTCATAATTTAAACTAAGACCTACATTTTAATCAACAATTTTAACCTTAAAAAATCCCAAAAATAGCAAAATAAAGTGAAACATGAGGTGAAACCTGTAGCAATAAAAGCCTCTTTCTTTCCTACAGTTTTCCCTCTCTTTCTTGTTTCTTTTTGTTTTCCGCCCTCAGGGTCACTTGAAGCCACAAAACTTCTTAGTCGATGGATATCTCAAAGCTCCCACTTGGTTTCGTTCTTTCACGCTTCCTCAAGTGTTTCTCCAAAAATGGAGGCAATCCACAAAAATAAGAAAATTAATAAGGAAGATGAGGGAAGATGTTGCAGATTATTATAGTTTAGTAATGAAGATTGGGCATGGTATTAATGAGATTAAAAAAAATTAGAAATTTAGAAAAAAAAATTTTTTGACATTTCGTTATTGGAAAAATAGAAAGTTTAAAAAATCTTAAAAAAGTCCATAAATTATGGAAACAAATTTATTTCGCACCGGGAATTCACTGTGGAGACAAAAATGTGTAAGTAAAAATTTGACGAAATGCCACAAATTTTATTGGAAAATTTTTCTTGACGATTTTCAAAAACTTAACTCCTGTGCTTCGACAGAAAAAAAAGACTGTTCAAAAAACAAATCTAGATCCAAAATAAACAAGAAAACCATGAGAACATCAATCCGTGTCAATGAGAAGTCACGGAAACGCAGCGTTAAGTGGGCCAAATCGAGGAGTACTTGATACAAAAGGTAAAATAGAAGAAAATGGGGTGAATATGGGGCAAATGGGAAACAAAAGTAGGTTTTATTGTAATAGAGTTAGTTTACACGGGACGTTGTGAAAGTTCAAGGGACCAAAATAATTTTTAATATTTTTGGGTTAAAATACGATGTAAAAAAATAGTTGCTTTTTAAGCATTTTTTCGTATGTCAGGAAACCTTAAAAAAATCTCGAAATATATAAGAAACATTATTTCGGTATTTTAGCGGTCGTATTTTAATATCTGCTAAATTTTTAAAATTTCAAAAATTTTAGAAAAAAATCAATCCTCCCCCCAAAAAAGTACAATTATTGCTGCTAATAAGCTCCCGCTTATTCAGTAATATTCTTAATCCCAAAATCCCTCAAGCTCAATGAAAAAAGTCCAGAAAGTAAGACCCAAAAATTGACCGCTAACTTCTAATTTGCGCGACGCGAAGCGACCAAAAAAACGTTTACAGGAAAAACAGAAAAAAGATGGAAAGCGATTCGATTGGAACCAGTCGGGAAAACCGTTAGAAACGCGCAAAAATGGACAAAAGACGACCAAAAAAAGGGGGGGGGGTGGCTCGATGGACTCAAATTATAGCCCATAAAATAACCTGATTTGGGATTGTATTCAAATCGATTAGAGCCCTCGTTTCCATTGATTTCCTTTCATCGGGCTTTTGTTGAGGGGAGAAAATGGAATTTTGGAAAGCGTCTTTTGGATGGGGACTATTTCGGGAGAGGATACTGTAGTAAAAAATAGGGCTAAAAATATTATGTTTGGAACGATTTTTTTGTTGTTCGGAAACAAGAAATAATGTGAAATTAAAATTTTTAAAAGTATGCCGGGTTGTTGCTTTGTTGACCGAGCTTTCAATACACAAGCGACTTTTTTTATTTTTTGCGATTTTTTGGATAAAAAATAAGTAAAACATGCTGAAAAAATATAAAGAATCTTTAAAAAATACACGTATTTTTGGAGATTCTTTGATTTCCTTCGACAACACCACTCTATCAAAACAAAAAAGTAAGAAATCAATTTTCAATTTATACTTCCCAAGTTCTTTTATTATCATGCCCAAAAAAAAGGATTTTTTCACGTTGACACGTATGGTTTGCCACTGAAAAATAAAAGTTTGTATTTTTGAAAAATCATTTTGTGCACTGAAGAAATTCTTTACTTGGCCTCGAAGTGAAAAAAATGCATATTTTGGCTTACAGGGGAAGTACTCCAAGTGCGACGCTCAGATTTTGATGAAACTTGGCACAAATTTAGAATAATTTTTTCTAAGACATATGCGAGAATCCTAGTTCGCGCTTTGCAGAAACAACCGAGATTTTTAGATCAAAAGTCGGCGAAAATTTAGGAGTTTT